CAAGCCATTTGCGCTTTTTGTTAGATTAGGTTCTAGCTTACTTCGCTCGGCTTATTGTTGTACTTCTCTTAAATTGAGAACGTTTTACAAAAGGCAGTGGCTTGAAAGATCCAGAAAAATGAGCGTCCTCGTCCTATCTGACGAACAAGGCTTGCTTTTCTTTTAGAAAGTGGCCCCCTTACCTTTCAGTAAAGATCCAGAAAAATGGAGAACCCCGCCCATTCTAGACAGGAACAGATGGGTCCACATCATGCGGGAAGGGCGTTTGTCATGCGGGGGGGAGAGTGTGGGGTCGCCGCTGGCTCCCAGCGTTGGTTGGTTCTTGCAGGCCGGATGCAGATGCAGATGGAGGTGTAGTACGACACAGATGCAGATGGAGGGGTAGTACGACTCAATTTGATTCGACACGAATAGCCTACCTGGAGAGGAACCCTGGAGAGGACCACTGAAGTTCCAGGAACTGGAGGCCGCAGTCCGGAAACTTGAGAAGGGAAGGACGCCGGGATTCTGTATGACGACCCACGAGCTGATCATGAACAGCGGCCCCAGGATGTGGTGGGCGATCTTCCAGTGCCTTGCGTCCTTTGTCGAGTTTGGATGCTACCCGAACGTCGGCCACCTGATTTCCATGGCTGCTGTTCCGAAGGTGGAGGGAGGATGTTTCTTGGAGATGTTGATGAGGCCAGTGAGTTTGTGTAGTGTTTTTTCGAAATTGTTGGATAACATACTTGACAGTGCGTAAAAGTATTGAGTGCGTATTCTGATGACATAACGGTGGTCGTAGACGAATCCCCAGGGGCAGAAAAGGTGCCCAGTGTCATGAAAGCGAAGGGGCTACAGAAGAAGATATTTTTTGATGCAGCAAAGCACTCCAGAATTATGTATGACGCAGAAAAGCCAAGCACAGTTTCGGCTACAGGTACAGGCAGAAGCCTCGGAGTTATTTATGATGGCACTATGAATTTCAGGGCTCACGCGAAGGAGGTGCTGCGCAAGGTCGGCAAGGAGTTTGACTTCCTACAGACAGAGAAGGGGTGGGGGGTCAAGCAGCTGATCATGTTGATGAACGCCTTCGCCTATCCAGCAGTCACCTCCATTTCGGTGGTGACCTTCCCCTACTTTACGCTCGCAGCCAAGAAGGATATCAGCACAGCTTTCAGCAGTAAGATCAAGCAGCGGCTCGATCTCCCGAAGAACACTAGTAATGCCGTCCTCTTCCACACTACCGGCCTCGCCCCCCCCCATCGACTACATGCTGGTGGACGCGTTGATGGTGTACTTTAAGGGCGCGGCGCAACAGCTCTGGGATCTTCATCTGTCCAGCGACAACATCCCGAGCTTCCGGCCGTCCACGGGTCTTGTCGCTGCGGCCGGACCACTTCCTCCCACGCCGGTGCCGTTGTACAGCAGTAACAGACGGAGGAGCAAAGGGGGAGACTGGTAGTGGGGGGGGTGCCTCCTGGACAGATGCAGATGGAGGGGTAGTGCGACGCAATTTGATTCGACAGCAAGAAAAAGCCTGTCGGCGTCAGCGCATGCGGGTCATCTGGTAGGAATTGGATAATGAGTAGGGCGCCCCTGCTTCTGACTGTGCGTGCGGCGGTAGACATGGATCATAATCATAAAAAGAACATCCCGCACTACATCATATGGGATGTGATTATGACTGCTACAACCGACGCACTTCCTTGACGGGAGGTTGCATGCTGATTGATCATGTCCTCTTGGGGTCGCGAAGATGAAAAACTTTTGAGTTTAAGGTACCGGATGTTCATTGTAGTTGGTTCTAAGATATCACAATCTGTGTAAGTGACGCACTCGCCTGGGAAGCAAGCGCCAGGGCGTGAAGGAGATAGTGTTCTACTTCGTATTATTCGGCAAGCAGCATTACTTCGCGCTGGTGCGGAATCAATTGAGTGTGCACGAGCAGTCGTCGTCCTCTTTCGGAATTTTTGTCTCGATTGCACGTGCCGACTCTGCTTCAAGGTAGTTCGAATTTCGCCTGTGAGGATGGTGAACGTGTATTGGAACTGTGCGATGAAGTTGCAGAGGTCGTGAGTTGCATTGAGTACCAACAAAGACAAAAGAGTCACAAACCAGCATCTCTCTCGTGGTTTCTCGACATGTTGTTACCGATCATAGCCGCGACATCATCAAGTCGCCCCGAGTCGGCTCGTACGGCTTGTGGTTTCTACGTATCTTCACGGACCTCTTTTATGCTATTGTGCCGCCGCGAAGGGAGGTTCGGCTAGAAAGTAATATCTTGAGATTCCCCGCTGTCGTATTTTTTGTAATTTCTTAATAAAACGCTTGTTTGGGGGGAGTCAACAACTCCCTCTTTCACCACTTCCAATCAACTATGGGTCAAGGCCTCGGCGCTTTCCTGCAGAGCCATTCGCTGGCGCCGGATTTCTACCCCCCAATCGGGGCGAAGAGTATCAGGCCGCCCTCGCCCACCACGCCAGACGGCGTTTCCCCCGCGCAGCAGCGCCGCGAGCGGCAGGAAACGCTGCGGCGGCATTTCACGCTGAAGTACGCGGACTTTTTCGAGAAGCCGCTGCTGTTGAAGGGGCTCAAAGCCGTGCCGGACACGACGCACGGGAAGTACGTCGATACCAAGAACGAGGTGAAAAGTCTCAACGACGCCAGCCTTCTCTGCGACAAGGCGCCCCGCTGCCGGTACTTTGCGTGGGACTCGAAGCGGCAGAGCGTCACCCTGATGGAGGGGACCAGGTTTGATCTGGACTCGGATGAGAATGTCACCTCTGGAGAGCACTACGACCGGGTCCTGCGGGCGGACTACCGCAACCCGCCGCTGCCGGATATGGGATTCTCAAGCGTTACATTCTCAACTGTTGCATGAGTTTGTGATGCAAAATTACCATTAGGAATCCGTGCCAAATCATCTGTAATGCAAGACACGGATGGATCCCCCTTTCAGTTTGGCTGTTTTTGCATGACAAATTTTTGCAACAGTTGAGAGTGTAACGTTTGAGAGCCCCATACCGGAGGAGGCGACGGAGGTGGAGAAGAAATTCCACGCCGGACTCGTGAAGGCCCGGGACTTATTAGATGCAAATGTGTCTGGGTGGTCTGGAAGAGTACGAACTTGTGATGCGTCTTGGGGATCACACAAAAATCTGTGTTGCATGACTTGCAAACGGTGCTGCTCATTTGCATTTCTAATTCTGGCCATGCTGAGAGGGCATTTCTCATGCAGAATAGGCACTACCAAGGCACCGCAGAACCTGTGATGCTAAGTACGCCCTGCACTCCAAAGTTGGTGGAGCTTGGAAAAACTGCATGACAAATCTCGGACTCTTCCAGATCCAGACACATTTGCCATGCATAGGACTCCCTGCACCTGCCGCCGCACCCCGTCGACCCGGGCACGCTCCTCTTCGCGAACGCGAAGACTGCGTGCCACGAGACCCTCCGCGTCGCGCCCAACGTGTTTGAGGCGAGGGATGCCGCGGTGTTGTGCAAGAACACCCCCAAGTGCACGCACTGGACCATGACGACCGTGGCGTCGCCCTGGAATTACCTCTCCGACGACGACGACACCCGAATTTTCACCAAGCTCTGTGGCGGAAGCGACGTGGAGTTACTGCCGGAAAGCGGCACGGTCTCCGCCGTCCGGATCGTCGCGCCCTCGATAACGGATAGCACCACTGCCGACGACGATCCGAGTCGTGTTGGTACTACTTCTATGGCCGGAGCTACAAGTGCCGCAAATGCAAATGCAGCAGATGCAAACAACCCGACCAGCCAGTTGCACCCACCGCAGCAGGAGATCGACGAGTCGGCGGACGAAACCGCGGCGCTGGCAAATCTGGGAAAGGAAAGCGTCCCGCAGTACCCAGTGACGCGGTTGTCTTCCGGCGCGACGAAACCGCCCGACAACGGGCCGATCGGCATTCCGTTGCTGTACAAAAAGCTCCGCGAAGTGATCGGGTCGTCCTCTTCTGTCACCACACGACACACCGCCCAGGACCCGAATGATTTGGACAGTTTGGCGAACAAATCCGCCTGTGAAAAATGGCCCAACGCGTGTCGGGATTGGGTCGACTTTTTGTACCCGAAGGAGCTGAAGGATAAGTTTCCCCCGGGCTCCGGCGCGCCGCCCCCGCTGAGCTATATGAGAGTGCACAACTACAAGTACAATTACTCCGCCTCTCTCATTTGCACCTGGATGGCAACAACAGCAACACAAGTGCTGGCACAGATGCAGGTTTTGCAAGACAAGTCCAGCGCGACCGATTCTAATGCTGTTTGGGCTTCGGGAGTCTGGCATGGAAGAAGTGCCACAGGGCAAAGAGTGGATTTGGGATTTTGCATACCAAATGAGGGGCGGTGGGAGGGCGAGGGGGACGTCGGGTTGTGCACTCTCATAAGCTACGAGGTGTACCCGGAAACCCTGCGGTTGAAGCCGGACACGGGTATCCAAGAAAAAAACTGTGTAAGTGTAAACTTGTGTTGCAGAAAATGCAAAACTGTTATACTTGTCGTGCTGGACATGCATCAGAGGCAATTTTCGTGCGTGTTTTCCTTTTCACGTACTAGCTACGCATGACAGGTTTTCTGTGTCATGCGGAGCAATCTTGTGATGCTATTCTTCCAAGAAGCTCACACTTACACAGTTTTTTTCCTGGATAACGGGAAACATGCGTTCACTGGCACGGTACATGCAGCAAGTTCCGGCGGAAGTGGATGTGGACTTGAAGACCGGGCACGCGGAGTGGTCGCCGGTGAAAGAGTACGCGAACAAGCGACCAGATTGGGCGAAGAAGGACAACGAGGTCTGGCAGTTCATGATGTGGCGCAACGGGCTGGCAGACTTGAAGCCGCCCGACGGCATGGTGCACGAGTTGTAGCAACAACGCACCATGGAAGTTTTTTTTGTGAAGCTGATTTTGTTACTGCTTACTTGTTTTTGCAGCTGTTACTTTTGCGGTGTATTTTGAACGGCACGACAGAATCGAATGGATATTCATCTGTTTCAAAAACTGGACGATGCTTCTGGGTGGCTCGATTCTTTTATGCAAAGCTGGCAGTTCTTAATATTCCCTCCCAATTATCTTGTCGAATCCGAATGTGATACCAAGTGCTGGTCTCCGTTTCATTTTGTGCCTAGTTTCTGTTTCGGTTTCAAGAAGACGAGCATCTAACGGAAGACGAAGAGATGATGATGAAAAACGAAATGATATAAAGAGAAAATGTTAATGTAACAACTATCCTCGCACCTGTTGCTGTTTCCTGCTCCTGTTCGCCTGTTCGCTTTTCGCAGTTGTTACGATAGATCAAGAAGAACATGCTCAAGACGAGTCGTACTGGCGGTCTCAAAATAAATCAACACATTTCAGGAGCCTCCCTCGAGTGAAAAATATTAAAGATCCGAACGCGTCGGAGGAAGTAGCACGAAGTAGAACGCAAGCAAAATCTTTGTGAGAGGCCGTGAGCAACTACAAAACTAAGAGCTGAAAAATGCAACAAGAACAACTTCTGAGAGAGGGGCGCGGGAGATGTTCGCGATCGGTTTCTTCTTCTCTTCCTCATCCGGTCTGCACCTTCTTCTGCAGACGGCAGCGCAAAAACGAAAACAACAGGCCACGCCAAATTCTAGAACAAGAAAACCAACCGCACCAGAGCGAGACGAAGCGGCTAGATATTTATCCGGACACCGAGCTGCTGAGATGTCGATAGATCCTGATATTGATTATTTCTCAAATAGGGATTGCAGATTTATCAACATCGTTTCTCGATTCAAGGTACAGACTCATAAATATTCTGATTCCTCCGAGCTCCAGAGTGCTGCCTTTGTGGAAGAATCTCAGATAGCCCGCGTGTGAAGGTAAGGTCCGCATCTTAAAAAAAACAGTAGATGTGGACCTTGTAGAACAAGACGAAGGTCCGGCCAGATCCATCCGAGGGAAGGTGCTAGCGGACCACGAGAGCTAGCACCTTGAAGCGCCTGATCGTGACAAAAAACGGGAGGTGAGCTCTGCCGCAAGCTGCTCCCGGGCGGAGGCAGCGAAGTGTCTACAGAGTTAAGGGACAAGCACCTAACATATATGGTGCCCGATATGACCCTAAACTCGCCCAAGCCCCGGACCGTCCCAGAGTAGACACCCGCACCACAGAGGGTAAGCTTGTGAGCAGATGGAGCGCACCCGGCCGCGGCTCGAAGAGACTGACGAAGCTGCAACACCAACAGTGTATCTCAGTGCTCAGGCAGCCAGGCCCTGGCAAATTTCGGCCATTAAAATCGGCGTAAAAGAGCACTAATGTCAAAGCGCGCGGGCTTTTTGGCGTAGGCCCCTTCTCTTCGCCTGCCCGGGGACTTTTGTTTTCGGTAACTTGAAAAGGCGCCCCGACCTCCGTTTCCCAGGGGGGGGTTGTGCGTTCGGTGCTCGTGTTTTTGCTCCCCCATCCGCCGAGTCCTTCGTCCATGTTTCTCTATTTTCCCAACATGGATGCCGCTTCGCGTGTTGCCCAATAGAAGGACGCGCAACTTTGGTGGCCCAACTCTCTCCCGGGCCGCCTTGCTCCTTTTCGCGCTGTTCTGCCCCCAGGTTGTCCTGTTGGGCGGCGCTTGGGGTGGTTGCTCTCTTCCTTTGGTCTGGTGGGGGCGCGCAACCTTCTCGGGGTTCTTTTGCCTGTCGGCCATTTGTAGGGCCCCGACTCTTCGTTGCGCGAGTTTTCGCCCGGACTCCAGTTTGTGTCGTCAGCCGGGGTCCCGTCTTGTCCGGATTAATCCGTGACCATCCGTGGAGGATGGTCGCGGAATGATGAGTGCATTAATCGGTGCGATAATTTGTGCATTAAAATTGCAATAATTTGCTTCATAGGCGTTTTCCCTAAGGAAACGCCTTGGAAGCAAATTAATGGATGCAAATTTTAATTCAAAATTAAACCACCAATTAAACAAAAACTAAACATGAATTAAAGCACTAACCACGCCGGAAACCCAAGCTGGAGAAAACAGAAAAAGCTGTCACTTTTTGGGGATGGTTTTGGCGGCATCCGGGGGGCCCGGGGCTTTTGGTTTTGGGCGCCGTTTTTGCGATCTAGGGTTTTTCGGCGCAGCCCGCGGGGGTCTTGCGTTGTCTCCCCTTGATCCTTGGCGGAGTTTTCTTCTGATTCCGGGGCGGCGCTGTGCCAGTGTCGGCCCCAGTGTTGTCGATGTTTGCCCGGGCCATTGGGGCATCCTGGCCCCAGCCATTCCGCTCCGGGCCCCGCCCGGTTCCGTTTCGCGATCTGGCGCAGAAGGCAGGGCCGCGATGGGACCGGGGGGGGGGGCCCCCGGGGATTCCTCGCGCGAGGGGGGGTTGTCCTCGCGCGGCCGCGGCCACTTCCTGTGTTCGCCCCCTGGTTGTTGGGGCCGTGTGCCGTCTCTTCCCTCTGGGGTTTCCCGCTGCCGCTTTTTCGTATTTCCCGGCCCGCCTTTCTGCTTTTACATTAATGCCTTTTTACGCCAATTTCAAACCGGGTAGCTTGCCCGGGGCCGGCAGCCTGACTGACAGTGCCCGCGACTCAAAGAGATGTAGTTGCATTATGGCGCGATTGGTACAAGGAACGGGAGATAATGCTGGCCGATTAGGTGTTTCTCCTGAGAGCGGTGCCTCCCTGCTCGTTTCCTCCGGGTGATCTGCGAAATCATGTTCCACTTGGTAGCAATAAGCATAGCTTAAACAGGTGCGAAGGACAAGGATCCTCCTCCTCCTCAAGATGAGTCGTATTGGCGAGGAGATCGTGATTGATAGATCATATTGAATTTCTACCGGTCGTATTCCTTGTTTATGTTTTCTTTACATGCCCGGGCGTGGCATCACTTGTATTGTTACTTGCAGTAGAAGTAGAAAATCTTCGACTTCTACTTAGCAACGAGTTTTGACTACATCATAGCTGCGTTGCCAGGTAGCTAGCCGTCTAATCCGTACATAATACCGGCAATGAAAAATCGAAATGTTGGTCGCGTCCTGTACTAGTGCTCCGCGTTCGTCCTCGTCGTTTTCAGCATTGTCGTTCCAGAGTTCGAGTTCCCGCTGGAACGACGGGGACATAGATGCAGTTTCGCTTTCTAATTCTGGTCCCCGGCCACGGCGACCGGGAGCGATGGCCGTATTTGAAAAAGAGCATCGAGACGCTGCAAAACAGCTTCTCCCGGAGCCAATATTTTTCGGCGCGGGACGTGGACTGTGCCATTTTCACTTGGCGAAAAAGGGAAGAATACGACCTGGAGCGGATCGTTCATACACATACACAAGAGCTCCACGACAGCGGCCTTGCTACCACCTCGCGCGCCACGCACTCACCCCCAGCCCCTCCGCACAACGGTACCGGCGTGCATCGCTGCGCCGTGGTGCGAAACGAACAAGCACACTACCAGAACGCTCTGTGGAACGCGTATGAGCAGTTTATCAAGGGGGTAGGAACCGGAACCACGAACAGAAAAAGCGAAAATTATGAAAACAAAACCTACTATGACTATGTTTTGGTTCTGCTCGACGACGTGCATGTGGCGCGCTTTGATCCGGACTTTGTGTTTCCGGTGATTTGGGAGAATGAGCTGGCCGTACTCCAGCCACACTCCTTGTGCGCGGCGAGCTCCCGGCTCCCGCGGGACTACTGGCTCGATTCCCTGGCCCACTACGCGATTCCCGGGTGGAATTCCCGCACGTTTGAGATGCAGTTCACCGTTTTCGCCAACGCCGCCTTCGCCTGTTTCGCGGAGGAGACATTGAAAAACATTGGCCACGTGAAGGGCGGCTTTGATAAACTCTTCTTCTGGGCGTGCGGAGGCGAAATGTCCAGGATTGCGCGCACGGAGTGGCGCCCGCGGAAGCTGGAGTTGTTGGAACACGCGAAGGGAGTGCGACGGAGGCCGTACTACACAACGACGGTGACTACAAGACCTGCTTCATCCGCGATAACATCAAATCACGTTGAGGCAGTACCGGAATTTCCACCCAATGATGGTCATGTTGGTCCTCCTGCAGGTACTACTGTTCATCTTTCGGATCATGTTCATGCTCCATATTCCGGAAGCCGAGATGTAAAAACGTTGTTATCCGCACCACCACCATCCTCCGCTTCCCTGACCCCGAAGCAAGCCTCGGATATGGATTCTGCGGACCATTTTTGGCAGCACAAGTGGGGCGAGGTGCCCTACGACCATTGGCGCGAGGCGGTGGAGGGTCGGGTGATTGACCCGGGGAATTCCGTGATGGAGCAGACGGTGCAGGTGACGCAGCTGCGCAAGTCGCAGTATGACCACAAAATTGTCTTTCCCGTGGGCCACATGTGGTTCCGCGCGATCTCCCTGCATTTGGTCTGGGCGGTCTCTATCCAGGAAAAAACACCCATCCCCATCCAATTTGTCATGCAAAACCTGGATAAAGTGCAGTGTTTGTCATGCTAAATATGGATGGGGATGGGTGTTTTTTTCTGGATAGTCTCGCAGGGCATGCTCTACATGGCGCGCGACAACGATCACCTGCTGACCAAGGGGGAAAAGCGAAAGTCCACGCAGCTGCGGAAAAACGTTCGGCTACTCGGTGAATTGGAAAGTGGTAGTACCAGCGAGATAATTGGAACTGCAGAAGATCGTCATCTCGATCGTCCTGCAGAGGACCAAGCAAATGAGCAAGTCCCTTTTTCTTCTCCCGAAAGAAAGGGAAACCACGCTGAAGAGGATCTCCTTCCGCAGGAGTTCTGGAATTTCTCCCTCGTGAAAATGCAGCGGATATCAAAATGAAAAATCCTCCCTCCCCGTATCAAATCGTAAATCTGTGATGCAAGATTTGTGTACACAAATCAGCTTTGTCTTGCAGTAGTCGTAGAGGTCTCACCGCGCGCAGATACAAAGCCTGAGCTGGGCCTTTTTGGTGTAGGCGCCTAGCGAGGGAGGCTTATCCTCTGCACGCCCTACAGCATTACAAATTGCGCCCACAAAGCGCGGCGGGGTCTCTGGCCTTGCTTTCTTGCAATACAGAGACGATTCGCGTCTGCAAATCAGCATCGCAAATATTCAGAAGTGTCTCTTTTCAGTATGGGCAGGGGGAGTTTCTCCTTACGATAACGGAAGTACATGGCGGAGATGTTTGTGAACTGGCGAAAGGAGGTCGTGGCTCTCTGCGCCGCCACGGGAGTGCGGTACTTCTCGAGCAGAAATGTACGCACGTGTTCTGGTGTAAAAGTCTATAGTGCGTCCTCGGACTCTAGTTGCAATTTGAAATTATGCATGTTGACGGCCACAAGCTTTCTTGTTCCCATTGCCAAGCAAAATCGGCATTACAGGTTCCATTAGTGTTCTTTCTAATGCCTCTCGAAAGCAGACGAGAACGACTCAATTTGTAAATGCAATTCTTTTTACGTCGTCGTGCGAGGACACTGTTTTTCACTGTTGCCCTGCATAAAGCGCCACGACGGTGGAGCGATACCATGAGTGGCTCTTGTCGGAAAAGAGCTGTTTGCCTATGGACTGCAAAAGTATCGTACTCGTATAAAGAAATGCATTAGCATGAGAAAAAAAATTTGTCATGCGGATTTGCCTTAAGACAAAGATTTGTAATGCAAGACTTGCATTTATACGAATACGATACTTTTGCACAGGATATTGCCCGACAAGTACCAATTTCAGCTTCACCAAATGCAGCGCTCGGGAAAGCCGAGACTGCTGGTCGCACTCGACGCACTGTTCGCGCCAGTTTCAGAGGCGGAGGTGGCCTGGCTCCGGCGAGAGAGCCGCTCTGATCTACTTGATGTTGCCGGCGCAGGGACTTCTACAACAGTACCCGAGGAAATAGATGTTGCTGTCGAAGTTGAACAAGTGCTCAAGTTTGAAACCTTTTCCCAGCTTCTGCGACGGTTCGCCACAACGGATGGAGCCGCGGTGTTGACCAAGAGCGCGGCCGCGCCGGGCGCTGCAGCATCTTCAGTAGAAAATCATAAACCTGAGCCAGACGAAAGCCAAAGTAGTGCTATTGTCGACAAAAAAATAAAAATTATCCGGTCCCTTCCTGACCTGATTTTCCGACTAGATAAAAAGGCACTCTCCGAATTTCTCCACCACGTTATCGTCGAAACGGGCGGCATATCCTGTGCAAAAGTACCTTACTCGCAGTAAAAGTAATTCTCATTGCAGTCATGCATTACAAATCTTTTTCTTAACGTAGATCCGCATGACAAATTCTGTTTCTCATGCTGAGTCATGCATTTATACGAGTGCGATACTTTTGCAGTTCATACGGCACCCAGCCTTGGCCCGTGGACTCGCTATTCACAAAGCGGGCGAGTTTGATTTTTGAAAGTTTTCTGCACTCGGACGCGCAAAAATTTCTCACTGGTGCGCTATCCTTCGCGCTCGCTTTGACCACAGACTTCTCCGTCGAAACGGAGCTTCTGCCCCGCCCGCTGCGCGAGCTGACGAAGACCCGTTTTTTACCCAGAAGAACCTACCTCGACGAACTCTCCTTGCACATGAGCCGGTCGCAGAAACAGAATTTGATGCACAGTTTCATGTTTGACCAGGAGCGGGACGAGGTCGCGGCCGGTGCTGCCGGTGAATCCTTTGTAGCGCCACCTGTTGTTGTTTCGGAGGACGACGCGTCTTCACGAGGACCGCCAGGTCCTCATCGCGGCGCGCCTTCAAGTAGTAGAACTACAACTACACCGGTTGTACTATCCCATAGAAGTACAAAGACCAGCTCCTCGTCAACTACGTCTAAAAAAGTTGCCTTCAGCCAACCCCAGCAACTGGGGTCGGAATTCATTGGGCGCCTGCCACTCGCGTCGTCCTTTGGGAGCGTTGCTGTGGAAGAGAGCGACGCTGGTGGATCGCCGAGCCGCGATCCAGCATTGCCATTGCCATCCGCAGAAGATGATCATGATGTTGATGTAGAGCAGCAAAATTCATCCGAGCTCGTCCGCAAGCAGCAAGTGTACGAGCAAATGCTGAACGAAACCTACTACTTCGACCGGGCGCTCAAATTTGACCCCTTCGCGTATGGAAGCGTCAGGATCGAAATCGACAAAGTCGAAAAATTTGCAATGCGTAAAATGATGGGCACGCAAGGCCTGTGTTGGGGAGCAGGCAAATGAGACCGATAGCAGGCCTGTTTAGGGGAAGACGATGTGCTGCCAGAGTAGCATGACAGCAGCAGTCTTCTTCGTCCAAACAGCATGACAGACTGGATCTTGGTGCTCCCGAAATTTCTCATGCGCCACTTGAAAACTGAGGCTCTAACTGGCATCGATTTTGTGCATCACAAGTTTTCCGATTTGGTTAATTTCGATTCTGACACATCCATATCGCGGTGGCGCAGTATAATCTTGACAAGGAGAAAAACAAGATGCAGCTGAACAAGCAGAAGCCGAACCAGAACCGGCGGAATGTGTTCACGAAAAAGATGGCGGTGGGAGAGAGCAGTCGGTTGGTACGCGGTGGCCGGGATGTCCAGGGCAACAGCTTCACGCAGCTCCGTATCCCTCCTGGAAAAGAAAATGTGTCGCGCTCGTACAAAGAATTGATGCAGTCATGCATGACGTCAAGTGTTGTCTTCGCCGGCGTGGAATAGCACATGCAAATCCACGGACTTATTTAATTCTTGCAAGAGTTTGTCATGCTCATGCGATAGCGATTCATACAACCAGTGCGAACAAATACGTTTCATCCATTGCATACTCCTAGACCTGGAGCAGGACCTGACCTTCCTCACTGCGGACGAGTTTCACGACGCGCTGAACGACATATCCTGTGCAACCATCAAGAACAACGCTTTCACTATTACCGCCGCTTGCATAGCCACGAGTTCTTCCCTGTGCACCATGCTGTGATCTGTCTATGCATTTGCATGACGAATCTAAAATAAAATCTTGAAACTTCAACGCTTGGATGGAAGCTCATCGGGTTGATGTAAAAATGTACTACTTACACGGGTAGAAGACCACGATGCTGTTGTTGATTTGTTTACACAGGATACATCCATTCCTTGGTCAATCTGCTTCACTGCTCGGAGGCAAACCAAATCGCGGCCAACGACCCAAATCGACACATCGGCATTAACGAACAGGGATGGGACAGGGAAAATAGCAAGGTGGTTACCTGACATTATATTTCACTTCGGTGTTTTGGCTGTGTGGCGCTTGCTTTGAGAAAGAAAACATCCTACAACTACAGAATAAAGCTGCATACTTCATCTCATCTGCTGCCTTTTCCTACTACAGTACGGAAAGTTGCAACTGCGCGCTTACCTGTTCGTACTTGATTTCGATGTTGATTTTTCGATGGCATCATAGCTGAGATGCGTTCCTGTCATGTCAACAAGCCATCAGCCATTCGTAAGAGCAGCCCTTGAAAAATGATCAGCTCGTATACTTACTACGCAAGATGGTTCTTCTTTCTCGTGTGAAAAACCGTTTGAACTCGCAAAAACTCGACTCTATCGTTCGTTTTCGTGCACAAAGTCGAGCTCAAGAGTAGAGCACTTAAACTGCCTTTCAGATACAGAAACAGATTGATGAGCATTACTCCTATTTTTCGTTCGAATTTCTCGGTCCTCGTCGCAAGTAAACAGCAAAGAACCTCGGCTCTTTCCTTCCCAAAACTTTTTGCCGCAAGAACCCACTACAAAGCATGCCATTGCGCCAGCCATCGTGCCTTTTTTTTCGGTCCAATCGCAAGAAAGTCGATTCTCGCAATTATCGTGAACTACGTGAGTGAGTCGTGCAAAACAGCAAAGCGCCATTTTTCAATCGCATTCGTGCAATGGTACTATGTACATCCACCTTGCTTTTCAAAATCGATCAATTTCAGGACCACCTCCCGCGTGTAGTCATATTTTGTGTAGCCGATGTTTTTTGCAACCCACGACAAACAGTAACGGGAAAATGACTTCTGATGTTATCATGCTATGAAGTTGCACTCCCGGTACAGTAGTAATGTAACAAAATAGTGCTTCTTGCATAGTACAACTACTAAGTTTTTGTGCACCGAGAAAATATCTTGAAGTCAGTGTGAAAATTTTCCAAAATAGCTTCCTCTTTGTACAAGAATTCGTACTAACTAGAACTGCAGCACACTATTTCGACCTATCCAGGCTTCTTGCCGATTTTGCCATTTTGATTTTGCTTCATTTTGAACCTTTTGCTTAAATTTTGGAACTGTGCTACTAAGTGATCTTGAGCTGCAGGTGCGCTTTTGCTCTTATTTACTGTTGTTTCACTTTTAATATCTCTTCTATCTACATTGTGAAGACAAGCCACTGTATGCCGACGCGACACGACTGTGATATTTCAGTCTCGTATGTCTGCGTTGCATGACCTAAACCCAGTGCTCCTGGTACTACTATTTCCCGTTTTATTTTTCACAACAAATACAAGCACAACTCTGTTGACGACTCGAGCCGCCCGCGAAAAACTTCCTCCGTCGCTAAAAGAGCCGGATATTAATTTACTATTGAGGCTCCGGCTTAATATAACCAGGGATACAACTACACCAAAATGCCGCTTCTTCCCGTAGTTCCCGGCATCTCCCCCCACCTTCTCGTCCCGAAGGCGTCTGGTTTTGCCGTGGTCGTGCATTCGCACTGGACCCAGGTCTACGAGAATTACCACTGGCTGCCCGAGTACCTGCAGCAGCAGGAACAGGCTGAGCAGCGGGGACAACAACGGCAGCAGCAGCAGCAAGGAGGGGTCGGAGCTGATACAACGAATTCGACAACAACTCCCACCACGACGGCGGTGGTCCGCAACCGATTGAGTGTGAATGAGTCCGCGCCATTTGCGAATTTATTAAACGGTGGATTATCGTCCACCACCTCCACGTTGGGTGGCGGTTTTTCTGCGTCTCAGTTTGATCCGACGGTGCTGGACCTGCTGGGCTCGCGACCGGTTTTTTCGGAGCACGTTCTGTCAAATGAATTGTTCGACTACACCTACCGAAACCACATCTTCCGTCTCCACGACCGTAACAGCAATGTCGTGGTGTTTTTCCCGCACATGAGCCTCATGGAGCAACAGCAGCAGCAGGGAACAAATGCTACCAGTAGTAGTGTGGAGCAGCAGGAGACGACAAGAACTGCGGGTTCGCTTTCGGCTGCGCAAGACGACGAGGAAACCGCTGCTGGTCGTGCAGTTTCCGCATCATCTGAGCTGCAAGAACGTGCTTCATCCTTTGGGTTCAGCAGCGAACGATCCGGAGAAGTTCCCGCTCTCGACGCCGCCACGGAGCGGTCGAGCAGCCACGGAACAAGCAGTGATAATGGGGCGACGTACGAGGATGAGGAACAAGATGAAGATCGTTATCAATTGCAAAAATGTCTGGGTCTGGAAGAATACAAACTTGTGATGCGCATTTCAGAACACAGAAAAATCTCTCACGCATAGGTGGCAAAAGCTGCCCACTTTCTGTCACCAAAATGGAAGATTTGTCATGCGGATTCGGCATTGCGGAAGCTTCTCGAAACCTGTGATGCTAGAGCTTCCATGCCTGACCTTCTGTGTCATGCAAAAACAGCATGACTCTTCCAGACCCAGACACTTTTGCATTTGATAATCGTGACCTGAAGACTATTTCTTGTTCTGCCACGAAAAAAGGAATGAATATGAAGAAAACGGCCAGAATTACTTCGACGTCGGCACCCGCACCCCAAAATCAACTACAAGCTTCTACCTCCCTAAGCCTAAAAATCGCGACCCCTACTTCTACATCACATGATCAAGAACTGACTATTCCGGAGTTGTTTGACGAGGACGAGCTGGAGGGCATCCTGTTTTCCCGGGAGAACCAGCACGACTTTTACGAGCAGAAATCCATCTACTACGAGGGCGACTGCAGCATCGATGGCTTATCAAATGTAAAAATCCCTGGATGTCTGGAAGAATGCAACTTGTGATGCTGAATTTGGATTCCACAAAAATCTGTATTGCATGAGCAGCAAAGGGAGTGGTGTGGAATTTTTGCTACACGGAGAGGGCATTTGTCATGCGGAATAGGCACCATCACGAAGCCCTCAAAAAGTCTGTGATGCTAGGGCATGCATCACAGACATTATGGCCCAGGCAAAACAGGCATGACAAGTCTCAGAATCTTCCAGACCCAGACACTTTTACATTTGATATGGCTGCAACTTGTACGATTTTTCCGGGGCCAGCACGTCCTACCCAAGTTCCACCACATCCGAAGAAGACGACTCCTCTTCGTCTTCGGGGGATGACGAAAGAGCTACTGGAAAGGACAAGAGGACCAACAGCAGTCCTCTGTACGGTAATATCAGCAGCTGCTGTTGTTCCACCTCTTCTGGTTTGCGCACAACATCAAGCAGCGAAGGGGGCGTGCAGACGACGACGACAACGACGACGAGCACCGCCAGCGCTGCAACGGGCGGTGGAACTACAACCGACTCTACGAGCTGCACTAGAACAAGTGGAGTGTTGGCCCAAGCCAGCACAACAACTGCGGCATCCTCGTCGTCCTCTAGTGGTCGCACGACAGCAACTCGATACAACTACAACAACCAACGGCATCAAATTGACCTCTCCGCTGAGCACTGGACCATTATCCACTGCAAAAGTATCGTAGTCGTATGAATTGCAGGTATGCATGAGAAAGCTGCTTTCCTGTCTGAATCTGCATTACAGATTCCAATTTTCTTCTTGAACAAATTTGTCATGCGGTTTATACTAGTGCGATACTTTTGCAATGCATAACCATGCGCAACGGACAACTGGAGCGACCGGACGCGTGGACCATCACCTCGGGACCCGGACTCTCGAGAGGTGGATATCCTGTGCAAAAGTAGCGTACTCGTAGTAATTGCAGTCATGCATTACAAATCTTTTTCTGAAGGCAAATCCGCATTACAAATTCCATTTCATTCTGATGCTAAGGAGTAATTTGTAATGCAATTTATACTATAGTACGATGCTTTTGCAGTTCATAGTGGAACCGCTGCACGAATGCTCGACCTCTCTGTGGCGGGGACGGCGCTGTACGGTCGTGCTGGTGCCGCCGCACATCAACAGCACACGGACCAAACGTGCCGACCGCTGATCATTTGCGGAATGAGCCGGGTCTAGGTTCTTTCATTGTGATCATCATGTTCTTGCGCTGTGCAAAATATAAAAGCAAATTGTTTGAAGTTCAGCTTTGTTTCGATGAATTTTATTGATACTTGATGTGTAGTAAGTTCTAATACCTCCACCTTTTACGTGATAACGAGCATGATCGTGTGGAGTTGTAGTTTTTGTCTCTTACCGAGTGTTTGCGTTGGACAGCCACGGCGCCGCTGTTCGACCTCGACATACTCTCTTTCTCTAGTGCCATAAGAACTTCTAAACCACTTTGCACAATGTACTTTTGGCTCATTTATTTTAATACGTCGATCTGGTTCATCACCATCCGGGATAATTGTGTGCAGCTAGCCATTTGTGAAGTGAACAAATCGCCGGAAGATGAACCAAGACTATCTTCTAGTTCAACCTGAAGCTGAACCGGAAGATCAAGAACTTACAGATACAATAGTGGACTATTAATTTTGAGTTTTGATGCCATAGAAACCCACTACTACAAGCAACTACTCTACCCATTGTTCGCCCACCTGAGGAAGTAGCCAGGACGATTTTTCCTTTTGCCTTTCAAATAATTATCCGGTCGTGTTCATTTTAATTATTATATCTCCCTATAGTATAATCTTCCTATCATTCCATAATTTTCAGCCTCTGCCACCTCAGCAACTACCGCTTCAAGGTTGAAGATTATTGTTCGTGTAGAGCTGTATGGAAAAAAAATGTAAATGCAGCGAGGCGCTTGCAGTGTGTAGCGAATGAGCTAGTACTAGTAGAAATTGAAATTACAATTAAAACTAGGAACAAAGTGATAAAGTAAAAAGCAACAACAGTTTTCGCACTCGTAGTTGTGAAAATCGAAAGCTAAAAAGAATTGCGTAGCTACGAACACTTTTGAGTATTCTGTACCAAAGCCTGGAGCTTGGGTAGCTATTGCAGCCAAGCGAAACTATTGGCCGCGACTTCTGCCAAACTAACCGCATCTCCATCTGAGATTTTGTGACCAACATCGCCATTCTTGCCGCTGATAAGAGGCTATATTTTGGAATTGCGCATCAAAGAAAAATGGCCCGCGCTGCACAAAAACTCCGGTCCTTTCTTGGTGGACTGCTCACCCGATAGCAAATTATGGGACGAGGTCGCGGTCGGATTTCCTCTACTAGTTAGTACTGCGAACTGAATCATTACTTCGCTGCCAGTGGCTCTATGTCTTCTTTGCATGAGAAGTGGTTCTCCTCTGTAATATTTAGTTTCTATTTTGCTTTGTTGATCGTAGAATTCGTCTCGTAATTCTATATTGAGAAATTGTCCACGCGAAATATAAAAGAACTACCGCAGACGATGATTTTGATTTCCCTTTTCCTCTCGCACGCAAGACGAGCTCCTACCCGACCACGAACTTCTTGTATACAAGATTATTTTCCACTGATCTTCAAAAATGAAAACGCAAGAAGAACCTCCCCGAATCTTGCTCCTCGTCATGCCGACTCTCCAGAAGTTGCTTGCAGGCGCTGGTGTTCATCCTTTTCAGAAGGTGCAGAATAAAGTTGTGCTGTTGGTTCTCTTCTCTTCTTCTTCTATTTCGACGTTAGTTACGCTACCTCTAGTGCGTGCTTGGTTACTTACGTTGGCGGAGTTATTGTCGTGTCTCCTATAGTGCACGATACAACCACGGCGATAACATCATACCTGATCAGTTTTGAAGCTACATCTTCCCAGGTAAATGCTCATGCGGATCTTCACCACGCCCTCATGTGGATCAAATTAGGAATGCCTGAACGGAGAATGTGTTTTTATCTTTGCTGTCAATGGCAACTACATGCTCGTATGGTTATTTTGCTGAACAGAACAACATCCAATTACCATGAGGCAGGCCGCTACTGAGTCGCTGTTTGATATAGTGTTCTGCACGAGCGTTTTGTTCGTAGTTTTGTCGTGTTATCTAAAACAAGATTTAATTTTCGCGAGATAATATAGAAAAAGAAACAAATTAGTACCAACAGCCTGCCAGATGAATTATCAAAATTATTTACAACAAAAGGAATTATCAAAAGCCTGCTAAAAACAGTTCATGATGTCTGACGTCTTTTCATTCTGAAACAGCAGTCGCAGCTACGAGGAAGGGTGAGTACCATCGCGATGAGCTTCAACTTGGCGATGTTGACGTTGTTCATCTAGACCTGGTATGGATTGCAAAAATGTCTGGGTCTGGAGACTTGTAATGCTAAAAGTGAATGGCGTACGCACTGCAATACGCAGCTACGCATGAAAAATTCAAGGCTAGTTGGTCTATTGTGAAGATGCCGGATTTGATGTTTTCATCTTCACTGGCAAGGGGCGTAAGTTAAGTACATATGTTCATTCCGCACGATCGGTCTGTTCGTTGTGTCGTGTATCTTTCTTGGTTGGCGGTCTTTGTTTATCTATCAAAAACAAAAAGAAAAATTTAATTTTCGCGAGTTATTATAGATACTTACAGTTACAGCCAATAAATTTTGACGTACGTCAATGAATTGTTTAGGTTTACACGACGTAATATTGCAATCTTCACAAAGAACATTCTCCATCCGCTCTCATGTCGAGCATCATGACAGCGCCGGACGTGGTCCAGGAGTTTCGAGACCGCACCCCGACCTTAACCTCGCCAAACATAAGGCTTTCTCCCGCGGCGGGCGAGGCGGAACACGATCAGCAGGCCTTTCCTCCAAGCAGTGACCTGACTGCTGGTGACCAGCACTTTGCTTCACCCGAGCCGGAGCCCGCCATGCCGAGAGCAGCGAGCCCCACAGCTGGAAATAGGGAGACAAAAGCGAGTGCAACTACGTCGAGTGGCGCCCACCTCAAGGAGCTCTCTGCCTCGGCCATCAAGCCACCAAACTTGCCGCGTGACAGCGACCAAGGTCGAGACCATTATGCAGCGAGCGATGGCATTGATCAAGAAGATGTTCTGCGTGCAAGAAACATCACGGCTCCTGAGGGTAGTGCTAGTGACTTGATAAATCCTCCACCGCCCAACAACATAGTAACGAGGCCCCCAAACCAGCAGTCCGCGGCGACCGCTACCTATCCTGTGCAAAAGTATCGTATTCGTATAAATGCAAGTCTTGAATTACAAATCTTTGTCTTAAGGCAAATCTGCATTACAAATTTTATTTATCATGCTGCGGAAATTTGTAATGCATTTATACGAGTGCGATACTTTTGCAATTCATACTACCTCTGGGTCGTCGACGAACGTCTCGCTGCCGGAGCGTGTGCGAACGTCAACAAATGCTAGCGTGAAAAGCTGTTGGTGGCGGTTCACTATGAAATGCAAAACAAGCCTCGTACTAGTAGAAATCGCATGACAAATAATACCCTCAGCATGAAAAATGAAATTTGTATACGCGGATATAGGTTCGCAATTACTACGAGTACGATACTTTTGCAGTGCATATTCACGCAACAGAAGCTGAAGTCCTGGCATCCTTTGATGACGCCGCGGCTCGTGGTGCGGCTCACCTACGCAGTGTCCTTGTTTCTGCTCATCATCGGCGTTTCCATCATCGCCAGTGTCGCGAACGTCCTCCGGGTTGCCATTGACTACACCGGAATGGACGGGGCGACGTCGCCGCAGCGGCTCATCGTATCCGACGGGAGTGCGTTTTTGGAAAATGACCCCGTCCACGTTGTCGTAGAGAACGTCGCGACCTTCATCGACAAGGTCGGTGGCTCCGGCCCCATATGACAGTGCACAACTCCACCCCCTCCCCGCCCTCATTTGTCATGCAAAATACCAAATCCTAGTGCTGCTCAGTGGTACTGTTTGGATGTTGGCAGATTCCGGAAGGAGCCCAAGCCGTACTACATTATGCGCATTCGTGCACATCTGGCTCCACAGGTGCGAGCGTTTGTATTGAGTTGTCCATGCAATACAAATATGGGGAAGAGCAGGGGCTTGTGCACTTTCATACCCCAACGCGGACAAGGAGAAGTTTAAGACCACCGTATCCTGTGTAAAAACATCCCCACCCCAGAGTTGTCATGCAGATCTGCAAGCACAAGAGCGTTTGTTTTTTGTAATGCGCATCCCTTTGAGAGGCATTTCGATTTCCCACTGTGTTTTGGAACTTGTAATGCTGTAAACTTAAAACAGGATGAAAAGATGGATTTGTTTATGCAACTTCCCTTGCTAAACTGGACTACACTACAGCCTGCAATTTGTCATGCGTGGTTCCCAAAACTTCAAGGTTTGTGTTGCAAAATCCCCAACTTGACTCTGGGGTGGCGACGTTTTTACAAATGATACACCGCCTTTCAGGTCCGGCTGAAGCTGAAGGAGCCGGTGCCGGGCGACGAGGACTTGTACGTGTACTACGGGATGCGGGGCTTCCACCAGAATCTCCGCCGGTTTGTGTACAGCAAGGACGTCACGCAGCTTTCCGTGTCCACCTACACGACGCCGGACGAGTACCGCAAGGCCGCCGCCGCGGGCGAGTCTTGCGCCGTATGCATTGCAAATATGTCCGGGTCTGGAAGATTCTAAACTTGTGATGCTGTCTCTGCATTCAAAAGAAATTTGTATTGCGTGGTGACCAGCAACAGGACTCCAGTTTGTGCGCCGCGGATAGGGCATTTGTCATGCGGAATAGGCACTAGGAAGCCCTCTCAAAATCTGTGACGCTAGTGCATGCATTACAGACCTCATGTGTCATGCAGAATATGCATGACAAGCCTGGCAATCTTCCAGACCCTGACATTTTTGCATTTGATACGCCGAGGCCCTGTACGAAAAAAACGCGGACGGAGACACGGTGCTGCGCTACCCTTGCGGACTGATCGGGAAGCACGTATGAATTGCAAAATTATCGCACTCCTACTCGTCGAATTGCAATAGTACAAATTAGGTGCTCAGCACGACACAGGAAATTTGTCATGCTGTTTTTTTTTTTTATTTTGGGAGAGCTGGAGATTTGTCATGCATTATATATAGTAGTTGCGAAGATCATTACTACGAGTCCGATACTTTTGCACGTGATAGCACGCTTTTAACGACGAAATCCTGATGGAGGACCTCCCGGAGGGCCAGAGCAACGCCACCAGCGACTACGCCTCCTTGTATCTCAGTGCTGCTGCGCCCGGGGGCCAGGTTTCTGCCACGACAAGCCGAAAGTGGCGAAAGATCGAGCTGCTACAGGATGTGGATTCCATAGGGTGGAAGGAGCCCGAGATCGAGAGCGGGCAGTTTTTCCAGATGAAGCCCGACTATCGCCGGAGCAGCACCGGGTCTGATATCCAGGAAAAAACACCCATCCGCATCCAATTTGTCATGCAAAACATACATAAAATTCTGTGTTTGTCATGCAAAAAATCGTGTGGATGGGTTTTTTTCTGTGGATATCTGACTACGTGCCCACCTACGAGGAGGGCGTCGACATGTGGGTGGTGCGCTCGTTCCCGCCGGTGCAGTGTATGATCCGCAGTAAACAAATTCCCGTACTGCGCGACGTAGAAATTATGTGGCTTTGCTGGCATGACTAACTTTTTCTTCAAGAGGCCTGTTCAGCATCACACGTTGCTTCTTCTAACTATAGTTAGTTGGTGAAATTCGTCGTGATACATTTTGTACAAGTGCGGGGATGGAGATTTTAATTGCATACAGTGTGTGCAGAAGCACCAGGCGGACGAGTTCGGCTATTCGGTGCAGGTGCCGCCACTGTACCTGGCGCGCAAAGAGCCGGCCAACCCGAATTACGCGCAGACGCGCCAGTACGCTTGCGGGCCTTACGAGCTGAACCGCCCGGGAGAATGGAAGATTGAGGACGACGACGCGGGCACCGAGCAAAAAATTGGCCCCTTTCGGCCCACCGACCCAGCGGCCAACTGTTTGTTTACCAGCACGGAGGACCCAGATGCGGTTCCGGTCAACTGGAACAACACCAACACCGCCCAGACCGACAACTACCAGCGGTCGTACGAACGGAAGCAGTGCTCCCAGTGGACCGGAAGCCACATGGTAACCGCCGCGAGCCCGACCGCGGGACCACTTGCGGGCACGACGTCGTCCTCAACATCATCTAGTACCGCCACCACCTCCACCTCAGTCTATGCTTTGCAAAAATATCGTAAGTACTCGTATAAATGCATTACAAATTTCCTCAGCATGAGAGATAAAATTTGTAATGCTGATTTACCTTAAGAAGAAGATTTGTAATGCATAACTCCAATACGAGTGCGATACTTTTGCACAGGATACAGTCGCTCCGGCGACCACCACGATTTCACAGGTATGAAATGCAAATATGTCTGGGTCCGGAAACTTGTGATGCTGGCTGGCGACTCGAGAGAACGCCAGAAATGACGGCTCAGCATGACAGGTTTTTGAGTCGCTAGGTGTTGCCTATTCTGCATGAGAAACTGGGTCTTTGCATGACACAAAAGTGGCGCTTTTGAGTACCTTGCATGACAGACTTGACAGTCGTGCTACCAGAGCATGACAAACCCGGCACTTTCCCAGACCCAGATATAATAATTTGCAATGCATAACAGGCGCGCCAGTACGAACTGCGCGAGAACAGGCGCTGGGGGGTCGAGTCGCCGCTTTTTATCAAAAGGGAAAATCCCATCACCCCATATCGAAAACGAAATTTGTGATGCTGTATTTGAGTACACAAATCGACTTGCAATGCTAGAAGGCCAAGGGCCGCCGTCGTGGCCTCGTTTGCAGGCAACTTCGCTTGCTGTTTCCCACTTCCAGCTGCTTCCTGTCATGCTGAAGATGCAAGACTTCCCCACGCCACACAGCACTACAGTCCGCATCTTTTCCCTTCTAGCATGACAAAGCTGATTCGTGACTGCAAATCTGCATCACGGATTTCCGCTTTGATATGGGGAGGGGGAATTTTTCTTCTTGATATTTTTCACCATTTGGTTTCACATCGCCGCCACCAACGTGTTCACGAAGCTGTGGGGCAAGGTGGCCAAGTCCGGGCACGAGGCCACGCCCACCGTGCACAAGGATATCGCAAGAAAAAAGTGTGACAGTTACACACATAGTCTATGCAAGACCGGCAACACAGACAACCTGTCTCATGCAGGAAACGCTTGGGAGCCTCGTTTCCTTCCTGTTTTTCCTTATGATCTTCGCATTACAAGTTTTCTCTGCCACACAGAGAAAATTTGTGATGCAGGAACTCCAAGAAGTGTGTAACTGTAGCACTTTTTTCTCGTGATAAAGGAAATCCGGCTCACGGTCTTCAGTCGGTTCAAGACCATATGCATTGCAAAAGTATCGTATTCGTATAATTGCATTACAAACTCCCTCAGGATGAGAAATAAAATTTGTAATGCGGATTTCGCTTGAGAACAAGATTTGTAATGCATGTTTGCAATTACTACGAGTACGATACTTTTGCACAGGATAGACCAACCGCGGCAGCAAGAACAGCGAGCACATTTATCACAGGAAAAAATGTAAATGCAGCACTAGGTTGTACTCAACATCGACATCCGCATTGCAATAAACGCATATAATTACAGGTGGAGACACTTACCATTGTACACTGAATTTTTACTTTGTCTACCACAGGAGTATGCACGATGAAACTACAAGCTACATTCCTGGTCATGCCCCCTTACAGCAATCTGCGAACGAAGCGAACCGCTATGAAAGAACGTGATGCACTTTATTCCTGGTTGATAGCTTCAGCAAGGAAATCATCATCGGCACAGCGTCCTGGGTGGGCTCAAGGAACCGCCGACTTGGCTTCTTCTTCCTCGCTATGAATTGCAGATATGATGTCTGGGTCTGGAAAAAAGGACGGCATCGCATTTGTCATGCTTGCGCGGGACACCAACCAAGCACACAAAATAAAAGCTGTGAAGATTGTGATGTGACGCACAAAAGCTTCTCAATTGTTGCAGCTACGCAAATAGAAGCCAGCTTTCCACTCACAAAACAGCCATGGAGAAGTCGTCGCCTAAATAAAGCCTGTACTCGTGAAGATGCTTTCGCAAGCAGCCTTAGAGACCTTTCACAAGCCACTCTCGTTACACTACTGCTGCTGCGTGAGCCAACATAATCGCTGCCGTACTCCTCCAGCAGCAGACTCAGACATGTTTGTACTGAATACTCGCCGCGGCCGGCGTCATGCTCCTGGTCGCGTTCTACTTCACACACACTTACGTCGTCTACTCCCGTCGGGTTGGGGATGTTCGATATCTCCGCGACTTCGGTGCTGCGGCGGCGAAAAATAAAGACGCGGGCAAGGACAGCCAGAAAGCGGGGGTGTTCGGACAGTTCCGCGCCGCGCTTCGAGGGACCTTCGGCATCTGCTTTCGAAGTTCGTCTTGAGGCGTAGCTTCGGACTTTAGAGTATTTTTTGAACAATAAATGAAGGCTATGTACAAAGAACTCTCTGCAGAGAACAGCAGCTATTCTGCGTTGACCACGTCTCAGTGGCACAGTACCGTCGTCGCTTGCTCGTTGTGGCACAGAAGCAACAGGCAAAAGCTTCGCGAGTTGTTTTCTGACTTGTTCTGGTAAATTTGTGCCAAGGCTGAGTTTTCCTTTTCTTCTGTTTTTGCAGAAGATGAGGCTTCACTTCACATGAAGATGTTTTGATATACTGAATTCTGTTGTTGCCCCTGGTCGTTTCGTCTCTGAGGTGGCGCCCCGACGCACCCTTACTCTATCATCTGCCCGCGATCTGACTGCCACGCTAGTTGTTTTCAGATCCACAAAACACCCCACCGCTCACGATCAAAATTATCGATAGGAAAGTCTAGCTACGAACTAGATCTGGATCACCAAGGTCGACGTAAAAGTGCACTCTACTATAGCTTTTTTGAGCGAAGAAACAAACCCAAAAACGAATATGTTGGACGGTGCCGTGCGGTTTCGGAATCTTCATGATCGTGATCGTCATGCTGCGGACAGAGATTCCCTAGCACGGGCAAGTTTGCCCGTCGCTGGTTCCTCTTTGCAGAGTAGCTGCGAAGACCAGCAGGACGACGAGAAGACTTTGCTCATGTCCAGTTTTCACGGTAACGCACACAGGCGGTCGACGCAACACCATCCTCAGCCGCACAGATCAAAAGTCTCCACCCGGTGGTCGAGACGCTTCCGCGTCAAGGAGATGAAGGACTCCGGAAGTAGCTCCTGCGCGAGCTTTTTTTCTTCCGCTGTAGGAACTACAGCCTCTTCGTTGTTCTTTCTCACGACAACCACTACACTTCAACTTCTTTTTCACGATAACCCTATAATTCCATCTGTCCACGCGGTCCAGCACGCCGAGCGCGAGAAGGAAAATTTCGCGCTGTGCCTGGGAAACTTCGAGCAGTGTCACGACTACGTGGAGACGCTTCTGGGGGAGGAGGCCGGCAGCTTTTTACGGAAGGTCTGCGAGTCGTTTGATTGTGCGGAAAAAAATCAGGACAAAGTGGATCAGCTGCCCATCACCCAACTACGCATTGCAAAAGTAACATACTAGCATAAATTGCATTACAAATAATTTTGTTAAGAAGAAAAATGGTTTTACAAATTCCGGATTTGTAATGCTGTTTTACCCTAATAGGAGGAAGATTTGTCATGCGTATTTGCAATTAGTACGAGTGCGATACTTTTACAAAGCATACCAGCAAGACTTCGACGACGGTGTTTGGAAGCTCCACCAGCCGGGGTACAATCCAGAAAGCCTGTTTCCCAAGACCAAAGGGAGGGTGTTGATTCCGTATTTGGACTACTGTGCCGCTGCTGGGGATAATGATGAGGAAAATAATGTCGATAAAAGAACTACACGTGGGAATATCAAGCACGAGAACGGGGACCAGCTAGAGCAGCTCCTGCAAGATGACCGCATTTGCCACTGGGGCCACGAGCAGGATCACGTCCCGCTGTCCCTGGATCAGCACGTTTTTGGTCTGTCCCACTTTGCCAACGGCCTGCAACAGGTCGTCGATGGCGGCCTGCCTGAGGAGCAGGTGCGTTCCCAAGCCAACTTGATCATCGACCTGTGTGAGCAGATGCGGGAAATCTCGGTCGCCCTGCTGTCGGCCGAGGAAAAGATGATTGACCCGTCCGAGTTCGCGATTGAGGACAACGCAAAACTGCTCGAGCAGTACCAAAAGTTTCTTTTACCCTCCAATCCGGAAAATCCGCACTTCGAGGAGGTCGGTGACTCGTTGCTGGCGGTCTACGGTCGCTGGAAAGCCACCGTGGAGAAAGAAGTTCTGGGCTACCGGGACCCCAACGCGCTGAACGACTTGGGAAAGGCCTGCGTGGTAAAAGACGTAGTTCTTTCAACATCTAGTTCCTCCTCCGCGGTAGCTGCCAGCAAGAAAAACAATAAGGCGCGAAAGAAAAACGGCTACGAAACCGCCCTGGCTTTGCAATTGACCGTGGCGGCGCGACTCCTCATGCTGCACGCGCGGACCAGCCTGGGCCTGATATGCCATGTAGATTTCCCGTACATGTACAAAATGCATGACAAATTTCGCTAAGTTGCAGTGTACAACTTGTCATGCTAGACTAGGACTGAAGGCTAGTTTTGTCATGCAGAGACTGCATTTGTACGTGTACGGGAAATTTACTGTGGATATCTGAAGCTGGTGTTCACCGAAGTTTTCCAGTCCCAAAACCACGACTTTCCGTGGAATCTTCCCCCTGTATTGCAATGAAAAATGCCCCCAAACCCCGAACGTAGTTGGGAGCATTTGTATTGCAAACCTTTCCAAATGAAACACTCGCGCTCGCCCTCTTGTATCTACCAGCATCACAGGTTTCCCATCGTGAATAGCAAAAATTTGTATTGCAAAAGACCCCAGCAAGCGAGGCACTTGTCATACAAGCGATGCGATACACGCCTAGACTCTGCATCAGAAAGATTCATACTCCTTTCATGCATGACAAAAAGTTTTCATTTGGAAACTTCGCATCGCAAATTTTTGCGATTTCAGGGTTGGGGGGGGGCACTTTTCACTGTAATACCCTGTCTACGTGTTTCAGCCCATCGCCTACGGACGCCACTGGGACATGCTAGACGCCTTCCTCTTGGAGGAATGGCACTCGGACTTACCCACTCTACTGCTCGACCGCGACGTGCGGTTTCTCTTGCGCGGCCACCCACAAAAACTCGTGGACCGTCGGACCCATATGGAAGCAGAAAAAATACGGTGATAGGGTGAGACTGCTCATGCTCGCAAGACAGTTGCATATGTCATGCTGCACCACCGGGCATGCATTCGGTAAGGCCCGTTCAAGTACCCTACCGTCAGATCTACCGCGCATGTCTGGAGGTTTATGTGCTGTCATGCCAGCCAGATTTGTGATGCTGTCTCCCGAGTAAAAAGAAGAACTACGCTTAGTAACCCCTCTTCATAGTTTCATCTTGGATAACCCGACCTTTACGCGTGCTGGAGATCGGTGTCGCCGTGGGGCAAAACGGCAACTACCTGCTTTCCCGGTTCCCCAACCTGCACTACACCGGCGTGGACCCGACGATCGCTCCCGAGGTCCGCGTATCCTTTGCAAAAGCATCGTACTCGTAGAAAAATAAATGCATTACAAATTTCCTCAGCATGAGAAATAAATTTTGTAATGCTGATATACCTCAAGAAAAAAAATTGTGATGCATGATTGCAATACGAGTACGATTACGATACTTTTGCAATTCATACCGCGCCCGTTTCGCCCAAAACTTCGCCCCGCACCGCTACGACTTGCTGGCGGAAACGTCCCAGGCCACCATTGACCGCTTCCCGGACGCTTCTTTCGATTTAATCTTCATCGATGGGCCGCACACCTACAAGCAGGTGAACCACGACATCCTGCACTACGCGCAAAAGGTAAAGCCGCTGGGCATCCTGGCGGGGCACGACTTCACCTGCGTGCATCCGCCACTGCTCTGGGGAGTGTCAGACCAGCGCCTGTGGGTATGAGAGAAGAGAGAGGAAGACAATTTTTGTCACAACTATGACTATCATCTGTGTTGCGTTGCTGCATCTACACGAATGTTCCTGCTTTCGTCCACGGGTTCTTCTATAAGAAAGCGTTGCGCACAAGGTAACCCGAGGATTGCCGCTAGCTCGATCTAATTTCTCTGGCGTAAGCATGCATTCTCCTCGTCTCTTTCTGTTCCATACGCGCAGCAGAAAATCTACTACGGTATGGACGGTGTGTGGTGGTGGCGGGTGGGTGAGGAAGAGGAAACTGCACAAGAGGGGCCGCAGGAGGGTGGAGAACTGTGATGCGGAAAGAAAAATCGCGATGCGAGGCGTATTATCGATAAAAAATGAACTGGTGTATGTTGTGTCTGTGTGTACGGGTAAGTTTGACATTTTGTCGTCAAAAACATGTACTGGCGCGAGGTGCATCTTCGTTCGAAAGGTACTGTGTTGTTCTTTGTCGTGTTGAATGTGCGACGTAACCCGAAAAGTGATTCAACTCCTGTGGTCCCGAAACGAAGTAGTTCTGCGCCGCGAAAGCGCTTCAATGTTTGTATCGCAACTCGCGGACTGCTCGCGGAAGGATCGGCGCCTTTCTGTATAGCATTGCGTTGGACGATCAGCGACAACGAGAGGAAGCGAAGATCACCAGTAGTTCATGCTATCGGCTTCTGCAGAAGATCCTGAAAGTCAAAATTGACAGTCCAACGGGGCGGCTACAACTCTTTATTAATTCTTTCATAGAGTCTGCCGCGCAAAAGGAAGATCTCACATTCGTGTGGATCATTCGAGTAGTTGTAGTTGCACCAGGTCGGCATTTATGCTTTTGCTTTGCACTTTCTATAAAGTCGCTGCCGGTGGGCGTAAGTTCTTTTCATCGTTGTAACTTCGAGAACTACCACCTCCACCTTCCCTGGTCATTGCAATTTCTCAGGAACGTGTCGGAAGATCGTGGTCTATAAGGTAGGCGCTTCTCTTGCGCCGTCTTATCCGTTGTCGTTGCAGTAGCAGTTGTCTGTAAACATCACAACTCGCCAGAAAGGGAACATGAAGTGATCTGGTTGAAAATACTAGTAAAATAAAAGACAAACGCCTTTGCAGCGGAGTAAGTAGATGAATAACCGCAACCAATAACGATGACAAATCCGTCCAGCGACCTTCTCCAGAACAAATCCCCGGCCGCACCACCCGCAGAGCCTCCGACTGGTTTGAAAGTGGTGACGCAGCGTGTGGTTTCCGGGCGGTTACTCGTCGACGCGGACAAAGATGTGTGGGCGAGCTTTAACCGCGGACTGATCCTCCATGTCTCCTTCACGAAGTTCTTCAGCATCATGAAGAGTAGTACAGCTGAGAATGAGAAACAAGAAGCAGACGAAGAAACCTCAAAGGAATTTACCCATTTGAAGAAGATTTGCAAATCGCTGCTCACCGCGAGTTTGTCCAGTACCAATGCGTGGGAAAAGGACCACTCAGACGCCAAATCGGTCGTCGACTTGTGCAAGCAGGGGCAAGACCAGTGCCTGGTGTTGATCCCGCAGGCCTCGCTGACGGCGAAGCTGATATGAACTGCAAAAGTATCGTACTCGTATAGATGCATTACAAATTATTTTCTCAGCATGAGAAATAAAATTTGCAATGCGGATTTACCTTAAGAAAAAGATGTGTAATGCATGACTGCAATTACTACGGTACGAGTACGATACTTCTGCACAGGATAGCTGAACCCGGGCGACAAAACGCTGAAGTACCACTCGCAGTGCGGCAAAGAAGAGGCGGAGGTTTTGTATCGCTTGTTCCGGAAAGCGCTGGCAGCGGTGGTCGTGGAGCAACTGTGTTGTGGAGCAGCTGTATCTGGTAGTGGCTGTAGTACAACGGCGGGACGACACAAGGACAAGCCAGGCAAATTTCGGCCCGATGGTCGTATGATTGGGATTGGCGGAAAAAGCCAGAGCAACGACGAGAGAGTAAATTTGCCACCTCCCGAGGAATTTTTCAGAAGTGGCGAGTACCGCAATTGGGAACAGCAGCATATCAACTGCAAATGTGTCTGCTGGGTCTGGAACAATACAAACTTCTCATGCATTTCATATTTTCCATGCGGCATGCCCCATGAGGTTTGGAATGCAGAACCTAGCATGACAGGTTCTCTGACGTCTCTATGATGCCTAACCTGCATGACAATCTGCCTCGAAATTTGTTCAAAAGTGGACAGCTTTTGGTAGTCATGCAACACAAATTGTTGCCCGATCCAGAGGACTTTCTTAGCACGACAAGTTCGCGTCCTCCCAGACCCAGACATATTTGCAATGCATACAGCAGCAGGACGAATCTACTGCTGCCAACCAAGAACACGAGTTCTCCACCTTCGATGACTCCGGTTTTCCAGTGACAGCCGCGGCAACGGGTGAGCCCGTGGCAAAGTCACGGCGGAAGAAGCTTGAGAAAATGTGGGCCAAGTACAAGCAAAAGTACGAGCAGAAGAATGTAGCGACGACCCGCCAGGCTCCTACTTCTACGCAGCAGACCCAGACGGAGAGGACCTCCGGAGGGTCTACTTCACAAATTGTTGACGAAAGAGTAGGCCAAAAGAATGTTGGCAACGTCGCAAGCGATACGGGAAATAAAGGAGCGGCGAATATCAAACAGCTTCCAGCAGAAGAGATTTCCACCAAATCAAGCACCACCGCCCCCCAGGAGCAGCTAGCACATCCGGAGAAGCCTTCTACTGAATTGCAACAGAAAGGAACCGACGGCCCGACCGATAGTACACTGCGACCCTGCGTCCTTGAAACCGCCAAGCCTTCCGACCCGGCGTTTCGCCTTCCAACGATTGTCACGGGCACCTTTGGTGGCCGCCAGGGTTTGGAGCTTTGCACCGGGGGGCCCTTCACTCACAGCTTCAACTTTCCGCCGCCCGCTGGGAGTGGGGGTTGACGTTGACTTTGGTACAAACAGGATTGGAGGCCGGAATACTTCGGCGTGTTTAATCGAAAGTTGGTACACAGGGGCAGCACTCAACCACTCCACGCCTTTCACCTGAAAAGAATTTGTTTTCGCAATTTTTTTGGAGACGATGACGACCGCCAATTGCAGCTCTTCAGCAGCTGAATGGCTTAAGCGGCTGAAGACGTGCTGGAATGTCCTCCATAGAAAAAAGATAACGAAGATAAGCGAGGATGCGCAAAAAATCATCTTTTGTCGAAAGATGTGAGCTATTTGCTTTTTCTTTCGTGTTCGAGGAACCAAGAAGCGGTCCTTTGAAAAGGCAGCTCACTACGTTTTTGTTGTTGTTCAAACAGCAAAGGCAAATATAGGCATTGTTACGATAATCGCTCAGCATCTGAAACGGGTAAGGAACAATAGGCTACTAGTTTTTGCTCTCTCTATCTAGGGAGCATTGCTTGGCTTGTTGTGAGGAGAATGGCATATGCCACCGACTCCACCCTCCTGAGGCTCTGACTCTTTGGCCTTTGCTTGGCCATCCTCCGCTATTTGATATCCCCTTTTCTTTTTACCTATTGTTCCTTCACGCACCCCGTCTTGGATCTCAGGATGGGATTGCCTTGGGGCGAGTGGTGATTTTTGGGCCTTATCATTTTCCCCTTTCGGACTTCAGTACGCGCAGTTTTTGCGCTGGAAAGGTTCACACTGCAGCGCTTTCTTCTTTATCGAACTCCCTCGCCTTGGCTTGCGCGAGAAGGAAGTTCGTTAAAGTAATTTTTGGTTGCTCGTGCTTCTCCCTTCGAACCTTGTGAGGGCACCCGTCTGGCCTTTTCTTGGCTTTGGGTATTTTTCTTTTTTAATGATCTTCTTCTATTTCTCTCGCTGGAAGTTAGAAGTTCGTTAAAGAAGTTTTGTTTTTGCTATTGCTTAAACTTGTGCGAGTGTACTCGTCTGCCCATTTTTGGGCAGAAGTTTGCTAAAGGACTTCTCGCCTTGGCAAAGTTGGTACTCTCACTTCGCGTTGCAAGGTAAACTTCAGTACGCGCGCCTCTTGGCGCGTTGGAAGGGGTTCTCTTGGGGCTGATAACTATACGACCTGCAGCTTTTCTGGCTATGGGCTTCAGGTTATTAGGAATTTTGTCAAGGGCCTCCACAGGCTCCCTTGCTCCGAATGGTTCTTGCACTGTCGTTCCACGAATGCCACCTGGTCGACGCGGTAGCTAGCCCCTTGGGCAGTCTGGCTGCTGAGTTGTTCTATGGCGGGTTGGTCGATGGCGGGTATGCCAGACTGCTGGGGGGAATCGATCCCGATTCCCTCTATTTTGTTATGTTTTGATTGGTTCTTGTACTGCGATAGCGATTCCGAATGACCCATTTTTGCCGGTGGTGGTACTGCCGTCGGTTTTTGTGTTTATTATTTGCGATTTCCGCTCTGCCTACAGACGATCGTAGCGTGTTTTCGCGGTACTTATCTACTTCTGACCTCGATCATGCGATGTGCAGCGTGAAGCTAAGTGTAGCTCTAGTCCCTTCCCTTTTTGGGTTCGACAAGAAATTGCCTTTCGTGAGATGCGCTGACCCTGCGCGGATTGAATTCAGGGTCCTCTCCAAAAATAAAACACTTCGCAGCGGATGCTGCATGCTTTTCAGGGCGTTGCGATGTTCGAAACATTTTTATATTTGTAATATAGGCATTGTTACGATAATCGCTCAGCATCTGAAACGGGTAAGGAACCAATAAAGCGGTGTTGCGAAAAGGCAGCTCACTACGTTTTTGTTCAAACAGCAAAGGCAAATATAAATCTAATAACTATAGGGACAAAGCTCCAAGCAATTGATGCTGATTCTTCAGAAGCTTTTTCTTCTGAAGACCTTCTGAAGCTCTGAAACGGTCCATCAAACCTTCAGAAGAACTTGAAAAATGCGACTTTTTTTTGAACGAGTATTAGCTCGGTTTAACCGTGAGCATTTTTTTCTTCTGAAGGTCACACCTTCTGTAGGTTTTTTTTGACCTTCAGAAGAAAAAAACGAAAAATCAGCCAAAAAACCTTCTGAAGGCTAAAAATGACCGTTTTCCAACTCTTCAGAAGGTTAAAAAGCTTCAGAAGACGGCATTTTTTTGACCTTCAGAAGAGTTTGAGATTTTTGCGACAAAAAAACGCTGTCAAATATGCCAATCTTGCCCAACCTTCAGAAGGTTGAAAACCTTCAGAAGGTTTTTCAAATCTGTCTCCAGTTCTGCAATTTTCTGTGCTCCGTTTTTGAACTTCTTCAGAAGGTTTGGTCTTCTGAAGAATGTCTTCTGTAGATTCTTCTGAAGAGTGAAAACCTTCTGTAGAGTTTGGAGCTGATGACAAAAAACGACAAACATGTTCGAAAAAGCGCGAAACGATGAAGGCGCCGCGCGTAAGCCACTTATTTTTTGAACTTCGCGCGCCAGCCCTACTACAGACGCGCAATAAAAAGCTGTTTCCTCAATTGTTGAGAGTGCCCTGCTTTTTTTTCGGTTCTTTTTTTCCTATTATTAAAATGACACTACGACGAGGTTAAACATTAGATGCTTGGTTAGTGAGATTTTTTCCATCCGGGTCCGGCGCCGACATTCGAGACACGACAAAGACACTCAACTACTCGGTTTTTTTTTTCCTGCAAATCCGAAATACAGTTTCCGCACTACGATGTATGTGAACAGAGAGCAAATATCCGTCAACGTGGGGAATCTGCCGAAATCGAAAATGCGAGCGACTGCGCGGATTTCAGCACCTAGACGCTACCGCCGACCACTATGCTTTATCCATTCTCACTAACCAAGCACTAAATATTTAACTGCAGTCGATAGCTTTCTCACTAACCAATAAAGCGGTGTTGCGAAAAGGCAGCTCACTACGTTTTTGTTCAAACAGCAAAGGCAAATATAAATCTATATACTATAGGGGCAAGATATGTCCTTGCTCCTCCCAAAGCTTCTGAAGCTTTGACCTTCTGAAGAGCTTCTGAAAATAAAAACTCGACTTTCAACCTTCAGAAGACCAAAAAAATTGGCCGCTCGTTTTTCATTGTAAAAATCGCAGAATTAGCCCCCGCAAACGAAATTCTTGCTCATTTTTTGCAACCTTCAGAAGCTTCAGTCTTCTGAAGGTTTTTTTTCACCTTCTGAAGAATTTTTTCGATTTTTTGACAAAAAATTCTTCAGAAGGTCAAAAAAGCGACTAAGCTTGCTCATTTTTGCAACGAGAACATTCCTGCTTCAGTGTGTAAAAAAAGCTTGTTGCTGAGCAAAGCGCCGATCTGTTGGCGTGTGTGTACTAAAGAGAAAAAAACACGAAAAGTTTTTTCGCTTTGTGGTGACTTTGGCTGGTTGCGTCCTCGAAACGTAGCGGGGTCAGTCATCAAGCGAAACATATCACAAGCAACCTAAATTGACAATCGAACACGATATAGAGTGCAAAACTCAAAACAAAGAACGAAAGGCAAAGGCCGTGGCTTTCTTTAATATTACGAGCAGACCTGTTGTCTTTTTTTCAAGCCCAAAGCTGATTTCGTTTTCGGGCAGGCTTTTTTTTTTCTGTCATGACGCGAGAGGCTTCGCTTACTTTTCTTATTGCTGCACACGCGAAAGGCCAGACGACAGCTCTGCCCTCCTACATCCAGCCCAGCCTGCTTGCTCCTTCTAACACCCGCAGCGCCCCCCACTTCATGCAACAACCCTGCTTACGCAAAAAAACCCTTTTGCCATCTTTCCCGGCTATATAAATAAAAAACTGACCCTGCTAAAAGTATGCACGTATACACTTAAAGCCTTTCGTTTTAGTTCTCCCTCGCCGCAGCCATGGTGTATAAATTTACAGAAAAAGAGTACTTGGCATATTTGGCGACAATTGAAGAGGATGAGGTTGATATTTCGGATTTTTTTGAATTGGGAAAACAGCCGCAACACTTAGATGCTGTGAAAAGGCAGCTCACTACGTTTTTGTTCAAACAGCAAAGGCAAATAGGTACTTACAAAGTCAAAAGAGCAAAAGAATTTAGTGCAACAAAACGGACAAGTAGTAAACCCTCTAGACAACATTGTCGACGTCGAGCAGTTAGACACTGTCGACGTCGATGCCCGTCAAATTAGACGCACCGGCCGCTGTGCTTTTTCATGATTCAACATCAGGACCCCCTTTAATTATTGAATGTTAGACTTCATCATTTTTTGACGACGATGGATGACCGTCGCTGCTGCAAAAAAATGCTTAACTTTCACGACACAGGACCGTGTAACGATTTAAGGTGTGTGTGCCTTCAGTGGCATAATAGTAAAGCTGGCAACAGAGTCGTTTTTCTTATCCGCCAATGATACAGACACTCCGCATCTTGTTTTATCCCCTCCAGTACTTGTTGAAATAACTTGAATAGATCGACACTATGTCCGGCGTCCCAGGATCTTCGTCTGCATCCGCCCCGTCGCAGCACCGGGCCCGGGACGACAGCACGATGCGAATTTTGGTTTTCACGGACACGTATCCTGTGCAAAAGTATCGTACTCGTAGTAATTGCAATCAGGCATTACAAATCTCTCTCTTAAGGCAAATCAGCATTTACAAATTTCAGTTTTCATGCTGAAGAAATTTGTCATGCGAATTATACTAGTACGATGCTTTTGCAATGCATAACACGCACCTGGGTCACAAGGACCACGACGACGTGCTGGGCAATGACGCCATGGAAACGTTTGAAGAGATTCTGCTCATCGCAAAGGAGAATAAGGTATCCTCTGCAAAAGTATCGTACTCGTACTAATTGCTTTTATGCATTACAAATCCAGTTCCTAAGGCAAATCCGCATTACAAATTCAATTTGTAATGCTGAGCCAATTTGTATTGCAATTTATTTTTATACTAGTACGATGCTTTTCTTGCATTTCATACGAGGTCGACTTCATCCTCCACTCGGGGGACCTCTTCGACGAAAATAAGCCGTATCCACAGTAAATTTCCTGTACATATACAAATGCGGTTTCTGCATGACAAAGCTTCTTTTTCATTCGATTCAGCATGACAAGGAGCATGCTCCAAGTTCATGAAATTTGTGATGCATTTTGTACATGTACAGAAAATTTGTCTTGCATGAGCCGAGTCGAAAGTGCATGAACGACACCTTCAAACTCCTATCCGACTACTGCATGGGTGACACGCCGGTCCATTATTTCCTGAAAAGTAACCGTTCCCATTCACTTTTCGCATGCCAAACGCAACAGCTTTTGCATATGTTGCATGACAAATTGGAAGATGTTGGGGATGGTCAATTTTCAGGGAATATCCACATCCAAGTGTCCCACGTGGACGAGCACGCGTTTTTGGCCCGCGAGGAGGTGAACTTCTACGACCCGAACTACAACATTGCGATCCCGATTTTCATATCCTGTGCAAAAGTATCGTACTCGTAGTAATTATTGCGTGTATGCATTACAATTTTTTTGCTCAAGGCAAATCAGCATTACAAATTCAATTTGTAATGCTGAGGAAATTTGTAATGCGATTTCTACTAGTACGATGCTTTTGCATTCGATATTTCATGATCCACGGCAACCACGACGATCCCGGCGGGATCCACAACCTGTCCGCCAACCACCTGCTCTCCGTGAACCGTCTAGTCAACTACTTCGGCAATCAGCCGGACGTGGACGACATCAAGCTCGGCCCAATTTGCATCGAGAAAAAAGGCACCAAGCTCGCCCTCTACGGCCTTGGCAACGTGCGGGACGAGCGACTCAACCGCACCTTCGAAAAGGGACACGTGTCGTGGAGTCGACCCACGCCAAATCCCGACGACTACTTCAACATCATGCTTATACACCAAAACCGCTTTCGCGGAAATTTTGGTACACCATTTACTTAGTGATAAATATATGAAGTGCGTCAGTGTCGTGTGAGCAGCAATAGCGATTCTACATTACGTACGGTTTTCCTCGAGGCGTTCTTCGCGTCGCCAGTTTTTACAGTTTCTTGAGTAGAGCTGTTCTTCTTATCCTGTGCACAGAAATGAAAATATGAAAATGCGGAGGTAACTAAAAGCTCTTCCACACGTAAAGCAATAACTGACTATCCAGGTGGTATGCCGAACAAGCAGTGTGTGAAGGAGGAGTTTCTGCCCGATTGGCTGAACCTGGTGATCTGGGGCCACGAGCACGAATCGAAGTGTGACCCCGCGGAGTCGAAAGCGGGAAATTACCACATCATGCAGCCCGGCTCCTCGGTCGCGACCTCGTACATTGCCGCGGAGGCCGTGCTATGAATTGCAAACTCGTACTAATCGCATTCATGCATCACAAATTTCTTTCTCAAGGGGAATCCGCACTACAAATTTCACTTTTCATGCTGAGGAAATTATTTGTCATGCGATTTATACTAGAGCGATAGCGGTAGTTTTGCAATGCATACATGCCCAAATACATCTGCTACCTGGAGATCATGGGTACGCAGTACAAGATATCCTGAGGAAAAACGTACCCACACCAGAGTTGTAATGCAGATTTGCAAAGACAGGAACATTTGTAATGCGCATCGCCAGGAGAGGCATTTTTAGTCGCGTTTTGGAATTTGTAATGCTGTAAACAGGATGAGCAGATGGATTTCTGATGCAGCTGGCCTTGCGCACCTGCACTACACTACGGACTGCAACTTGTGATGCGTGACCCCCAAAAGTTCTAGGTTTGTGTTGCAAAATCCCCATCTTGACTCTGGTGTGGGGACGTTTTTACATATGATACAAGACGACCAAGGTGCCCCTGAAAACCATCCGCCCCTTCAAAATCGACGAGGTCTGCCTCAAGGACGTGCGGGCGGAGGACGTGGACCAGAATTTCGGCCTGCAGAACGTCGGCAATCCTGCTCGGGCGAAGCGGCAAAAGCTGTCGCGTCTCGCTGGATTTGAACCGAATGCGTCTGGTACTATGGACAACGAAGTAGACGACGACCTGGACTCCTTTCTTGTATGAGAGTGCACAACTCCCCCGCCTCCCCCTCATTTGTATTGCATGACTGTCCATACAAGCGTCAGCAAGAACGCGGGTCTCGCGTGACAAATTTCCACAGGATTGTGGTGCTATTTGGGCTGCCACGACTTGTCATGCAAACAGTGCCAAGAGGCAAAGCCTGGACTTGGGATTTAGCATCACAAATGAGGGGGACGACGGGGAGTTGTGCACTGTCATACCTCGACCCCAACGACCACAAGCAGATCTGGGATTTTCTGACCCAGCACATTGAGAAGCTCATCGCGCTGAACGAAGAGGAGCAGCAGCAAAAGGACGAGCAATTGCGGTCGAAAAAGCTGCCCCTGATTCGACTCAAAGTCGATTACACCGACTTCCCCTGCAACATCATTGGCAACGCGCGGTTCGGCCAGCAGTTCGTGGGCCGGGTCGCCAATCCCGACGCGTTATGCAATACAAATTTACCGTACATGCACAAGATGCATCACAAATTCTACCAATTTGAAGCGTAAAACTTGTCATGCTAAACTAGAATCGAAGCCAAGTTTTGTCATGCGGAGACCGCATTTGTACGTGTACGGGAAATCTACATTGCATACGCGTTGCTGCTGTTCACCAAGAAGACGCAACGGCGGGCGGCGAACCAGCGAATCCCGATGCTGGATGAGACCGGCGAGGTACGAACGGACGAGTTCGGTAACGTCATGTACTTTGACGAAATGGAGGAACTGCAGTACGATGAGCAAGGAAACGTCATCGACAAACCGCTGGAACACACGACCTTTGACGAGGCCGGCGACCGCGTGGACCCCTTCAGTCGCGAGGCCAAGATGGAGCAACAGCGAACGATGGGCGAGACGCTCTTCAACCTCATGCCGAAACAGGACTACGCAATTCTCCCGGGCACAGACTTTAACCACGCGATTTTGAACTTTGTGGAAAAAAACGACGCGGGGTCGATCGAGCGCTTCGTGAAAGCCACGATCGAAGCGACAAACCAACAGCTTTTCTCCGCTAGTGCAGACCAGGTCAATTCGGAGGTGGACAATATTTTGATTGCCATGAAGCAGAAGCGAGAGCAGATCCGGCAGGAAACCAAAATCAAGCTCGCGTCCGACGCAACTTTTCAGAATATGACTGGAATGGCCAGTAACTTCATGGATGACGACATTCCCATGGACGTGTCGGACGACGATATTAACGCGGACGTGCGCGGTATGCATTGCATGCAATGGTAATATCGTAAACGAGTAGCGAAAACTGCATGACCAAGTAAAAGAAGTTTTCGGCAAACAAAAATAACGGACTCTGTCATGATGCGAAATCAGGTATACAGAGCATCTTTCCCATGCATGATCGCAATTCGAAACAACAAGTAGAAGTCCTCTATGACGAGTGCGATGATATTACTTTTGCACTGGATACCCCGCGGCCAACAACTTCAACACCAAGGTCCAGCAGGCAAGGCGAAAGCCAAGGCGAAATCCCGCGCCAAGGCAAAAGCCGGAAAGGCGAAAAGCCGGGCGAAAGCCGGCAGTGGGGTTTCGTCTTCTGGCAGCGGTAGCGCGCGCCCAAGTCCGAACGACTTGACCATGGGGAACAATAACAATGTCGGGTTTCTGGCCATGGCGAACCAGCAGCAACAGATGCTGAACGCGGGCGGAGGTGGGCTGCAGCAACAACCATTTTTTCAGCAGCAACAGCAGCAGCCGTTTCAACCTCACATGCAGCAACAACAGCAATTTCGGCCCAATATGCAGCAACAGCAGCAGCACGTCCGACAAAATCCAAACATGCATCAGCAGCAGCAAAACCAAAACATGATGCAGCAGCCCAACCCAAACATGAACAGCTCTGCTCTCCCTAGTTCATTCATGCAAATGAGCGCTGGGGGGCAAGGGCAACCACCGCAGAAGAGACAAAAAATCGACCCTTCGACGTCTATGATGAACTCAAACACCAACAACTCTTCCCAATTTGCAGCAGGGAGCGGCGCTCAGCGCGTCCCGCAGCAGCAGCAGCAGCAAATACCTGCGGGCAGTTCTTCCTTCGCCCAAATGAACCAAAGCCAGTCCCAGTTTGCACCACCAGCTGCGCCACCACAACAGCAGCAATCGCAATTTGCCCAAATGTTCGCGAACACAAGCGCGGCGCCGCGCGCGAATGCGGGAAACAGGTCGGGAGGGCAACCGGGGTCGACGCAACGAAGGCTGCCGTGGCAAAAGAAATAGTGGAAGGAGGATTGTTCAGCTCTACTTTTATATAGCAAGCGAAGGACTACAATTGATTTTAAACAAATGAACGACAACAACGACTTGCCATACGCAAACGCACCCGCATTGATAAATGAACCGAGACAAGGATCGGAGGTGAATCGAAATCCCCGAGATTCATTTCTCACCAGAAAAAATGCAGTGAGTCCAGCTTGTGGAAAGCCCGGATGTTGGGTCTTTCTCTTGCACCACTGCTGGTGTTTCGCTGCAGGAAATTGTGGCTGTTTCAATCTTTACTCTTAGAGGACTCGTGTCTGGTGGTCGTCCGGATTTGATCTCCGAGCAGATGATGCTTTCTTCGTTTACCCGTCTCCGTCGTGATGCAGAAGGAACATGCTTATAATTGTCCATCTTCTACTATGTTTTGGTCCTCATAATTTTCTTTCTTTCAAATAAACGGCAAGAGAAAAGAAAAAACGCAAGCGAATCGCTCTACTTTGAGAGACGGAAAAACGGCTCTTGGTGGTCGGGTTTTTTGCAAATCGGCTCAACTAAGTTGATGAATGTAAGTAAAGGTCGGAACGAAACAGATAGAAAAGCGGCAGCAAATACCGCTAGGGAATTGTTGAGACTCTGGTATTAAATAGCAACAACTACGACAGCTTTCGTTTACAAGGACCGCGTACAAAAAGCTACGAAGAAGATGACACTGAGCACCGTGTCGTGTAGCAGTCCCGTTCCGGGCTCCTGCTCCGACAACAACCCAGCGCACGTCAACTCTTCGGCTCCCGCGACGGACACACAAATGGAAGAGGATTTTGTCTCTACCGCGTCTCAAGCAACAGAACTAGCTGCAGGGTCTTGTTTTTCTCAAGACGGACTAGAAGCCGTGCCTGTAGCGAGCAGAACAGGAGGGTCTGCACGAACTACGCCGGGACAGAGGAGTTACAGAACAGGAGGTGGATCTGCACGAACTACGCCGGGAAAGAGGACCAACTGCAGCCCTGTCAGCCAGAAGCACCACTCCAGGCTCGTTCAGATCTCCAGGAAACTCGAAGAGGTGCTGCAGAAGCGGGGGGAGGGAAGACAGGATCATGCTCCTGGGGTGCAGCAAGATGGTCTTCTGGTTCCCGATAGGAGGAGTGAAGACGAGGCGAAGCAGCAAGTGGTGCATGGATTGCTGCAAAAGGTACTACAACTTCTTCATCTTCCATAGAGAATTCTAATATAATTACCATTGTGTATCCTCTCTAATTTTATTCATCTGTTGTCGGCGCGGACGCGGTTCTGGTTCAACTTAGACGCTACGTAAATTTTTCATGTTGCTCGAAGGAAAAAAACTGTGTTGCGAGGCTCACATTGATGCCGGCCATTTTATTTTAATTTCTTGTTTGCCAAATACTGAAGGAGTACTTAGATAAATCTTTATTCAGGGAAGGATCGTCCAAATGCATTTCCCAAAAATGAAAATGTGCGCGTCCTCGATAACCTCCGTATTTTTGAGGAGGTCTGCTCCCTCTTCAACTCACCTACCTTAAGAAAAGCGAATGAGAAAAGTTAATAAGTTTGGATGATCCTGACCACGCACGATAGAATTGCTGCCACGAGGATCATGATGATTGGTGTCCCGTCGACATTTCTACTTACACTTGTTGAGCTCAGTTATCATCTTTTCAATTTTCCCCTAATGCTCCACCTAAAAGTCGCAAAATAAGGCTCACAACAATCTGCGTTCCTCTATTTTCAGAGAGCAAGTTTTCTCTGATCGACTAGGACTACATCAACGTTCCACAAACAAACCAGCGACGTCGTCATTTCTAAATGTATTCATGGGTCTCACCTCTTGAAAAACAATTTTCATCCATACGCCAGTCCATATTTCAGATTGGCCCTTCTACGTGGTAGTATTCGTTACGTTTTTCCACGCGATAGCATCTTCGGGCAGTGTCTTCCTTAGAAGTCATAAAATAAAAAGTTTATCCCGACAACTAAGAAGAGGCAGTTCTTTATCTCCTGAAGAAAGCAACGACCAATAGTACAGCTACGACTGAGAACTCAAACAGCATCATGAACGGGTCCACGAAAATCTCGAATCCTATCGACATGGTGGCCCATCTTCTCGCGAAGGAGTGCTTCATCAAGTGCAGGAATGGGCGGGAGCTGAAGGGCACCTTGCACGCGTATGACGAACACCTGAACATGCTGCTCTCGAGTGTCGAGGAAAAGACCCCAGCGAAGGAGCTCCGGCAGATGGAGATGCTTTACGTCCGAGGGGATGCCGTCTCCATGGTCACCAAGGGCGACAGCAGCTGAAGATAGATCACAAAAAGGGATGGTTACTCGTTGCAGGCTGTAGTAAAAGCAAAATGAAATAAATTAGCCGAAGCTGCTCCGCGTGGTGGTTTATTCCGAGGAGATCATGATACATTGAGTAGCACGACACCACTCCCACTTGCGACGTTTCATGAAACTGATACTACAACTGTAACGTACTAGACTATGATCAAGAACGTCGGCATGGCGATTGTCCTCTCATGCCACAGAACAAGAGCGAGACCCCGCCTGTACTAGAACTACATTTTCATTGCTGTAACCCCAGCAGCTTTGAGCAGCCTTGGTGACGGTCGCTAAGAGTCGTAAGTACCCACGCCGAAAGGGCATCAATCGACCATGTTCTCCTCCAATACCTGTTGTGCCGGGTTATACGGGGTTAGACTTAGAACCAGGCTACGTTCTTCGTGCGGTCTTCTTTATTTTTTGTCGTATGGTCGGCGAGTATGCGTATGTCGTCGTTCCCTTTGATTTCAAGAACATAGGACCATTTCTTATCTTTGCCGGTAGGTGTTTATGTTTTTATATTCTAGATCGTTATTTCGGCACTTGCTGCACGTTCTTTTTGCTGCGCGTTCACATAAGTTGCGTTTATTTCCGTTTGAAGAAATTACTACTCTTGCGCAGAAAGATTAGCTGGCCAAGGGCGTTTTTGTAACACCACAAAGGTTCACTCAATGTTTGACTTTATCGTTATCCATCGCCGCGTGGAAGATACATTCTTTACACAGAAAAGCGAACGATAGAAGTACAGCTACAACCTTTTAGCAGCGTGTAAGTATACGAAAAGCCACGGACCAAAGCAGCAACCAATGGAGAAACAATTACAGTCGTCAAACGCTCCGCGTCGACAAATGCTGACATGATTGAACTTTTCTAATTTCGTATTCGTTATTCCTCCAAAAACGACCAAATAACAGATCCACCGAATCGAGAAGGGCTTGCAAGCGAGTCAGCTGGTCCGCTCATTGGATGCGCTCGAGGAGGCTGTCAAGTATTGAAGTTTTGATTTGAACGTCCGATGCAGATCTTCAATGTTGTCAGGAAGTAAAAATAGTATGTAGTTCACTATCTTCAAAAATGTGAATCTGAATCTCGCAGGCTTGTTAGTGTTATGGACCGATTCCGCTTTATGAATATTCCTAAGAAGCTACTAGTATTTGTCAGTTGTAGGCGGGATTTTTCTAGCTGAGGAGTGGCCAGATAATGGACCACCAGCCCTCCAGGCACATCTACGAGCAGCACGTCGTCGAGCAAAAATTTGTGAGTCCTTTGAAAGACAACTACAAGAACAACATCAAGGGGCCCAAAACAGATTTTCTAGATTCCAAAAATGCGGCAAGAAGCAAGACAAATTACTGCAATAGTTCTACCTCGTTAGAGCTTTGTCCCGAATGCTCCCGGAAAGTGCGAGCGTGTTTGGAAGTAGGGAATCATAGCGGTGGGACGTCGGTGGATGAGCAAAAATATGTCAAACCCACAGAAAAGAAAAAATTTGATGCCTTGGTGGAACAAGACAAGGCTGATATAGCAAAACGGGTCGTGAGAACTACTAGAAATGAAAACAATAACATCAATAGGTCCCGTTTGGTGAACCAGGAGCTGGCGAACCAGGTTTTCAATGCGGAGGGTCATCATGATCTCCACGCACACAGAAGTACTAGTACAAACGAAGACGACGATGCAGTTAATAGACACCAGCGAGGACGAGATGTTGAACTCGCGGCCACGAAAACGTCTGCGCAGGAGCACCGTTTGGACGACGGCGGCCAGGAAAAATCGAGACACAACTACGGCAGGCAAAACCATCATCACGAGGTCGTCGTGTATGGTGGAAAGCGAAAGGAGCTGGAGCACTTGGACCACTACTTGCAGCAGGGCACAAAACAGCATCCGCAGTATAATGATGTCACTGCGGCGGGCGGGGCAGGAGGAGCAGCACAAGCTGGCGGAAGCAGTTCATCGTCGTCCTCCAGATACATCGGAAACTGTAGGGGTCTAGCACCTCCACCAGACCACCTAGTACAACGCCCGGTCTGCATGATTCCGGGATGTGGTGGTGGTCAACAGACGAATCACGCACGACGAACAGGACGCGGCGCACATCACCACCAGCACCAGCAACAGAAACAGCAGCTACTCCAGGCGGTGATTTCTGATGGCGAAGATCAAGATTTGTTTTCGTCGTCGTCTGTCAGGACCGAAAATAAGCAGGAGGAGAAGTACTACGACGACCCTTATCATGGGACGGCCCACTACGAGGACGAGGAACTTTACAGCGTGTATCCGCCGCGCACTCCGAAACGGGAACATCAAGTACCAGAGCACGTTAAAAATTATATTCCTCCCGACCTCCACGACGTCAGGACCACAACATCTTTATCCGGCCGTCGCGTTGACAAACCTACAACCCTCAACACGCAGCCCTCGTCGGCAACGACTCGGGCTGCTCCAGCTTTCTCCCCATCCGACGAGGCCGCGCGCCTGCTGGCGGAGGCCCATGCGAAGTACGGGAAGCACGGCAGGTATGGAAGCGTCAGGTTTGAAATCGACAAAGTTGAAATGAAATGATTTGTCATGCATAAAATGGATTACCAATTGGACCCACAGTTTCTAGTCGGCGCATGACAAATTTCGTCCGTACCGGAAGCCAGTTTGTCATGCTGTTCAGGGCAAAGGGGCCCCCCTCTGTGATGCTAGTCAGCAGCCCAATTCTCGACCCTTGCTTGCACTACAATCTGCCTCCCTTGCGTCCTCTGCAACAGAGGTAATCTTTGCGTTGGATTTTCTGCATGCCAAACTATTTCAACTTTGACGATTTCAATCCTGACACTCCCATAGCAGGCGGCTGTTTGACGAGGAGCGCGACCAAAGTCCGGTTCGTGCAGGGCGCAAAATGCAGAAGCAAAGCCAGCAGAGTCAGACAAGAGCTGCTAATTGTGATTTCTACGCGCAGGAGCATAATTCTCCTGGTCCTCGTGCAGCGCCGCCTCCGGTGACGATAGTGGTGCAGCAACATCACCCGCGACCGTCGATCGTACCTGCTTCGCACTACAGGAGGGGACAAGATGAAAACTACGAAGACATGGACCGCAGGAGCGGGCCGCTGTCGCCTGCAACAAGCTCCTCGTCTGCAGGCTTTACTGGGAGGGGTGGCGGAGTGGAGCAGCTGCACAACCACGGCGCCGTCACTTCATCTCACGAACACCAAATCCACCCTGTCGCCGGCGCGCAGCCGTACCACATTCCTGTGCCCAACACAGTTCCGGGAGGACCCGGGGGAGTGGGAGAGCACCAGCAGCAGCGACGTGGGCACGAAGCTCATGCAGTACAACATCTTGCGACCACCGCACAACAGGCCCAGCGGCGGGGGCTTGACGAAGCCAGCTTGGGGTTGCAGCGAGGTCGTGAGCTTCCACGAGGACCATATCGGAGCGAAATACAGGACGTGGACTTCTGTAACGAAGAATCTCAAGTAGAGCCCGGATTGGTTTTCCAGGGTCGTGTGGTGCAGCAATATCAAAAACGCGATCCTGCGCACAGGAGTGGTGATAACAACCCACACGACCTCCAGTCTCTGCAATTACGTAGGCCTCACCAGCACGAAGACACACAGGAAAATAACCTGCGCGGCGCGACGACACAGCAACCACTCAAGAGGATGACGCGCACAGCAGCTCGTGGAAATGACCTCGTTCAAAATGACGCGTCTTACACCCCTTCCTCCCTGCAGCTGCCGCGCAAACTTTCCTGCCCCCCGCGCCGGGAACTGCCACCGACGTACGATTTGCGCGACCTGCGCGAGACGAAGCAGCGAGCCGCATGGAATCAAGATGTGTGTGAACTTCCTTTTTCACCGACAGAGTCCTACGACCACGAACGCCGGATGAGTCCTGGTTCTTACGGGCCCCACGACGGCGCGTTGCGTATGCATCCTCCACAGCAAGAAGCTAGCATAAGCTGGACCCACAATAATTCCTACTCACTTCCCCCGCCGGAATTACAATTTGTGTCTTCTACCCAACAAGGTGCAGCTTGCCGGATGAACAGCAGTAGCGCTGCAGAAGAAGTGGCGTCGAAGAATTTGTTTCTTCAAAATAGCGAATTTTCAGGAGCAGCTAGTTCCTCGACAACCGCTGCGACACCTCCCGGTCGTGCTGGCGTGATCATGTCCCGGGTTAAAAATAACTACACTCCCCAACAACAACTGCACCAGCCTCCTATGTACCTGAACGACCCCATTTACAACGACTTGAGAAGCACCAGGAAGAGCCTGCAATCAGTGCGTCGCGGGTACGTGACTTCGGCAGCCGAAGAGCCGCAAGTGGTGCGCCCGGATTTAGGCTCGCCGGTGATGGACGAGGACAGTTCTAAAACAAGTAGAAGTGTTGCGAGCTTAATGCAAGTGAACCACGCGGCCAGCAAGTTGTCTGAACAAACGCAAAGGCACCAGCCGCTGAGGCACCAGATGTTGCAGGAGCAGTATTCATCGTCCCCGTCGAGGGACTTCCATCCGGAGCTGCGGTCCCGCAACGACGTGGTCCCAGTGTTGAGTTGCCGCCAGATGAACGACTCTCCAGGTGGGGTGGAGGCTTTCGAGGATCACAAGACCTCTCACACTTTGTTCCATGCGAGAAGTTCTGACGAACACGAGCAGAGGCATCTGAGCAACAGGGGCTGCGAGGAAAACAAAAGACAGCCCAAGAACCAAAATGTGGCCCCCTCGAGATGGAGCCCCGGGACGAGCGCAGCACTAAATAACCGAGCAGCAGAACAACATCACCCAGCGGGCCTTGACGCCAGACGGAATCCGATCACCCCAGGACGTCGAGACCTTGCGAGAGCTGGGACGAGGGGCAGTAATACCACCCCCCTCCACCAGATCCTCGCGAGCATCCCGCGTCCGCTTGGAATCCCGCGGACCAGCGTGCCGTGCGGGCCTGTCCGGAGTGCAGCGGAGGGCGGACGAGGTTTTGAAGAAGATAAAGGCGATCGTATTCGAGATCCGGGTCTGGTTTTCGACTGAAGTGCGATTTCTTCTAGTGTCTAGTTTCGCACGCTAGAAGATTGTTCTGCTTCTGCTAATGCAGACTCAAGGGAAGCCATCAAAATGAACAATAACCGTCGTCCTGCGACTACAGCACTTTGAGTTTCTAACATCTGCATCTAGTCCGAAGTGCACGTGCGTAAGCAACTACATGGTGTTCAAATTCGTGATTGATGTGGACGAAACTGATTTGAAAGCGCAGCTATCCGGCTACAACCTAAGAAGCGCAAAATCTCGCAGGAGTTACATGTTGATTTGACAACATATTTCATCCGCTTTCATCTCCGAAAACCACAACGTACGGAGCGAGATCGATAGTTGCAGCTGCAGCTGCCGCAAGTACTATTCACAGAAGCTCTACTACACATAAAGGATAGAACAAATAAACCGCTAAAGGTAAAGGTGTCGGACGATCAGAATTTGAAACGAACGAACCTCCACGAACAAATATGAAAATCCGAGCAGACGCCCACGACATCCTTTCTTGACTCTTGTTCACATCACTTCAAACAAACTTACAAATTATTCATTGCACGCACAGAATATCATGTTGTTTCGGATCGAAACGCAAACGCAAAGAACTGAAGAGTACTTAATTGGCTCTAGTTAGGCAGCTCAATGTGTATGTTGACGCATCAAGAAAAACCAACATGGAACTGAACAAGAAAAACAATCACCGTAATGTAAAACCGAAGTAGTAGTTGCAGTAGCTGCTTTATTGGGATGCTGGTGCAAGAAGCACCAATACTCTTCGCCTCTCGACCACACCCACGTTTAGACAAAGTGAATAATTTTTTCCTCGCTTGTCTACATTCCGTGATCATATAATCATGATGAGCAAATAAGCTGTAAACCTAATATTGACGTCATCCATAAACCACAAAACCATGCTTGGCCGCAAGAACCCGCTTGGCGCAAAGCGGGGAGCCGTCGTGGGTGCTGGAGGTGCCACAGTCAAAAGCAAGGCGAAAGACTGGCGAGAGCAAGTAAAGGAGGACGAGGAGGACAAAGCCGTCAATGACGATATAAATCCACAGGTAGATGAAACAAGATTCTATGTTTAATATCTACGTACCCTGTTTTAGCGATAGAGAGATTGTTTCATTGATGTTTGAAGATACAACTGCATTTTTACTACCACTGTTGGCAGCACGGCCCCTGTCCTCTCTAATGAATTTTATACAAACTTTCCTTCATCACTTTTTAGCTGACCGAGAAAGAGCTGGAGGATTTCCGGAAACAGACCGAGAAGGAGGAGCGGGAGGAGCGGCTACAGCGGGCCAAGGAGCTTCTCGAGAAAAAGGCGAAAGAGGAGCAGGGCGAAGGGATGAACTCCGGGAAGAAGAAAAAGAAGAAGAAAAAACGGGAGTTCGCCTGGATGGATTCGGAGGACGACGAGGAAGCAGCGACCGGCAACGACGACAACGGCAGCGGCGACGACAGTAGTGACGACGAGCAGAATTACGCGAATGGCACAGCGTCAACCTCCGCTACCGGGGGCCATCATCGTCGTGGTGGTCCTCACGTCCGCGAGGTGACGAAAGAGGAACGGGACCGCGAGCAACAGATGAACGCGCTCACCGGGCCGCCGGCCAACCGGCCCATTCCCGCCTGTTTCGCGGGCCGCGAGCACCTGTATAAGACGAAGATCTGCCAGAAACATTTGAAGGGCTATTGTCAGTGGGGGGACAACTGCCACTACGCGCACGGCACGTCGGAACTCCGAACTGCGGCAGGTTTCACGGTGCCGCCCGCAGGACTGGGCGTGGGAGGTGTACTAGCGGGGGGAGGAGCAGGCATGATGGGCGGCCCGAACAGTTTCGTGATGCAACCTGGTATGTTCGGAGCAGGACCACTACAACCACAGCAGCACATGAACCAGCAGCGCCCTCTGTTGCCGTTTCCCGTGCAGTATGGATTGTAAAAATGTCTGGGTCTGGAAGGTTGTGAGATTTGTCATGCATATTTCTCATGACCCATGATGCCTGTAATGCATGACCTAGCATCGCAGACATCTAGAGGGCTTCCTGATGCACCTTCCGCATGAGAAATGCCCTGCCCGTGTAGCACAAACGGTGTCCCTCTTGCTGGTCATGCAATACAAAATTTTTTAGAGTCCAAAAACAGCATGACAAGTTGCAATCTTCCAGACCCAGACATTTTTGCATTTCATATGCAGGGCTTTTCCATCCAGGGCCCGCAAAACAGCGTGATTCCGGGGCCCCCGCCCGAGGGCACAGTCCCCAAAGCCGCTGGCCGGGTGGTCACCAACCTGCCCTACCACATGTTTGCAAATACAGCCAGTGCGGCGGCGAACAACAGAAGTGGATCATCTACTTCCACGGCGATCTTGACTGGAGGCAAGAGCAGCGCTCCCTTCGCCGCGACCGCCACGGCCTCGAGTATGGGCGTGCCAGGAGGAATTGGCGCACCACAAAGTCGTGTTGTTACAGGAGTAGTCCCTCAACCAGCCGCCAGCGTGCGCTCTCGGTCCCGCAGCCCACGGCGTAGTCCCCCCTCAACGTCTTTGGCCCCGCTTCCCCCGAACTTTAACGCGACTATGAAGGGCGTAGCGGGAGGAAATACAACAGGAACATCAACTTCTTCTAGTACAGGAGTTGCTGCTGCCATACCACCAGTTCCAGCTGCTGCAAATGCTGTGTCTCCGGTGAGCAGCGCCGCTCAGCAGGGGGCCGCTTACCAGCACATGATGGCCACGCAGATGCAGATGATGCAAATGATGAGTATGCCCCAGAGCGGGACAGTACCACCACAGCCCCCCGCGCCGCCACCGCCTCCACCTGCGCCTTAGTGATTTCATCGCTCCCTGGTTCATCTTGCCCTAGTTCCTGTATGACGACCAAAGAAAACAAGTCACCGCCTGCTGCGCATCATCTATGTACCTGATGCGTCTACTTTCTTTTCATCCTCCGTCTGGCGCAGGAGGGCGAACGCAAGCCGCTGCATCATCAGGTTCTTGAAGATCATGAAACTGTAGTGCGATAACCGAATTCAACAGCCAACCTTCTACGTTCACTTGCTGGTACTTCAGTGCTGGCAGCTCGTGGTGCCGTGCTATCCGTTGTGTCAGGACGAGATCTTCGGACTCCGACTCCGTCCCTCGTGCCATAGTTCAACGAGGAAGCTGCAGAACAAACCAGGCCAGCAGTACAACGGGACAGTACTACTCCTGAGCAGTGGTCTAGCCAGGCTGCCAGCTCAGCATCTCTTCCCATGATAGCGCAATCTGCGTCGATACCGTGATGCGATAAATCAAGTAACAGTCATTTGCATTTTTCCATTTGTTTCAAATTTAGGCACATTTCAGTAGCGCAATCATAGGTGTTTGATGTTTTCTTATATCATACCCGTATCCGTAAAGTTGTCTTTTAGAAGGTGCCGAGTTGCACATAGCATGAAAGTAGAGTAGACTGGTTTTTATGGTTTCACCTTACGCTTAGCGTTTTGAAGTTTTTTGCATGAAAAAGGTAGTCACAGCTTCATAAATATGTCTGGTTCTCCATATGAAAATTTCTTCGATTCTCGGCAAGATCCTCTGTGATGGGATTCGCTAATTTTGAACATATGATTCTTTTGTTAAACCATAGAAAAACAACCACATGAATTGAAAAACACAGAAGCCCCTGTTCCTGGTGTGGTGGAGAAAGAAGTTGTCTAGGACCACTTCATCTTCGCATCATCATGCTGCCCCCGCTTAAACAAGAAGTGCTGTGTCGTGACTGACGTCGTGTGTGGCGCGAGCGGATGTTGTTGAAAAGAAGTGCTGGTCCCCATACTATATCCAAGGAGAAGATGACGCTACACCGTACACGACGCTGCTTTGCATGAAAAATTTGCTGGTCTGAGGATCATGTTCCTTCTCCAGAACCTGACACACTGAAAGTGATAACCCCAAGTCATGAAAAAAGGGCAGATGCTGCACCACCGGCACCGGCGGAAAAATGCATGCTTGATTTTCAGGAGTTGGATGCACACGTACCAGTGAAAAAACTCCTTTCCCACTGCACCGGCAAGTAGACGAAAAAATGCTGAATACGATGGAGTGATTTTCTCCTTGCATATTCCTGGGCCTCACACAACAACTTGCGATGAGAAAAGACACATAGCGATAAGAACTACTAAATCCTCACACGAACAAATACCTCGGAAACATACGTCGTCAAAGAACTTTGCGCGGTAATTGTGTTTGCAATCTATACGATACTCTACTTCATTTGATGTCACCTCGAGTTGATGTAGAGTTGATCTTGATGGAGAACTGCCTGCTTCGTTTGTCGAGCGTTCTTCTACTTTCTTGTAGTTTAGTACTACATGGCAGTTGTGTAGAAAGATCCCTTGATGTATAAGTTCGACAAAAACCTCCTGCATGCAGATCGCCATCCCGAACGATACTGCGATGATCATGATGCATTGAATTATCCTTAAACAACTCAAAGGTGTGCACCTCCTGGAACAAGATGGGATGGCGAAGAACACGACACCTCGCAGCACTGTGATCTGCACGAGCAACAGCAACGACTACAACCACGGTTGATGTTCTTAATACGACTACTACTAGCCGCGGGAACTGCAAGCTGCCAGACCACACTAGGTTGGAGAGCTGCCGGCCTTTGCAGATCATAAAGCCGAGTCCGTGGTTGCGACGACGTGGTGGCTGGTTTCTTTCACAGTGTGGACATCAAGACGTGCCTTCCTTGCGACTTTGAGACGTAGTACCAGCTGGACAGCACAAGAACGACGACAGGAGCGGGCGGTGGCGGCTTGATGTAGCTAGTTGTTCCGCAGAATATTAAACGCCCTCCCTCACGAGCGAGTCTGTACGGTGAAGACGCAAAGGGATGATCCACGAAGACAGGCCTGGACCCCAGCAACGCGAGATGTGCCAGGGGCAATGAAACGCGGTGCCGGAAGCAGGAAGTGGAGTTCTACGTGTTCGTGGAGGGGATCAGACATCAGTGACTGATTGAATGACAAAGACCGGCACGCACGACTTCTCAATCTGCGATGACGAGGTCTTCTGTTAGAATTGGCACCATTGCAGCAAGTTGCAGAGGTATTCCAAGCGAGCTGAAGGCACTGCGGCTGTTGATTTGGCATGAAGACCACTAGAGGAGAATAGCACAATTATTTTCAAAACCAAAAACGCTTCTACTAGAAGCATACACAGCGACAATTGATTTGCAGCTGCGGCACCTCGTGGGTCGTGGTCCGACTTTATCTCTCGGCGACTTTTGCTTTATTCAACCAACGACATGATCATGAAGTATAGATATTGTGATAAACATGCCACAGCGTTTCATTCTGGTGATCGTGCTGTTACCTAGCATCGGGACCCTGGCGCCTCTACTTCTAGGTGTTCGAATTATGAATCGAATTGCTTCTCATCAACTTGTTCCCACCTTTTGTTGATGTTCGTACGAAGAGCATCAACCGCTGAGGTATTCGTCATTGATGAGTGGATTGAAACAGGGCTGAGTGAAAAATTCCTTGACTTTTTGAGTGAAAAATTCCTTCACAAACACACAGAGCGACAGGGTGGGCGGTCTGGATCTGATAAATTGGCTCTGTGGGTTCGTTCGTGTTTGGGATTTCTTGATGTTGTTGTTCTTTATGTTCCACCATACCTAAATAAGTACGTGACGGCGACCCTGAACCACATCTTTGGACTCTATTCAGTGCGAACGACGACGACCCAATCAAGATTAGTAAATTCAAATTAAGTAAGTTGTGCCAGTGGTTTGGTTTCACTGCAAGACTTTCCCGACTTCTTGCTCTCAAACAACGTACCGTGCCTCATCATCATTACATCACCGTAGCACTAGGCACCCTATCTGGAATTATTTGGCCACACCTCTAGTATTCATATTCTACCTCCAGCCGCACCACAGCCCCCCTTCCCTCATTGCACTTTTAATTTTATAGCGGTGGTGCAGGCCGTACAACTAGTAAAGTTGGCTTTTCATCTTTGTTTGGGTCCGTCTGAATCGTAAAAAAAGACTCAAGAGCCACACCATTTTTTTGTGTAGTAGCTGCAGTGGCCCGGTAGTCGTGATTGGGGGAGAGAAGGAATTTCTCGGAAGGGAAAGTCCAATCGGATCTCATTGCATAAATTGCCTGATTCAGAGCAGGACAAGATTACCAACACTAAGACAAAGACCAACCAAAAAATGTCGCTGTCTAAATACAAACAAACACCCCCCCCCCCCCCGTTTCTTCCTCCTGCCCATGTCCGATCGCGGCGCGCACCGCCGTGGCTACCGCAGCTATGGTTGGATGTGCAACCGCAGTGGTACAATATCAATTTTGATGTAGCGTCGAATGTGAAAATTGCATACACGTACTTTACATCTTCAATCACTGGACGCGGTGAGATTAAAACGATGCGTCCTGAAGCAAATGGACAGGTGATTGATATCCTCCTTCAAAGAAGTGTTGGTGTACTGGATAAAGAATTGTGGTATCACCCCCCTCTAGATGGGCTAAGGCGATAGCCTTGGCCCCTGCGTGTTCAGATGAATCGCACAGAAAAATTAAACAAGCTCGAATTGAAATAAAATTCCAATTCAAATATTACGCAGGTGCAGCAGGAGAGTACCAAGAAGGAGCCCACCTCGTCCTCGCTGGACCTCGACTACACAGGGGAAGCCGACTCAGGGCCGAGCGAGGATGTCGAGGACAAGGACGAACAGAAAGAAATGTATTCCCCGGAAACCGATGCTGAGACGCCCTCCGGCTCCTTCACCTCCAAGACCACGACCAGCGAAGCTGACAATCAGCCGGAATCCGAATCGTCGACGGCTAAGAAAATACCGGCCCAGCTCGAGAGTGACCTGCGGATGCTCCTTCCGCTGTTCCACGCAAAACAGTCCGTGACGCAGAGTCTGGGCATGCTGACTGCGCGGCTCGAGCACCAGGGGGTCAGCGCGTACAAGATGAAATTGCTCCTCGAAGCTGCGGCCGCTTTTCTTCCCCGATCTACCAGTGCTGCTGGGAAGAGCTACCAGGTACGTCTTGTCACCGTAAGTAGAGACTGCGACGAATGTTTATCGGATTGTCGTTGAGCCAGTGCCAGATGATTACCAGGAATGAATTTTGCGTACGAAGATGATGAACGGCAATGGTATTCTTGTTCAAGTTAAACTGATGAAAAATGCACTGAAGTTTGAATTTGGAGTGTTTGTGTTTCCCGACCGCTTGATGTTTATGCGCAACTAACATTGGAAAAAGATTCCAACGGAAACTTCAGGACGCCGACGCATTTATCGTACACCTACACGCGAGTGGGCTTCTGGACGAATTCGAGACGCTCGACAAGGACCGCAATGGCGTTCTGGATCTTGGGTCGGAGTTCGACGTAAATGCATTCGATTTGAACAAGGATGGAAAGGTACTTTCACACATTCACTGCCTATTGCCGTTGTAGCGTTGCTTCTGCCTGGGAACCTTGAGCCTGACGGTGGTGTTGCAAACATACGGTATGTCTCCCTCTCCTCCATGAGGAGAATACTTGTGCATGATGATCAGGATCATGATGGAAGAAAAAATACAAATAGACAACGACTGTCATGAATTTAATAAAGTACTTTCATTCTTCACAACCACAAGGTAAAGTTTTTTCTTCTTCTTCAGCATGTTGATTTTTTATTCGGCCTCCTGAAAACAAATAAATAAAGGTGAATTTGCCAGAGTTTCTCTATTGCGGGTGCAGCAGCGAGAACCAGTGCGGCGTCATCCTGCCCACGGATTCGCCAGCCGCAGAGTCGGGAGGAAGTATGTTGGAGACGCGCCCCAGTCGGAGATCCCCCAGTTTGAGTTCGCGGCTGGCGAACACGTTCAGGCACTGCACGGACTTCACGGATCCCGATGAGAACTCCGCATGGGCATACGTGTCTGATGACTATCATAACCCGATGTCGCCTACTGAGTGGAAAACTTCAAGAATAAGAAAACGAGCAAAATTCGGTCTTTAGAGTCTTTAGGGTGGCCGGGAGGGGTTCCAAGATCGACGAAACACGACGCCGGCGGCTCGACCGGCAGCGCAGAAGCAGCACGCGGCGCCCTTGGGCTCGGCCGGGTTGCATCCGGCCGGGACATCATTTCGCCAACCATCGCCACGAGGCGCCGCTTGTACTTGGAGAGAAACCGGCAGAGCCCCCTCAATCCAAAAAGCCGGCTCTTCTTGACGGCGGCAAGCAGCAGACCTGAGCTGGGCAATGGGGGGTCGTTACATTTGCGGCGCCCTTTTGCTAGAGTTTGCCAAATGCCGGGCCATGTTTTTCGGCGCCTAAAATAGTGCGCCCAATTTGCACGCCCAATCCGGACCCTTAGCAGGGCGGGACTCCCCTCGCCGACGGGCTGCATTTTGGGCGTCCACAATTGCGGCGCCGCGTGGCTCCAAAATCGATTTCCGAATCGGGCGAACTTCAAAAAGTGCGTTTTTTGAGCAAAAAGTAAGCAATAAAGTCCTCTGGGCGACCCCTTGCGCCAGGGGTCGCCGGAGGGGTCTGCTTTTTCATTCTTGAAATTTTTTCCATCGGGAAGTGGGAAAAAAGCCGTTTCGGGAATGGCCAAAATCTAGGGTCTTCGCTAGGGGTCGACCCTGTTCATTCTTGCAATTTTTCCCATCGGGAACTGCAAAATTTTGCGTGAATCACGGGCGGAATGCAAAAAAGAGCGCCTGTATCGAGTCCCCTGGCGATGTCTTTGCTCGGGCATTCCCGCAGAAGCTTGCTGTAATATTTCAGCAACTTCGGGTCGCTTTTCGCTTGCCTGCGGAGGCGCCGCCGCGCCTCGTCCATTCGGACCACGCAACGACCCGAGCCCATTGGGCCCCGGTCACGAATGTTCCAGGAAGGGCCACACCTAGCTAACTAGTTTGGCGCGTGAGGTTGGTAGCCCTCGGCCCGTCTTCGTTGGCCGGCTCCATGCCAGGCCTGCCTCTCCCTTTTTTCATATCGAGAAGTAGGCGGCCGCGATAAAACACTCAGTGTGTCGCGTCCTCTGCTTCTGATAGTTTTGAAGTAGTATGCCTCGCGACCTGCCAAGCGCTATCCAAAACAAAAACAAAAAACAGGGCGCCCGGCGCCTTACCGTTTTGAATTCTAAACACCAAATTTTGCTCATTTTCTTATTCTTGAAGTTTTCAACGTAGTATCGCCCATGATGCCCCTAGGTTTTTTTACGGGGAGTCCAAGCTATGTTCCACGGAGGAACGACCTACGTGTGCTCAGGCGGCCCTAGCCCAATCCAAGGGATGTGGATCGCCGCAATTCCGAAGATTAAGGCTACTGCTAAGGCTAGGGCAGAGGCTAAAGCTCGGGCCGAGGCTAAGGCTGGGGCTAACGCTATGGCCGAGGCTCTGGCTGCGGCTGAGGCTAAGCCTAGGGCTGAGGCTAACGCTAGGGCTGCGGCTGAGTGGTTCGAGCGCGGCCGCCGAGTCTTCAGATACAAAGCGTGAAAATTGAAAATCCTCCACTACACCAGCAGCCACGTCATCAGCTCCGAGTCAATAGCTGAGAGTGTAGAAGATCAAGTCCCGCTGAGAGTGTAGAAGATCAAGACTTAGGGAACGGCGGAAGAAGTAGAGAAGCCTACTGAAATAGAAGAGACAAGAACCTGTTCCTCGATCAGATTGGTTTACATCTTTTCAGTCTCAGTCATGAACAAAGTTGGGTGGGGCGCTCCGAGTCCGACGCTCACGCTGCCAATGCGACACGCATTGTTATTTTCCGCCGGATCTAGTACATCAACTCTTCCTCCTAGGTCCTCGTGTTCGACGTAATCCTAATCGTTTTCAGATTGTGTGGCTGTGCAAGAACATGTGCTACTGCTACGTCGTGTGCGAAATCGGTCCCTACCGAAAAGATGGTCTGCTTGTGCGATGCCGATGTAGATGCTCTATTAGTTGTATCTGTTCGTCCTCGTTTCTACGTTGGTGACGAAGACTGCAGCAGAAAGCTACCACAACGGTTAGTAGTTTGCAGATTTAGTCACGTCAACCGCATCTCACTCTGGGCGTCTGCTACGGCACCATCACCTGGTTGCTGTCGAGAGTGAGCGTCATTCTGCAGCTCCTCGGCTTTCTCATTTGCAACAGCGGCCAACATTGTCCTTTTCCTTTTTGTATTCCTTTTGTTGTGTATGCGTTCCACGTCAGATGAAGCTCCTCCCCTCTCCGTCTCATGTTTTTCCGTTTATATTTTGGCAACTCGGCGTGTTTTTGTTTGCTGCAGATTGATAGTCCCGCTTTGCCGTCGTCTTTAGTCTTTTTAGTTTATCAAATAAACCAGCCAACCCCCGGCGGAGGCCGCCGGGGAGGGAGGCTGTTCGGGGGAGGTGTTCCAACGGGGAAGGCAATGCCAAGGGTGGCGCGCCGCTGCACAGCCAAAAAAGCAGGCGGGGCCGCGCCGGTCTGACGGGGTTGGCCCAGAAAGCGCAGCGCACACACGCAGCGATACCTCCGCGGCCTGCGTTCTTTGTTTCCGAAAAAAGCAGCGCCCGGGGCCGGAGGTTGTTGGCCTTTCTTGGAGGGGGAGTTTGTTGCAGGTGTGCACCCTGAACAGGAGGAATGCCGCATCTAAAAGGTGGCGAGCTGGAATCCTGTTAGGCAGCGAGCACGCGGCGGGGCTTGCATGTGCTTGCGAAGGCTAATGCGCTATGCTTGCGCCGGGAGACAACGGGCAGAGAAAAACTTTCGCTACTTTGGTCGCAACCACTTTCGCGACGCTACAAAGACGCGACACCTGGCGCCCGCGCGCGGGCACTGTGTGAAGTTGCGGCCACCCTAGGTGGCCGCCTACGTTAAGGCGTGGCGCCGCGCCCCCCCCGGGGGACGCAGAGCGGCGCATGCACTTTGAACTGCCGCCCTGGTATGCCCTGGAGTCAAAAAAGAAAAACTTGCAGAGGAGACCTTAACTTTTAGGCCCTAGCTTTGTTTATTCTTATTCTAAGACACAGGCACTGCGCGCAGGCGGGCGAGCTTCACTGTGCGGGCGGTTCTGGTAGAGGGTCCCGGAGAGGGTCCGGGAGAGGTTCGGAGAGGGTCCGGGAGAGGTTCGGAGAGGGTCCGGGAGAGGGTCCAAGAGGTCCCGAGAGGGTCCGCCGAGAGGTAAAATAGAGGCTCCCGGAGGGGGTCGCGGTAGAGGGTCGCTTAGAGGGTCGCCCTATATTGTGGAACCTCTCCGACCCTCTACACCCTCTCCCCCCACCCTCTATTTGACCTCTACTCAACCTCTACCGACCCTCTGCGCGCGTATAGCGCCGCTATACGGGTCCCTATACTGCGCACCCTCTCCCGACCCTCTCCGTACCCTCTCCCTTTACCTCTCCCCGACCCTCTTGTTTTTGTCGACCCTCTACTTTACCTCTCCGACCCTCTGTCTAACCTCTACGAAACCTCTCCCCAACCTCTACCGTACCCTCTCCGGCCCCAAAGTTTGCCTTATATAAATATATTAATCAACTATAATGATAAACATAATCGCTTCTCTATAGAAACCTCAAATATGTCAGAAGCCACGGGCTGCTTCGGCGGCATCTTTCGTTTCTCGAAGATTTTGCGTGGTATGGGCCACAACCACAGTAACGGGGGGAACAGTAACGCCAAGGTCTGTCCGGCGCAGTGTAATGGGCGCTTCACGAAAAACTACACGCCACGGCAGGAGCGCGGTGCGGTCTACAAGGGCTTTCACCACAACACGCCGAACGCCAAGCACAACGCGCTGGCCTACTACCAGCACGTGCACGACATCAGCCGGCGCGACACGATTGTGAACGCGACGGCGAAAGTGAAGCGGTGTTCGCTTTGGTACAATTTGCTGTCCAAGGGGAAACTGCTCACCAACGAGGTGGACTTTCGGACGAAGCAGAGGCGGGAGAAAAAGTTTCTGGAACACGGCCGGCTGGAGGATTTAGTTTTCTCACATGATGATCATGACGGGCTTGATAACAGTTCTTCTCCTATTTTGGGATTAGAGGGTGAACCACGTGAAGACGGCTCCTACGACGGAAACTTTCGCGGAAGAGTTGGGATCGGTGACGCCGAAGGCGCAGGACCAGGAAATAGAATTGCCTGCACGAGTAGATTGCTGAATTTGATTTCTACCAGCGGTCCGTTCACGATGTTTGTGCCCAATAACGAGGCGATTGCGAAAATTGGGAAAAATTCGTGGCAGACCATGCGCGACAACCCGGATTTGTTGCTGCGATTTCTGAAGCGACACCTCGTGTTGGGAAAGTTCGACATTCCAGAGCTGGTGAACTCGTACAACGCCGTCGCGACCTTGGCGGAGAATGGGGCCGCATCAATTTCTGCGACTGACAACGATGGTCCTGCGTTGGGGAATAGAAACTTTAACTTACCGAGCGACAAACAAGGCAAAAATCGACGCTGGTGGGGAGATTATTACGCCGAACAGCGATCCCAGGATCAGGAACTCGAAAACGAGCTAACTGACCCGAACCCGAAGACGCAGAAGGCCGCACGGAAGAAACTTGCACTTCTGAACTATTTAGAGGATCTGAAACGGGAGAAGCGGATGCAGGAGGTATGCATCGGAAATATGTTTGGGTGGTCTGGAAGGATGGAAGTTTGTCATGCTCTGCTAGCATGGTCAGCTCCGGGTCCGGACCTGATTCTCAAGTCTATCATGTAGGTTAGTACCAAAGAGCCACGGCTTATTTCTGTCATGCAAAAACGCAGAAGTTTGTCATGCTGGATATTAGACGACACCTAGCAAGAACCCAGAATCTTGTCACGCCGAGCCGTCACTTGTGGCATCCTGCTCATGATTTTTCCACTCAGCATCATGAGTTTACTCCGGGCCCAGACATGTTTGCACTGGATAGGAGGAGCACGAAGACAACTCCAGCTCGTTCTTCGATGGACAAAAAGAACAGCTTCTTGCGCTCAACAAAAACAACTACTTTGGAGACGACTCTCGCAGTGGTGGCCACGATGATCACGCGACGTTTCAGTGTCTCTCTTCGGAGCCGGTTTCGTACGTCTACCCCGAGCGCGCGCTGATGGACGGCTACATAGAGGATTGCTACGAGAAGCACTTTATCAAATGCAAATGTGTCTGGGTCTGGAAACTTGTGATGCAAGTCCGTGAGGAGCAATAAGTGCTCTGCAATGCGCCGCCAAGCATGACAAGTTTTTTTGTGCGTCTGTGCTGCGTATTTCGCATGAGAAGCTGCGCATTTGCATTACCGGCAAGCGGACCTCTACTTGGTGGCCACACAATACAGGGCGCAGAGTCATGAACATGATGCCAGACTAACATGACAAATCTCGCATCAATCTTCCAGATCCAGACGTGTTTGTATTTGATACACTTTCGCACGGCACGCACCGGGTACCGGTTACCGGAGTACGTGGGTCAGATCCCCAGTACAGAGCTGTCGTCGGTGCAAAAGAACCTGTTAACGGAATCCATGCAGCGGGCCAGCATCAGCGAGCAGACGGAGCAGATGGCAAGGGAAAAAATGGGGCTGGCAGGTGGAGATGTTGTTGCACCAGGAGAGCTGCAAGAAGAACCAGGCGGTCCAGCTGCAGGACAAATAGGTGCACCGGGTGGAGGCGGCGGACCCCTGCGGGCACGTGGACTACACACGACCGTATGAGAGTGCACAAGTCCCGCTCCTCCCACTCATTTCTATGGCATGAACAGCAACACAAAGACCAATACTTGTGGATGCTGCGCATTACAAGCTCACGCGTTGAGTGCAGTGCTGCATGCGCTTGGGTTTGCAGACTTTGTAATGCAAGCAGCGCCACAAGGACAAGGCAGCAATTGGATTTGATGGGATTTTGCATTACAAATGAGGGGGAGGGTGAGTTGTGCACTCGCACAGACCGAGCAGTCAGAACAGCCCCAAATCGACCCCTACCAGCTGGTCGCGAACCAGTCCGCGAGCGAAGTGCAGTACGCGCTGCTGGAGGGCCGGTTTCGCCGGCATCTCCCCTACGGCATCAACGAGAGCACGTTCGGCGGGGCAGAACTGCGGACGTTGGAAAATCCCCGGAAAAATATCCTGAGCGAAAACGTCCCCGCCCCATAGTCAAGTTGCTCTATCTGCAACACAAATCTCCAAGCTTTGGGCGTTGTGCATGACAAGTTCCCATCTGCAGTGTAGTGCTTGTTAGCAAGGGCAGCCGCATGAGAAAGCTAGCTTGCCATCCGGTTTACAGCACTACAAAGTCCAAAACACGATCGGAAATGCCCGTAATGGAGATGCGCATTACAAATGTTCCTGTAATTGCGCATTTGCATTACAACTATGGGGTGGGGACGTTTTTACATAGGATAAAAAAACTCGACGTGTTTGTGAAGCACTGCCTCGAGGACCAGTACTTTTACGGCCTGGACCGGAAGGTCGCCGTGGGGAACCGGAGCTGCAACATCGTGCGAACCGTGCGCTGTTGGAACGGGATCATTCACGAGATTGACGGTGTGTTTACCAGTTCATAGATACAATTCATTTCCTGGTGTTGCTCCTCATTGTGACTGACGACCCTCGATCATGTTGATGCGGACGATGAATTTTTGGTGAATCCTGATGTCTGTGTCTACATTTTTTGCGTAAAAGAAGTGAAGGAGTGTGCGGACATGAATCTTCTTGATGAGGTGCAGCATGCAAGTGAAAGTGAAACTCAACTCTACCACAGCCGTTTACATTAAGCACCAGGAAAATGATATTAGTATTTTGTTAGCAGGGGCTGTTCGTGCCTTCAATTGTATGTCCCTGACGCAAAAGGTCCTTTGTCCTGACGCTCCTCGTGATCGAATCGCATTTGCCATGCTGTTTATGAAATAAAGATGGACTGAGTAGAATCTATCACTACTTGATCTCGATTTTGGCACAAACCCGACCACGAAGTAGATCCGATAAAAGTGTTGAATGATCAACCAGTGGCGAGCGCGATCAAAAGTCAAAGATTCGGTAGCAGTAGATCGCTGGATCAGTCTTTTTCCACGTCGTGAAAATCGACTCTATATAGCAAAGATGCGTACGAGTTGTCATCAATATTAGTGGCGAGGATGTCAAAGCTCTAGCATATTATTGGCTGTATGTACGTCAACATTTGGCAAAAGAAATGTCACCGGGAACTACTTTGCTGAGCAGCCAGTTGTAAATGTAAGTCTAGGTGGGACATTGATAGGTATGGTATGTGGTTTGTTTACGTTTAGGCGACAATTACATTTTCTGTAGTTCAACCGCACTTGTTTTCTCCGATCTACCTTTCTACTATCCCCACGGCCACCTTCAACGCCCCTCATAGATACTATTTCCAGCGTCGTACTACGTACCCTGCCAAAAAACTGCTACCAAAATGCCGGACGCCGACGACATTCCGACGATGAGCGCGTCCTCATTGAAAAAACCGGGTTACGTGATGATCAAAGGCCAGCCCTGCAAGATAGTGGAGCTGAACCAGAAACCCAAAGCGACGGTGAAGGGGAACGACAGACTACACATAGTAGGCACCCACGTTTTCACGGGGAAAAAGTACGAAGACACACTGAACTTAACAGCCGGGTCCGCCTCGCAAGTCCAGGTATAGGGGGAAACATGTTCTTTTTCTCTCGCACAACAAGAGAAAGTCTTTTGCTTTTGCTTTGTACTCCCGTCGTGAGGACAAAAACAATTTTGTGAACGCACGGTGTTGAATGACGATGACAGACATGATCGACGCTGCACCTCCGTGCAGCGTTTTTTTACATGATAAATCATCAGAACTGATAGCTTATTTATTCGACGATGAACAAGGGACATTTATCTACTTACACCTCCAGGTACCCGCCGTGACGAAAGAAGAGTACACCGTCATGGACATTTATCGCAAAAAAAAACTGTTTCACTGTGAACTTGTGATGCAGAAAATGCAACACAGAACGACTTGTCTTGCTACACCTGCAAAGCGTTGGATTTTCAAGAACGTTTTCCCTTGGGCGGAAGCGCGCATGACAAATTTTTAGTGTCATGTGTAACAAACTTGTGATGCGCATTTTGCAAAATCGTCACAGTGAAACACTTTTTTCGCGGGATAACATCGACGGGGAGATCGTATCCTGTCTGACCGTATCAAATGCATATATGTCTGGGTCCTCTGGATGATTGCAACTTGTCATGCTAAATCTGGATCAGGCAAAAAACTGTGTTGCATGATTGCCACGAGTTGTGCACTTTTGACCTAATCGAGAGGCAGGCTCTCATGCAGGATAGGCATTAGAAAGGTCTCGCAAAATCTGTCATGCTATGTCCTACATACCAGACCTCATGGGTCATGGAAAACCTGCATGACAAGTCTGGCGATCTTCCAGACCCAGACACTTTTGCAATCCATAGACCGCCAGCGGCGAGCCCAAGGACGACCTCAATCTGCCGAAAAATACCGAGACCGGGCTACCGGACGAGGTGGCGCAGGAATTGCTGAAAAAGTTTGAGGCGGGCGATGAGGTGAAAATCGTCGCAATAGGTATTCTGGGTCAAGAAAAAATCGTGGAGGTGCTTTAGCGGTACTAGCGACTGCAGCAGCCGTGTGGGTGGTCCTGATTTGAGGAAAGGATAAAGAAGCAAAAGAACCCTGCTGACCTTCACACGACACCCACACCAAACAAAGCGGAATCTTGAAATGCTGAAAGGCAAGTGGAGTAAACAAAACAACGCGACACAATTTGCGCAAAAAGGAAGCAGAAACACCTTCTCGACTGCGAGACTTTCAGTCAATGCATTGCCCCCGATTCGCTTTCGTTCCCACGTGTTCTGTCTTTTTTTCCTGGAAAAAACCAGAAAAACGTCGTACCGAGATGCAAAGAAAACCCAGGCTCGACCGCGAGTTGTAAAACTAGATTTCGCTGTGCTAGAATTCTAACTAAACCAAACTCACACATCAACTTCCTCGACAACCCTGAGCGACACAGAGCTGGACGAGATCTAGTTTGTCAGTGACGTTTCTTTTCGTAATGATAATATCTCATCGAATTGGAATTCATTAACACGCAGACACACAGTACTAGCCATCGCTAGCCTACTCGACGAACAGAAAGACGGTGTTTCTGGTCGTGTTGTCCTCATCCTCGTTGAAGAAAGTCTCGCACAGGCTCATCATCAGTGCAACAAAACCCGCCCTCCCACAAAGCGTCGATAGACGTGCGAGCTTTGGTCTTGCTGTTTCATCCTCCCACCCAACCCTGCTGGCCCGAAAATACACAAAAGTTGTTTTATGATTATAGTGATTTCATCAAATTCAATTTCAAGTTCTAGTACGCTACTAAAACTACATCGTGATAGCACGAGCACGCAAGTATTGTTGTCCCACCCGACTCGGCATCATGATGCATGATCATACTATATTTTAACCGCCCAACTAGAACTACAGCTCTAATTCTGCTTCTTTTCCCTTTTCTAGATAGGTGTAGCAGGTCAGAATGACGACGTTAAACGACCGCAGCACGAAAAACGCCGTCGATTCTTCCTCCAAGAACGAGGTGCAGGAGGTTCGCGGCCCCGCGACGCAGGACTCCATTGTGGACGACTGGACAGAGAGCGAGGATGAGAAGGTGCATCAACCGCCCAGGAAGAGGCGGAAGAAGGTCGTCGGACACGGACAGCAAGCGCCAGGGGAGATGAACAGCGCCGCGGCTGCTCGTGGCCAGAAGCAGAACAATCTTCACGCGGTACCCAACATCAACCCATTCTTAACGAAGAGCCACCAGGAAAATAAGCCAAAGGTGGATGCTAACACAAGAACTTCTGGAATGGCAGCTGCGCGAGGAGAAGGACGACCCCAAATGCTGCATGCACAGGAGCTAGGACGACACCAGCACAGAGTAGTACCCCCACAAGCTAGTGGTGCGCAGCCCGCTGCAGTTGATGTTCTTGTTCATCCCAAGAAGAAGAACACGATTCTTTCGAACGTCCTGCGCAAGACAACAAATTGGAGGCCGACGCCGCAAAGACGAAATAAGGCACAAATGCCTGATGTAGCTGCAGACGAAGAGCTGGTGCATCCTGTTCCTGGTGGCGCAAGCGAAAGGACTACACGATCATCCTCTGCTGCTGCCACTGCTGCTGCTGCTGCTGCTGCGCCACCAGTTGCAGGTGGGTTACAGGACCACGCGCCAACCCGAGACAGTCCTGCCCGTTTTCAACGACCGCCACGGAGGGATAGTACCTTGGACAGGAGGGAGATAAAAAGCAAGTCCGGGTCGTCGTACCACGCCCCCGCTGCTTCAGTTGCTGCTCTTGCTAGTACTGCGGTCGAGGTTATCGAACTGGAGGATTCTTCTAACGGAGAGACGAGGAACAACGAGCCGCAAGAACATCAAGGCGTCAACAGCAGTAAAAATGCGAAAGCAGGCGGATTTTTCCCAGAAGGAGATAAAAGTGACGGGAAAAAAAATGCTGAAAATTATGCTACCACGAAAACATCAACTACATCAACAACAAATAATAAGACTGCAACAAACAACTCCGCAAGGGCAAGCGGGAAAAAAATTATAAATATTGGCACCTCAAAGTCTTCTTCGTCCACCGCCTCGTCAAGCACAACAAGAACTGCATCTGCCGCTTTTTCATCATCATCATCATCATCATCAGCAGCACCCCCAGCAGCCTCCTCCGCCGACGCTTTCCGCAGCAAGATGCAGGCGATGCAGCGCGCCACCAAGTACTGGGCGGCCATCGACGCGAACGACAAAAATTGGGAGATTTTGCTCGAAAAACGGCAGCACGGCTATCGGACGTTGAGCGACGACCAACTGCCGGACTACGTGACCGTGATTCGGAATGCTCTCCCGGAAAACCTCGCGAACCGGCTGCTACGGCAGGTTTTGCACGGAGACCTCGGCAAAAAGTTCGAGGAAAAGACCTGGTGGGTGTTCGGCCAAGCGGGAAAAACCCCCAGGAAAACCTACAACTGGCACCGGCCGGACTGGGACAAAACGATGTGCACCGCGGCGGAGACGCTGGAAGCAGTCATTAACGAAAAAATGAAGAACTGCCGGTATTCGCTAGTCTCCGGCTGCACAACTTGTTCGTCCGACGACGTAGGTCTAGAAGTACTTGTATCCTCAGTAAACAAAGACGTCCCCACCCCATAGCTTGGTGCGCATGACAAATGTGGGAACGCAGTCGAGTCGTCCTTAGCTAGGGAAGCAGCTGCGCGACAGATCTCGCACATCATGCTGATTCGAGCATCACGAACCTCAAAACACCGCCAGAAAATGGCTCTCGGCATGGGTCTCCGCATGAAAAACACTTTAAGCATGCTGGTTTGCATGACAAGTACAATTCTGGGGTCGTGGGGACGTAGTTTTTACTCGGGACAACTTGGAGGCCACGCCGAACCCATGGAAATTCTGCTGCAGCCAAAGTACCCGCTGCCAGAAACCTGGCGGGCGAGCTACGCCCTGGGGAACTGGTACCGGGACGGAAAAGATAACGTCGGCCCGCACCAGGACTCGCTGACCCATCTAGGGCCTTGTCCGATGATTGCGTCGCTCTCGCTCGGGGCGGGGCGGGAATTCGTCTTGGAGCACCGGCAGACCAAGGAAAAGCTGTCGCTGATGCTGCTCCACAACGACTTGCTGATCATGTGGCCGCCCTGCCAGGAGGAGTTCACGCACAGCATTCCCAAAATGTCCGCACCACTGCCCTAAGCATTGCAAAAGCATCGTACTTCTTCATCTACTAACACTAAGTATAAACTTCTGCATGACAAATTTTATCCTCAAGGAGAAAAGTGGAATTTGAATTTGTAATGCTGATCCAGCTAAGAAACTTATTAATTTTTTGATGCATCCATGAATAGCTGCAATTTGATATACGAGTGCGATAGAAGTACTTTTGCAATGCATACGCCTTTCCTGTTCGCGGCGAAAATGGACGAAAAAACGAAGCAAAAATAGGAATTGCAAAAGTATCGTACTAGTAGAAATCGCATGACAAACTTCCTCAGCATGAGAAATGAAATTTGTCAGGCGGGTTTAACTTGAGGCTGAGGCTGAGAAAGAAATTTGTAATGCATATACTGCAATTACTACGAGTGCGATACTTTTGCACAGGATAAAAAACCGAAAAAACTGATCAACGACCGAGTAAACTACACGTTCCGCATGGAGCGGCCGGAGTACAGCGCGCTCACGCCCAACTGCGACTGCGGCCGGCCCTGCAACCTGAAGCCGTTCGTGCAGAAGTGGATATCAAAAGGAAAAATCCCCCCTCCCCATATCGAAATGGAAATCTGTGATGCAGGATTTGTGTACACAAATCGGATTTGTCTTGCGGTGGAGGACTGCAGACAGGTACAAAGCCCGGAAAGGAATGGCTTGGGGTAGGTACTTAGCATGGCAGACGTCTGCCCTAGTAGCGTAGCAGCGTTACAAATCGCCTGCGAAATGCAGCGGACGCCCTGGCTTTGCTCTCTTGCAAGAGAGATTCGACCTGTTTCCACAAATCAGCATCACAAATTTTGAAAAGCGCGCCTTTTCGATATGGGGAGGAGGGATTTTTCCTCACAATAGTGGAATGGGACTAACTTCGGCAAGTACCTGTACCGCTGTAACCCGGCCGACCGAAAGGAGAAGCCGTGCATATGGCGTTCTCAGCTGTTACATTCTCAACTGTTACATGAACTTGTGACGCGAGATTGGGAAAAGTGAAAGAGGAAGGCTGCACCTGTAGCATTACAAATTCCGCAAAGATTTAGCTGCGGTTTAGCCCTTCGTAAGTTTGTCATGCGGAGCAGCTTGATCCTGCGGATGATGATGGTGCTTTTGCATGAAAAATTCATGTAACAGTTGAGAATGTAACACTTGAGAACACCATAGTGCAAATTCGTCAAGTGCGCAGAGTGGAGCTGTCTGGAAGGCGGGCTGGCGGAGTACGAAAAAATGCTAGAAATGCGGCGCAGCAAAGAATTGTCGGCCGCGAAAGATGTTGAAAAGACCAAAGAATCAGACTTAGGCTCCGGCGGCGATGGCGTCGCTATGCCGAACCAGCATCACGATCGTCCACCAAGGTCGCCGACATATCCACGGAAAAAAAACCATCCCCATCCATTTTTTGCATGACAGAGATCGGATTTCACACACGGTTTGCGATGATAAATTGGATGGGGATGCGATGAGTCTTTTTTTGTGGATACGACAGTGGGGGAAATCATGGAAAAGATGTACGAAAAAAAGGATAAAGAAAGGCAAAAAGTTTTGAAAGCGGGCGGGGGTGCCACGCTTTTTGAAACTACGCCTAAAGTAGACAATGCTGAGCAAGGCACTGCAGCTGGCTCTAGGACGACGACGACATTACAGCAGAATAAAAAACCAAAGAATTTTTACAATCAGTCCTCTAGTTCTGCTTCTTTCCAGAATGTATTCCAACAAACGCAGGCCGATGCCGAAGCAGATTTGGACAGTCAGCTGCAAACTGACGAAAGGGATTTGAGAATTATGTGAGGAACAAGACAGAAGAATCGATGCTCGTTGTCGCATGAACGAAAAAAAAGCGTACAGGGCTGCTCCTTTACGCAGCTAAGTATTTTTTTTTGACCATAGACTGGAACTTGATACAACCGGAACCGCTATGCTGAGTCCTAAAAGCGGTGCTTCTTGTTCAACCCGGTTAATCAAACGTGTTGCTTGTGTCTTCTTCATGATCTTCCTGAGATGTTGAGTGAAGCACGATGGGGTTTAGACGCCTCCAGAATAAAGTGCGAGCATCTGAAGATGAGCAGCACTTGACCTCCCCCTTGTTATGAGTTTTTGTCTAAATAATATGTCATTGCGTTCTAGCACTAGCTTCTAGGACGTCGACGCTCCTGAACTACAGTTTTCTTTATGATTGGTTGGCATTTGCGTGCCTTCTTCCAAGCTCTCTACTTTGTGGTCGAGAGGTGAAGTACAACTAGAGAGATTGAAATATAAATCTTGAGGCGAAGTGTGTGCATCTACCTATTGGTACGACGACCATGAAGCCGTACATTACAACATAGCAGACTTCGTAACACCTAAAAAACACCGTTGAACGAAGATGAAAAGAGGCAAGCGCCCCAGCAAGATCACCGCTGGATGAGGGGCGGTTGCCAGACGCCTCGAAGAACGTCTACTCCAGTCGCCTTCGCACGACTACTTCCGAGTTCTCCTAGTACCGCGAGCTTGTCTTGCAACCAAGCAGTACCAAAACCGACATCATGCGGATTTTCTATGCGGCAGCTGTCGTGAGTACCAGTAGCACGACGGCCCGCGCCCGCGTTTCGCCGTTCTCCTACAACGCTCTGCTACCGGCCGAACAGCAGGCGGGCAGAGGGGGCGGCGGGGGTAGTTCTTCCTCGTCGTACAGTAGGAATGGCGAGCTAGCGGGGGAGGAAGCGGGTCGTGGGGGAGCTGCTACTTCTGGAGGTAGGCAATATCAAATGTAAAAATGTCTGGGTCTGGAAGAATGCGCGATTTGTCATGCTGCTTTTCCATGACCCATGAGCTCTGGAATGCAGGACCTAGCATGGCAGATTCTGCGAGACCTTTCTAATGCCTATCCTGCATGAGAAACTACCTCCAGACTTGGTTAAAACTGGACGACTTTTGGTAATCATGCAACACAGATTTTTGCATGCTGCAGATTTAGCATGACAAGTTGCAATCTTCCAGACCCAGACACTTTTACATTTGATAGGCAAGTACTAATACCCATTGGCGAAAGATCTCTTTTTTTTTACGCGGTGGTGCCCGTGGCCGTGTCGTCGTGGTAATATTTTAATACCAAAACTAAAAAAAGTAAAAACACGCATCGGACAGCATTTTTTTAGAAAATAACACACAAATTAATAAATAAGTATACAAAAATACAGGTCTCCTTCCACACCTTTCCTACAACGATGTTTATCACGATACGGGACAAAGTGCAAGCCCAGGTGGAGCAGCAGGCCTCGAAAGAAGCAGCGGCAATCCCGTGCCGTTGTTGAATTTCAATCTCGCAGGACCAGCACCAGACCGACAACTACAGCACCAACAAGATATGAACCTGCAGGAACTGTCCTTGGCGCAGACGGAAGCCACAGCATCCTCCAGAGAGGGTGTTTTCACATCTAGCACAAGAACTTCCTCACAATTCAAGAACGCAAGCCCGGGAATCGGTGGCCGTTCCTCGTCACTGAGCAGCAGCGAGCTGCAGCGGCCCCTGGTGGGTGGTGGAACAACAAGTAGCAGAATCATGAACGACGCCAGCAGTGGGAGCAGTCTTTCGCCCTATTACTCTAAAGATGATGCTGAGATGAACAGAATAGTACAACAACATCAAAACGACGGTAGAAGTGCAGCACAACTTTTTCCGCCGAATTATTCATCTGGCTTTCTCGCAACCTCTCCGGCCGGCGGTGGTGGAGCAGCTGCGGGTGCAAGGGAGCTCTCGACGAGGAACGTAATATCACCTGCTTCAAGAATTACATCTGCCAGAAGTACGACTTACAGCCCCGCCTCGTCTGGTGGTGGTCCAGGATCACAAAATTTGGTCGTGGAGACAACCATGTTTGCTCCTGGGAGTTCGCTATGAACTGCAAAAGTACTAACGTACTAGTATAAATTGCATTACAAATCGGCTCAGCATTACAAATTTAATCAAAATTAAAAAAATTAAATTTGTACAGACATTTGTAATGCTGATTTCCCTTAACACCTAGATTTGGAATGCATAACTGCAATTAGTACGAGTGCGATACTTTTGCACAGGATATTCGCCCGAGCAGATGAGTCTCTTGCAGCGGTTGGAGCATGGCAGTCCCTGCGACGCTTTCACGACCGAGGACGCGTGCACCGGACACCGGACCGCGGCGGACTCCGCCTGCCACTGGTGCTGCGGACACACCTGCAGCCTCGACAAGCCCGGAACCCTCTGCGACAGCTGGGCGGTATGATTTATGTGTAAATGAGCAATTTTATCACTTTACTTTATGGTCATGTTGATCATGTACTAGTACTAGCTTCTAGAGCTACAGAAGCACCATACTTGATTATCATCTACTTCCTGCAAGACAAATAAGACAAACCCAAGCCGCCCTAAAAGAAAGCATCACTCCCCGCCTTACTACGATCGACATAATCTTCACTAGGGCCTTCTCGATAGCAGCGGGTACTACGGCCGCAGCAAAAACGGGCTCGGGCATGACAGCTGCGACCTGTCCAAGGCTATAGACCGGTCGTCCGGAGGTGGTCCACAGGCGGCAGTCCTGGACACAGCAGCTCCGAATGCAGCAGGTGGCCGACTTCGCTCCGCGCCGCAGGGCTTGGTTCTACTCCAACACGTATCAAATGCAAAAATGTCTGGGTCTGGAAGGTTGCAACCTGTGATGCTGCCTTTGGATTCTACACAGAATCTGTATTGCGTGACTAGCAAAAGAGGTCCATTTTTTGTTACACGGAGAAGGCATTTCTCATGCAGTACAGGCATCACAAGGCCCTCAACAAATCTGTGATGCTAGGACATGCATCAGAGACATCAGGGCGGGTCATGCTAAATATGCATGATAAGCGCTGCTTTTTTCCAGACCCAGACATTTTTGCATTTGATAACACGCGCCGACCTGCGAACAGTTTCTATGCACTGCAAAAGCTAAAGCACCGTACTACAAGAACGTCAACGTGGATCCTGCATTAACAAAGAACAATAAAAATCGAGATGGAACTTGTAACGCTAACTTGGAATTCAGAAGTGAAGGGATAGGGACGCCGAAGCAAATGCAGATCTGTCATGCCGAACTGTGAAGAAAATTAGTATACGTGCGATTCTTTTGCAGATGATACTTCCAAGCGGAGCACGATTGCCTAGCGCACCACGAGAAAAACACGCCTTGCCACTGGTGCTGCGACGCGCTGTGTATGCAATACAAATTTCCCGTACAAGTAGGTACAACATGCAACACAAATTTCACTAACTTAGAGCAGACAACTTGTCATGCTGAACAGGATCGAAGGGAAGCTTTGTCATGCAGAAACGGCATTTGTACGCGTACGGGAAATTTGCTGTGGATACTGTGTTACCAGAACGGGGCGAAGTGCGCGTCGTTGGAGAAGCTACTGGATTCGTCCCTGGAGCCCGCCTTGAAGAGTAAAAACGCCTACAACTACGACACCTGCAACGCGTCCGGGGCGCATGCGCTGGTGCTAACAAGCATCCAGCAGATCCCACGTACTTATTCTTTCGAGGATTTTGAATTTTTGTTTTTCTTGTGGTCGTGACTCCGATATCTCGAAACAAATCACTCCCGTACCTGTGCCGTAATTTTTGGTGTTGCTTCACTAGACTACAGGTACAGCTACAGCTTAGAAGTCGTCGTGGTGTTGAAAAGTGCCCATCATCTTCGAGCGCTATTGCTATTGATTATGATATCACGGACGACACATCAGGAACAAACAGGATTTTTACCAACGCACCACTGAACACCAACTTCAGGTCATGTGAAGGGCTACTTTTCGTCCCTCCTCGGGATGTCGGTGAAGGGGAAGAACGGTTATGCATTGCAAATATGTCTGGGTGTGGACGTGGAGGATTATGAGATTTCTCATGCGAGTTTGGCATGACTCTGAAATCTGTATTGCGTGGCAACGAAGACCTCCTCTTGTCTGTCATGCAAAAACAATGAGTCTCATGCGGAATACGCAACACAGAGCCACGAGAAAATATGTCATGCTGTGCGGTGCATTACAGTGCGCTTCCTGTTTACTGACATGCATTACAAGTTTCCAGACCCAGACTACATATTTGCAATGCATAACGGTGGCGGGGTTGACAAAGACAAGGAAAAGGCTGACCGTATCCTGAGTAAAAACGTCCCCACACCAGAGTCAAGATGCGAAATCTGCTATACAAATCCACCAGCTTCGGTTGATGTTTCGCGTGACAAATTTGTCGTCGTAGGTTAATCCTGTTGAGCTAGTTCAGAAGCATCACAGAGCCAGCACATCGTGCTGATTCTAGCATCACAAATTGCCAAACACTAATAGAGAACGCTTCTCAGCATGGGGCTCCGCATGAGAAACGTTTTTGGCATGCAGATTTGCATGACAACTCTGGGGTGATTTGCATGACGCCCGCCCTGCGTGTCAAGCCATCTGCGGCCATGGTACAATGGGGGGGGCAAACTGTGTCGCATTTTGATTAGCATGACAACTCTGGGGTAGGGACGTTTTTACCCAGAATAGACCGCCGCGCGATGTACAACACGGAAATCAAGAAACGAAAACGCAAGGGTATGGAAGTGGTCTCAAGCGTTAATACAACAAACATTGTCAGCGTTATTTACGTGATTTGTCATTGACATGCAGTCATGCAAAAGACCTATCAGCCCCCATACGCTCGAGCCACTTGGCATGACAAATTTTTCTTGCAGTAGCGGTAAACAGCATGTGCATGGAGATTTACTTCTGTGCCGAATTTGTAATGCGGGACGCGCAGCAGGACCAGGATCCCCTTCCACTTTTGATGGCCCTCTTGCATCACACATTCATCTTGTAAACAGCTGAGAGTGTAACAGTAACGTTTGAGAACTCCATAAAGGGAGACCCGGTCTTCGGCGGAACCTGTTCGTGCGGGACACAGGTATTTTATGTATGATTCGACTGAGAAAATTTTATGTTTTGTCTTGCTTCGCGCTATCCTTAATGTTAATGTTAATTATCATCCCAGATGTATAAGTAACACGACGGCCACAGTTGTGACCACCACAACAAAGACGACCAAAAACTCTTCATTTCCGCAGACCTTCGACGTGAGTGGCACCGAGAAAAACTGCGAGTCCCTGTGCACTGGTGGGACCATGATAGACGGTTGTGAAGACCTGGCCACCATATGGATTGCAAGTATGTCTGGGTCTGGAAAAAGACAAGTTTGTCATGCACATTTTCCATGATCCGCGATGTCTGTGATGTATGCCCTAGCATCACAGATTTTTTGAGCGCTCATCGATGCGCATATCGCATGACAAATGCCCTCGTAGCGTAGCCAAATTTGACCACTCCTCTTGCTGCTCATGCAATACAGATTTTATTTAGCATCCAAACGCAGCATGACAAGTTGCACTGTTCCAGAACCAGACGCATTTGCATTTGATACACCAGCATTGCGTACCAAACCGGACAGTCCAGCAGGAAACACCACCAGAAAGCGGTTTGCGGCAGGACGGACGCGCGTATATGATGTTCGTGTTGATAGACTCTCATTTACATTAGCATTACAATGACTAGACATAAAATTTCATATTGTGCGCTGCCTGAAGACAGCACAAAGTCTTACCCCCATACACGATAGCATCGTCGCTGTCGCAGGGTATCAATATCTCCTTGCTTGTTTCCCACGAGAGATAAATAAGTAACGAGATTGCGAATGTTTTTCCTCCGCATCACAGGTGACGTTCTAATCCACTCTGTTTCCGACAACCCCTTACCGGAATTCTGGGCCGCCACGTGCACCTGTGACGCGTTATCCAACATCAAAAAAAGATTTTTGTAGGCGTAAGTTTCTTCTGACGCGCAACATGTATACCGGTGATTGCGTCTGTCATGCTGGCCATGCATTGTAGCGTCAATTCTTGAGCTGGGCGCCTCAGATGAAAAAAGTCATCTGATTTTCTCTCAATTTTTTGAGATTTTTTTTTTTTGAAAAATTTTGGAAAAAAACGGTCTACTTTGCATTGGAAACAAAGTTGCTACTCACGTCGTTAGGTGCATTTCTATAGCGGTTTCGCCTTCTCATCTCATTTTTTTGGTCGAAACTGCATGGTATGCTGCATCGATGCTATTCCGCATGGTATGGTGGTCATTCGACTTGTCGATCCTCCACCATACCATGCGGAATAGCGATCTAGCTGCTTCCGTCAGTTCCTTTTGGCCGTCGATAGCGTCGGGTTCGAAACCCGACGCTATACTGCTATCGCGACACACGACGCGACTGTCGTCGTATCGCTCGAAGCAGTATACCATGCGGAAACGCATCCTCAAAGTTGTCGACAAAGTACACAGCCCGTGTTGGGCTGTGATAGGGTCTCCGCGGTCGATGACCGATGCAGTCCGCTCGGCCGTTTGGCCGAGCGGTTAAGGGGCCGAGTTGTTTGTCTCAGTCCCTTTTCACCCTTCGCGAGGTCGGGTTCGAAACCCGGCACTATACTTCTATCGCGACAGACGACTTGGCTGTCGTCGTGTCGCTCAAAGCAGTTTATCATGCGGAAACGCATGATCAAAAATGTCGACAACGTACACAGCCCGTATTGGGCTGTGATAGGGTCTCCGAGGTCGATGACCGATGCAGTCCGCTCGGCCGTTTGGCCGAGCGGGTAAGGGGCCGAGTTGTTTGTCTCAGTCCCTTTTCACCCTTTTTGCGATCGCCGGTTCGATTCTCGGCGACAAGTTTTTTTTCCGCGATGCGATCAGTACTATTTTCGTAGCATAGCGCCCAGGTTTGGATTCTTGTGTGTCGATGAGTAATCACGACACACAACAATCCATACGCGGATGTGCGGCGCAAATAAAATAGTACTGATCAACGTGCAGCTGTTACTCGATTATTTGGCTGCGAACTTTCGCAGCCAAATAATACCGTCGACCCTCGTGTATTCGGTTTTGAGATACAGCTGCACACAGCGGAGGACTTTTACAGAGCTGCTACTTCGAAGGCTGAAGAGAAAAACGAAAAGTCTTTTGTCGATGATCATCGTGCTATGCATTTCGAAATGCATAGCACGACGATCATGTAGTACGGCAAAAGAGCTTATCGATTTTCCTTTCTAACTGTAGCGGGCTTGTGTATAGTCGGCTATTTTGTAAAAAAGGGAAACGAAACTGCACCTGTTCGCGTTCGCGTGAATAGCAACAAGAACTTTCCTCTGCAGAATAGAACCGGGCAAGCAGTCGGCGCGGGTAGAAGAGGCAGCGGTAGGAAAGTGGTAGCGCGACCGGGCGGTGGGAGATACACACAAAACAAAAGCGCTCGCAGTGTCGCTGCGAGTAACATCTTGCGCCGAGAAGCGGCTGCGAACTGCAACTACATCTGCAATAATTGCAGGCAGTGTTCGGTAATTTTTTTGTCATGCAAGAAGCGACGTTTTTTTCGAAATACCAAACGAGCTGCTTTTTTGTGTGAGAAGAGAAGGCTGAGAGATTTTTTGGCTGCGCTATCAGGAGGGAAGGGCTGCGGAAGAGTGCCAGCACGAGAACGGGGAAACGCAAGTATTTTTTTTTGGAAATACAAAATGCGTATTCTATTCTCCTACTAGCAGGCAGGTTTTTTTTTTAAACTAAGCAGTACCCACATACCTAAGATAAAATAATTAATTTGCTAGCACGCAATCCCATCTAAGTAAAGCTATATAATAACAACTGCGTCCGCATCTATTGGCGCGGTCCTGTTCTTCCGCCGTCGTTTGTGTTTCCGCGCCAGTTTTTCGGCGTAACAACACGGAGTAGGAAAATGGTGAAGAAGAACCAGGCGCCGAAGACAAAAAAGCAAGAAGAAGATGCGGCGGCGAAACAGAACGAAAAACAGGAGGAGCACGCGGCCTCTTTCAACTCGCAGCCAGTCGTACCTCGCTCCGAGGAAGTTGTGGAAACTAGCCGCACTGCTGGTCGAGACGTGTTTCGAGTTCAGCCAGACCTACTTCAACGACAGCAGCAGGTTTTCCCTCGTACATTATCGAGTCGAAATAGATGGCACTACGTGCCAAAACATGCTATTTGAGAATAGCACTCGCGGAAAAATAAAAGTGTTTGCCCACGTCATGATCAGCATGGTGGCAATAACTTTTTGCTGTGGCAACATCGACAAAATGGGCTCCGTCTTCCTTCCATCACATACTGTGATGTACCCATCGAGCTACGATTTTGGACCACGACAACAAAACCAAAAATCAGCATTCCGGGGGTACAGTGAAGCTTTTGAGGTGGCAGACCAGTTATGGACGTATCACTCGCCGGAAGTTTTTTTCAGTAACTGGTCGCAGAACACCATCAAAGTATGGTCGCCGGTTACGGACTCCGGCGGTAGTACAATCCCGACATTGTTTTATGTCGGGGGCCTGTTCATGGCGTCCAAGTACTTGTCCGACGTTGTACTTTGGACGCAACGCTGTAAAGTCCATCAAACCGCCCTTGTTACGAAGCAGGTTGCGGAGCTATACCTGGGGATGATGAACCTCGACCCGGTTGGTTGGCAAAAAAGGCTTTGGTTACAGGTATAGCCACGCAGTATTTGCTTCGTTTCTGCATGACAAATTTTATGACGTTCCGCATGACAAATGAAATATTATGCGCATCAACATTGTTTTCTATATTTATCATCCAGGTTCACAGCATCAAGCTGCTGCAGGAGAAGATCCACAACGGCCTCGACCAGGTGGAGCAATGGCTCGCTCCGTGGGACAAAGGAGAGAAACCACCCAAAGACGAGAAGCTGTGTGCTTTCTTGGACCGCCTACCGATGGACACGAAAAAAAAAGACTTCTTCCGGGACTGCAGTGTGCGGCAGAAGTTGCTCGTCATCCCGCGAAACAGCAAGCATCAATGCATGCGAGCGCTGCATTGTCTGTGCCGCGGCTTCAAATGTCCGGTCTGGACACGATGGTTGGCGGTGATGTCGTGTCTGACGCAGCTCTCCCTGGCGACCGCGTTCTTCCTAGGAAGAATTTTTACGGGACTGGGCGAAAGAATTTCTTTCGGCCAAGAGAAAATCTTGGAGCATGGTTTTACGGTGGACATGCGCAACAAGACAGGCACTACAAATACATAATATTGCCATGCGTCGACGGTTCCACAGAGTGCATGGTAGAAAAGCATGCAAATGCACATTTTTTCTCATGCAAAAATCATGCATTTTTGCCAATCCAGCATGACAAACTTACATCTTCAACGAACTCATAACAAAATCAGGAACACAATTCCTCTTCCTGGTGACGAGTTGGTTTTTGCTTCACTTGATACGCCCCATCGAGCGTTATGATGGTAGCATGCTGCGGAGCAATGTTCGGGAAAAAGGACGGGCGGCATTGAAGCAAACCTTTCGGGAGGATCTCGTCAGCGCGTGCAACTACTTCAGCGACAAACAGGCAGTGCTGGATGATCTGGCGTTTTTGATGTGCGGCATCGGGATCGGAAGCGTGACGCTTTCGGATGCGCAACTTGAACTGGTATAGAATAAAACAGCCTTTCCATTTTGTCATGCACATTTTCCAGCATGACGCGAGGACTTTTGAAGTGCATACTTAGAATTAAAATGCAAAACAGATAGAGCTGGCGCGGATAAATGCACAACGCGTCCTCATCATCTCCCGCTGTATTCTTCTCTATCGCGACGGGCAGTGCGATCTGGAGCAGTTGGACAAGTGCAAGCTCGACGTGTACACGCAAGGGGATCCCGGGTCGATATCGCTTCATTCTGTACAGCGGTATATGCGGAATCTGCCGCAGAACATCCGCGAAGCGAAGATGAAATCCCTCACCGAATACCTCGAAGTTGCCAACCGCAGCACCAAAAACTGCGAGAAACGGGGTGGACGTTACAAGTGGCATACGAAGCGGCGCAAGACTGGAACCAAGAGTATCCCCGGAGTTATGAAATGAAAATGTGTAGCATAGCTTTCTTGCATTGCAGGTTTTTTTCTGAAAAGGCGCCACGTACTACATAAGGCATGACGAATCTGTGCAGCGACATGATGAGAGCGTAACTTTTTGCATGCAAATTGCAGCGCTTTTTCAGTTTTGATTTTTACTTGCAGGAGGCTATGTTACATATTTTCAACGCATACGACCGGACGCGCAGCTAAACAGAAAGGACTGGCAAAACATGGCTTCGGTGGTGGAAGAGGAATGCCGGCCGTACTTGCTACCGGATCAAGAAGACGACGATACCGGCGAACCCGCAGCGAAACGGCACTACGCCTGCACACGACCGATAGATGCGAAACGGGAAGACCAGTGGGAGGACGGTGAAGAAGTCGTGAAGATGACAGCGGCGGACGTGCTAGAAAAGTGTCACAAATTGAATTCCTGGAAGGACGACGACGAAAAAGCGAAATACACCATCATCGCAGCGGAAATGGATAAGAAGAAGGAGCTACTAGCGGCGGAGCTGAAGTATGAGGATGCCGAAGAAAGCGAAGAAGAGGAGGAAGAAGTCCGGGAATTTGCTGTCGTGAACCGCGAGAAATTGTACTACGAAGGGGTGCAGGAACGAGTGCTGCAAAAGTACTTGACAAAAGACGGCGACTATCGAAAACTTGCACCCGCTATGTGCAACAGAACCAACCAGCTGATTACAGTGGAAAAGCCGCCGGAGGTGACGGTGCGGGCGAAAGTTAAACCGGCTTCTGCTGTGCTGATATCGCGTTTCATCCGGGCGAAGCGCGGTAAGCTGAAATCGCTGCGACAAGAGAAGAAGGCTGCTGGAATCGAGCCCGGTGATCTAGCTCACCTGAACCTCGCCGAGCCGGATGATGATGCTATCGAAACGCAGCAATCTTATCCTGCGAAGAAACAGAAAGCTTCGCATGCTTGCATACAAAAACTTTGGCCTTCTTCGCAGGATAAGATTGCTGCGATCGATAGTCGACGACGAACTGCTGGTAGAAGACGCAGACGAAGTTGGGGAAGACGACAACATCGCGATGCCGGTACTGCAGGGGGTGCACGACGTGTCGTCGTTATTGTCGCCATTCTTCATAACGCAGTACAAGCACCGTCCGTCGGGGGAAGTGCACACGTTCCTCATTTCAGACGTGGTGCTGTCTCCATCATCGTTCAAAGCGGTGCAATTAGCACTGCAGAAAGATCCGGGAAAGGAGTGGTGGCAGTGCAGGATGCGAATGACCTGGATAAACTTGTACTCCGACGACCGCGGCACCGAATACGACCTGGATGCGATGTATGCAGCCAAAACATTGAAGCTACATGACAAGCATCACAAATGTTGATTTTTGCATTACAAATTTTGATTTCTTGTGCGCAAAGCCTTTACATATTTCATGCAAATATCTAATGCATAGTAGTAATGCTTGGCTTGCAGCTTCAATGCTTTTCACGGGATACACTCGGGCCGATGTACACGATGAAAGTCGACGTAAAGGACGGCAGAAGCAAAGCGTGCCTGTTCTGTGGAGAACGGATCAACCTGTCGCACCGGCAGCAGCGGACCAAGGCGGGAAAGGAGGAGGACAAGGTGCTCAGGGAAGAGTGGGCCTCCGCTAGCAATAGCGAGAAAGCCCAAATGCAGGACAACTTGGAGAAGTTTCTGCAGCCTACGATGCTGGCTTTGACCGCGCCGAAATCGACCGACAAGATCTGGGTTCTGGACGACAACAAGATGGTAGCAATGCCACTACAGTCGGATGACGTCCATGCGGAAACGTGGCGAAAGACGAACAAGATCGTCGTGGAGGAACCGCAAGCGCAGGCTTCAACGCAGGTGGAAACGCAGGGTATGACTGCCCTTTCTGCGACGGCGAAGATGCACCTCTCGAGCAAGGAATACGCACTGCATCAGCTGGAGCGACAGAAGGTTGCTAATCGTCTCTTCGCAACGAGAGTCGAAGGGTGGAAATGCATCGAAGCGTCGACGGTGTTTGACCGCAAGAGAACCGGAAGAGATGCTGTCCGACTGAGCATGAAGTGCGTGGACACCAAGCTGGCGAACAACATGAAAAAGCTCCTCGTCCACCCCTACCTGGACATGAAGTGCCAGTCGACGAAGAGGCCCATGAGGAGCATGGTGCTTGGCGAGAAAGAGGGACCCCTTTGGGTCGAGTGCCTCCTAAACGGGTGGGCCGTGATGTGCCGTCTCATCTGCGAAAAAGCCAGCTCCAACAGCAAGTACGAACCGCAGTCCACCGAAGATGATTTGGAGGCTTTGAAGTCCCAGTACGCCGCCTACACCTCGGAGATCCGTGCTTTTGCCGCCGAACGTGCTGGAAAGGACGCTACCAGGCAGAAGGAGTTCGACGCTCTGATGCACATTTCTGACCAGACCTACAAGTACCTCTCGCCCGGAAAGTCGACTACGTCGTGGTTGGATTTCCAGAAGATCGACGCAGAATACCTGGAAATCGCCGACGTCCTTGTGGAGAAGCAGAGGATCAAGGCCAAGACCAAAAAGCAGCCAAAGATGGCTGCTGCAGGTGCGGGTAAACAGCATGATGTGCTCGCAGAATCGGCGTCCCAAGTGCCGGCCCAGTGAAGGTGGTCGGGCACCTCAAGTTGTAGTTGAGCACGCTTATACTCTGCACAGTTTCAGGCTCAAAAAGCATTGATTTATTGTACAACTCATCTCTCAGAGGAAATCTCAACTATTCCTCACAAAAAGTGGCCATTTTTTGAGCTCAAAAGTGATCACTTTTGAGCACAAAAAAAAGTCTCTCGCTTTTCCTCCTCGAAGTCACCCTTTGCATCTGCATAGTCAAAAAAAAAGTCTAGAAAAAAGACTCATGTCCTACTTATATTCTCCATTATCGCGAGACTTTTTCGAGTTCACCTTCTAGAAAATCAGGAGACTTTTTTTTCGAGGTCAAATTTGCAAAGCGTCTCATTTTTCGAGTTCACTTTTGAGCAGAAAAAATGATCACTTTTTGTGAGGAAAAGTCGTCACTTTTAAAGGATGTCAGAAAATGTAGCTTTAAGTAGACAAGAAAGCGTCAATTTGTAATGCGTAGAAGGTGCCAAAAAGAGCACTACTAGAACAAGAAAAGCCTAGTAAAGTAGTATGTAGTAACTTCACGGCTGGTCATCGAACTTTGGCCCACCGCGACTACTTCACCCTCGCGGTCATGCGGCAACGGAGATGGTCACCATGGACGAACGGATACCTGCGAGCCCTAGATCACCACCATGACGCGTTGACCATCTGCGCCATGACCTTCGCCTTCTTGTCCGAGTTACCGATGGCCAGCCGTGTAGAGTAGTGGCGTGCCTGACAGTAGTTTCATTGCAAGTAGTAGAATATAGTGCACAAATTGAATATTACATAGGAACAGCTGTAGACTTTAGCATCGCGCAAAAGACCTATATATAAGCCAGAAGCGTTGACAACTTTGCACAATCTTAACTGCGTAGAACGACCTTACTTCGTGCGAAAGTGCATAACTTGTAATACAAACAGTGTGCCTGTAGATGGACGTAGTGCGTGACAGTAAAGCCACACAGTAGTAGCATCATGCATACACATAGGGACATAGCGCAGCTCTTCATGGGAAGTTGAAGCAGCATAGTACTGCTGCTTTGTGATACACAGCATGACAAATTAGTAGACTTCGAAGTGCATGTCATAAATTGAGTACGCTGGATTGACATACAAGAAGCATGACAGACTGCACACGCAAGTAGTGGAACATACATGAAAAAAGAAGGCACTTCTCGAGTTGATATAGCACAGCATGCAAGTATGTCATAGAGGTAGAATTGCGCGCACAATACAGAAGTAAAGCAAGGCTTTTTTTTGTGTGAGTTCGGCGTCGATGGTGGCGCTGTCGTGTCGTAAGCTTCAGCACACATAGTACTTGGTAAAAACGTGCTGACGTCATCAAATAAGTCGGCTCTTTGTTTTGTTTTTTTTTGTGAGAGATGAAGCAGTGCATTGTAGTGCCTAGAATGAGATGACTGTTGTTGTTGTAGTTCAAGTTATGGGATAGATCTGAGATCTCACTTTGACAGTGGTAATGGTGAAGAAAAAAAGGTGGTTGCTTTGATGATCTTGATGTTGTTTGGATACTTTCATTTTACAATTTTGAATTTCTGACGCGCGCCATCTAATACTTGCTTTTCATCATCTTCATCAACGCAAAACCCGTAGCCAGCTACTTCTTGAGTTCTTCCTTTGTGGAGAGTTCTTCCTTTGAAAAAAAAAGCGTGTCAAGATGGCAAACAGATTGGCCCGTCACCCCACTGGAGAGGTCGCCCAGGAGTTTCTGCAGAACGCAGCTCTGCCGGTACACATTTTTGAGCTTGTCATGCATAGAGTGCCTTTATCATGGATGAGCAGGCGCTTGTCGATGTGAAACAGACATACTGTAAATTCAAAAAAATTACCACTACAGCAAGACGCGAATCATGTCGCTGCCATGGGTGCCCTCTGGCGTCAGGAAGGTCGCACGCGGACCCGTCTGTTATGGTAGCAATATCTAGCTCAGCACCTTACACTACTGCTTTGTCATGCTAACTATGATGCAAATTGGTCTCGACCAACTGTGCGACTACGTGCTTAATGCGTGTGAAATAGCATATCTGATCATATGAGTTTGTCACGCGCTTTTGCATTTTTGAAGTAGCCAGGCATGCATGACGCGGCTGAGGTGCTGAGCTAGAGTTGCAACTTGCATAATTTTTGAGTCGCGTCCAGTACCTTTCCACCCTGACTGACGCCCAGATCGGTAACCTCGAACTGGCCCACGAAGCCGTCATCGCCAGGTCCATGGCCGCGTTGCCCTCGGCGGTGCGTCAGATCGTGCTCTTCACGCGCACCGACATCATCGCCCGCGAAGCGGCCCGTTTGGGAAGGGCCGACTTCAATCATACTACGCTCGAGCAAGAACGTCGCGTGGCAGTACTACATCAATTTTGGAACTTGTGCATCACAAACTTGACCGACATGGCAGTCGCGTGATGCTTTTGTGAAGTATGGATTTCTGCATGACAAAACTGCCATTTGAAGTGGAAATCATGGTCAAGAACCACGACTCAGGTCCATCTCCAGGGGAGATTTGCCTCCCTGACCGATGAGGCGGGCCAACGGGTTACGTGCTCTCGGCGTGTGCGATCGTCTGTGCGGTTTAATGCGCCACCCAGAAGCCCGTGATGAAGTGGAGCGCGCGGGAGTCATCGCTTTGTTTCAGGGTGGTGCCTTCCAGCGGACCGCGGCCCGCCAGCCCCGGACCTTGGTCCAGTTTCGCGACTGGTGTATTTGTGTGTTTTTGTTGATAAAGTGATGCTGTTCACATCGTAATCTTACGTCGGTCCATTGAAATCATGCTTCAGTGCCACAGAAAAACGCAACTGTAATTTCATGAGATACATCATTCTGACAATAAAAAACAGGGCGTACGCGCAGGCCCGCGCGTTCGTGTCCGGCAACAACAACATGCCCGAGATCCGCGAGAACATGATGATGATCAGCAATGCGATCGAGCTGCAGCAGGTGTCTTTGCTGGAAGACGCCATCGCCACCCAGTTGCTGCAGGGTGCCCCCGTCAACGGCGGACAGACGCTCCAGGAGTTGTTCTGGGAGAAGGCGATGGACGTATATAGTGTTGCGCCTTTTGCAAAGTGAGCGCGTTTCATCGGTTGAGTCGTGTATTGCGTAGTCGGAAACTGACGAAGCAAAGTTTTTAGCTTCTATGCATGACAGAGCTACTGTGTAGCGCAGATGACGAACAAAGCATCCAATATTGATAAGAGACATATCCTGAAACGATGAGCACGCATGTTGCGTTTCATACTGCAAATCCACAACAGATGCTCCGCGCTGCCGCCGTGGCCGAACTGTTGGCCCAGGTGGAGACTCAGCTCGGCACCTTCTTGCGCACCGGTAGCGCCCAGTTCACCGTGTGCGACGATGCAAAGATAAAACCTTGGCTCAAAGCACTGCTTTCTCTTTCAGATTTTACTCTGCATGCTATGCTCATGAGTTCGCGTGGTTGGGACTTGAAAAAAAGAAAGTACTGCACTGTAAAAGTACCAAGAGAACAGGACGTCAAAATACAGTGGAGGAAATGCAAGAAGAAGTGATAAAAAAGTCGAAGAGTGCACCCGTCGCGCACCTTTTGAAAGGAAGTCAGTGTGTTGCTCCAAGGTTTTTTTCATAGCGTAGCAAGGCTGACTTGACCCGCGCGCTCGACACTTCGCGTTGTGCTGAGGAGATGGTGATGAAAGCGATCAAGCGCGCGCAGGGAGAGGTGCCCCCCCAGCCGGAGATCCATGATTTGGTACTACTTTTTCATGCTGCTTGAGTTGAGAGTTATCACGAGCCGAGAGAGCGAACTTTATTGGTTGATCAAAAAACGAATCTTCCTGCATAACAAGTTTGATACTGAAGTGCCAGCTTTATTGTCGTATAGTTTCGTCTGTAATTTCTACAATGCAAATCTCCAGGGCTTGATGCGTCAGATGGTCAACACTATCCGCCAGTGGATGAACCTGCCCCAGCCGCACCCGGTCATCACCACTTTGATCGGTTTGAACGACGCCTACACCAACACGACCTCGCTGCACTACACCAAATTGCCCGGCAACTTCACGCAGCAGCACAATGGTGCCTTGCGCCGCTACTTGTTGACCATGGACCAGACCCGCGTGGAGGGGCAGCTGCGGGACCTCGACAGCCGCATCCTGGCCATTGGCACCGCTTTTGACTTCTTGCATGACTGGGACAACCGCGGATCGCAGCAGGAGATGATCGACTTGCACGCCTTCTTGGGTGGAATCCGCTTTCCCGCCCGCAACCGCTGGCGTTCCCTGCACGAGATCACGCGCGAGATGTGCAACTGCTACACCGGTGGTGCGCACCAGGAGCATGCCGACCGCGCCAACACCATGTTAGCGATGAAGGAGGATTTGGAAGCGCGCCTGTTCACCGAGTGCCCGTCCATCCAGGAGAAGTTGAGTGAGACGCTTGAGAAGTTCGTCCGCCGCATGCAGGAGTTGGAGGAGGGTCCGTTGCGGATCGCTTTGGCGAACGGTATACGCACAGAAAATTTCTTGGTTGTAAGCAATTAGAAGTACGACCTACTGCATGCAAGACAGATTGGTTTATGCAAAGCAAAAATGAGCATAATACTATGCGAAACTGCATCTACAACATCACGCCAAAAATAATATCAGGATCGTACCAGGAGTCCGTCCAGGCTTACAACAGTATGACGGTGCCATTCAGTTTTCTCTTTCCCGCCCAGAAGCAATTGCTCTGGCGTGAGATCACCCGCCAGCTCCCGAACGGTGCCGACCCGGCCGGTGCGAACGCCAATCAGCCCGCGCCCCAGAGACGCAGAATCAACCTCCAGTTGCACGTGCCGGGTGGTGCGCAGGCCAACGTGAACGCCCCCATTGCCAACAACGCGGTCGCGGGCGGATCCGATGATGAGGATGAGTAGTTGGACGGATAATTTTGGTCGTGAAAGTTGTTTGCAATAGTCGCACTTTACATACCAATATTTGCTGCTTCATCACCGTCGGTTTGATCGACCAGAGGATACTACTCAAGCAACTTTTACTAGGTTTTGATTGATTTATTGTTTCGTACTTTTTATACTTCGAAAATGCACAGTTTCATCTTGCCACAAGTGCATAATAGTAAAAGTATGGACCAGTAAGTCAGTCAGTGAGTCACTTTGTCGGGGACTTAATGATATTTGTAGGCTTCAATGTTTTCGTAAAGAACTCACTGTTCCTACTGGCAGGAGGCCCATATCCAACAGTCTCACACGTGGTGGAGGGAATAATAAATAAAGCTCAACACGTAAATAGGAGCGGGAGCAGAGTTGTTAATCAAAAATAATATGTAGAGTTTTTCTGTATAATATATCAAAAACAACTCTGTTATGGTGGATGTGTGAGATGTTGACGTAAATGCAAAATTCCTCCTTTGTAGAAATGTTCTACTTGAGTTCAAGCAGAACCATCTACAGAAGGAGGGGGGAAATTAAAGTTTAATTATAGAGTCGACGTCCAGCTAGTTGCTGCTTTTTTCCATCTTTTCTACATAATGTTCTACTTGTTGCCCATGACAAACTTTGATGAAACACGATGCAAGACATGAATGCACAAGTCGGTGAGAACGTTGTCGGTGTAGATCACAGCATACAAATGAAAAGTCGGTGATGAACCAGAAGCGCATGTGTAATATCGGTGCGACTATACAGAGTAAAGAAAAGCGCGATCGGTGTGACAGTTGCATGCGTGCAGTGCTTTATGCAAGCCGCCTCCCCGGGCGGGATAGAAATTCGGGAGGCTGTAGTGTTTACTATAGAAAAAGATAGTCGTGCCTTAGCATACGCTGTAAAGTAGCCTGCTACTACATCACGCCAACAATAGAATGTAGTTTGAGCTTTGTGCTGACGAGCACACCGGATCGGGCCGTCGGGCTGCGCCGCGAATTCAGTGCCGACGGGGCTGCGATGTGGAGACGCGACTGTGGATTTTGCGAATGTGGACGCCGCGACCGCAGCGTTGGAATTTTTTGAACCCCCATCGGTTCCCATCGCCGCGTGAGCGGAGATTTGCGGTGGAGCGAGCGAGTGTGGATCTGCGATGTGGAGCTGTGGAGCGGCGATGTGGATCGGCGTTGGCGAGCTGCGATGTGGAGCCGCGCGGTGGACCTGCGATGTGGATTTCGCGACGACAACCTTCGCTTCCCTTGAACCTTTGGTGGTTCTCGTGGCGGCGTAGACGGATTTGCGGCGGCAGGAGTGGATGCGGAGCTGCGATGTGGACTTGCCGGCGGTGGCAGCGAGATGTGGAAAGCGGAATTGCGGCGTTGAGCCCGACTGCTCCGCCTGCGAACGGCGATGTGGATCCGCGATGCGACGACGCGATGCGGAGTTGGCTGCTACGGAGCCACGAGCGGAGGCTGGAGTGCGGATTTGGAACGACGGCGGAACTTCCGTCCGCCTTCGCAAACTTTGAACCTCAGGTGGTTCCTATCGCAGCGTGGACGAGCTGTGGTGGCGGCGTGGAGCGAATGCGGATTTGCGAATACGCCACCCTTCGTTGTGGCGCGGACGACTGGAAAGTGGACGTCGAGATGCGGACGAAACAGCGGTGGTGTTGTTGGATCTGCTGCTTGCTGCCGACGGATGGATGTGGATTCTTCCTCCCTTCTACGGAAGGTTGCGCTTTTTTTCCCCGCATCGACCCGCTCTACATCATGAATCACAATCGGGTTTTGCGGGTTCCGAAGTCGCAACGAGGACGCGGTAAAAAGACAGCTGACGGCTTAGGCGGGAATGCTACGCGGCGATGCGGAGTGGCGAGACGACGGACCCGGGCGACGTGCAGATCACGATGAAATACATAATTGTGTATGTACAGTAAAAAAAAAACGGGATTGCGTGCTAGCTAGCTCTATATCTCTTACCACTCCTTGAAAAAAAAACGCGAACACAGTAGCACTACGATCTTTTTATGTCTAAGTATTGATGCAGCTATTGTATATGTTCACCTCAACCAAAAAAACAGGTGATGACTCGCGGGCAAGTGCAGTTGAAATACTGTTGGCGTGATGTAGTACTGAGATACGACTGACGGCAGTCACAAGCAGGCTCTCAAAGCAGGCCACTTCGCACCTGCAAACATCGACTTCAAAATTTTTTTTTAAAAAAAAAATCTAAAAAAATCGGGAGAAAATCGTGGACGGGGTGCCATCTGAGCGCGCCCAGCTCAACAATTCAAGTGCGGTTTCACATGCTATCCTCCCATGACAGGTTTCTGCTGTCGACATGCGCATGCCCGACAGATTTGTGATGCTGGTCAGCCAAAAAACAAAAAGGCACACAACCCACGAATCTTCTTTTTTGCTCGGATACGCGTCCGGGAACTCCTACACCTTCGGAGGTTCGGAGGACTACGCGTGCGGACTGGGCCACGCACCCCCCGGCTGCATGTTCGGCAGCGTGACGGCGCAGTGCGCCCGGCAGGAAGTGCCGCCGGTGCTGCTGCAAACAGAGGACTCGGAAAAATTGAACACGCGGGTCCTCTGTGCGAAGGTTCGGGATGATATGGATTGCAAAGATGTCTGGGTCTGGAAAAGTACAAAGTTTGTCATGCTAGGCTAGCAAGACTCCTACTTAAGTCTGTCATGCGCGTTACCCAAAGGCCCTATTTTTCTGTGATGCAAAAACGCAGTTTGTCATGCGGAATAGGCAAGACTTAGAAGCTCAGAAACTTGTCATGCTGAGCCATCATTTGTGGCCTCCACATTCTAACTCCCTCATCATTAGAAGTTTCCAGACCCAGACATATTTGCATTTGATAGATGAGGTGTTTTAATCATACGGAGCGAGCTGGCCACAAACTACACCTCGTTCAAGCAACAAAATCCAAAGCAAGTTCTACTCACAAGCGGTCTAGAGGCAGGAGGAGCTCCTCGTCAGTCCTTTTTACTAACTATGATTAGCATCACCCAAAAAAAATATGATTTGACAGATCAGGAGCAGAAGGCAGGACCGTGCATCTTTGTATCGCGAAGGCGATGATGTAATTTGTTTTATGAAAGCGCGACCTCTGCCTCTGCTTCCTGAATGCATGCAGGCATGTTTAAAAACTACAAGGATGGTTTACGATACCTCGCCAAACGAGAACCTTTACATCTACCATCGTCACATTACTACATAGTCATAGTCAGAAACCGTTTCAGCTAGAATATGAATATCCATCTGTTTCGAAGAAAACAAAAAAAATCGAGAAAAATCGAAACCCTGAATGACATCCGATATAGAATCGTCCTTTATTTGGTGTTGAATTTCCAAAAATGCAACTTTTTTGTTAAACTACTCAGTAGCATACACCTCCGGGTGCCCGAAGCGCTAATTTTCGAAAATGAATAATGCTTCTTATCGATTTTTTACGAGTACGAGAGGCTGTGCTTTGCGAATGAGAATGCACCTGTACAACCTCATGGCGCCATAGATGAAACGACAGGAACTACGAGAAAAGAATGATGAAACGCGCTGACTTTACGATTCCCATCGACTGCAAGACAGCCACTGGGTTTTGTAAGCTGGTGGGCGCCCCGCCGCCGGACGGGTCGCGGCCGTAGGAACTCAGGGCTGTTCCTGTTCTTTTGGTCTGTGAGCATGGACAACACAACTACTGTCTCGCGAAAACGCTTTTTCTGGTTTTTTATCAAGCGAGAAGACTTCAAATCTTGCTTTTTTGTTTAAGTTTAAAGCGTATGCAATGCAGTGCTTTTGATTGATAATAGCCAGGTCGGTATAACAAGTGATGGCTTTGATTTTCGCAGATCGGTGTTTTGATTTTCGTAGATCGGTGTGTGTTCTGCTTTTCGCAGATCGGTGTTCTGAATTTCGAGAGTCGGTACTCTGCTGAATTTCAAGATCAAGAAGCTTGGTGATCGCAATTTCGCCCTTCGGTTTATCTTTATTTTCGGTCCTCGGTTATTTTCCATGTTTCGGTCGTGCCTTGAATGCTGGTGAAGCTCGGACTTTGGACTCTGAAAATTCAACCTTTTGATCGTGCAAAACTGAATTCATTGTGGTCTCACCCTCTTATCATGTGCCTGTCAGGTTACGGCATTTTGTCCTTTCATAAACTTCGAATTCGTATTTTTCGATATGTGGAAATATTAAATCATCGTCGAGAAGTTGAAGAAGTGCCCATGATTGATTTGAACTGACAGAAGAACGGACGAGAATTGGAGCGCTGATTGCGCAGGGAAGGATTGTGCCTTTCCCTTTAAATAAAGCCTATCGCCGATAGTTCATTCCCTCTTCCGCTTTGCCGCGGCCCTGGAGCGCCACCCGGGAGAAAATATGGCTCTGTGTGCCTCGGGCAACTTTCTTGTGGCCCTGCTGCACCTGCTCCTGCTCAACTCGGCCAGTTTTTCCGTCGCCGTCAACATCAAAGGGTCCTCCATCTTCACGACCTACGAAGCAGCTCCTGCGCCGGATCATGCTCTGACCAGGAACGATGAAACGATAAAGCCGATTCAACAGTCCAGCTTCGATGATTCGGAATCGACGGGACGAGACCACCATGATGAAAACACGTCGTTCCTCTCGCAGATGGAGCAGCACCAGGAGCAGCAAAAATTCGTTCGCCGGTTTAAGCAGTTCTTGGACACGCTTCGGCGTGTATGGACATCTTCAAACGGGACCGCCGCGTCAAAGCTCCCACCCCTGCCGGGCTTCAGTAACAATAAAACCACGGTAGGGGATATCAAAAGAAAAAAGCGTGGCTACAGTTGTTACACATTTGATTTTGTAAAAACTTCAGCAACACAAGTTCATTTCTCTGCTTGACGAGAAGGACAACTTGCAATGCGCAAACCATATTGAGGGAAATGAACTCGATGAAATGAAACAGAAACTCGGAGCAATTTCTGGCATGACAAAGGTTGTCTGTCATGCTGGGCTCGCAACACAATGCGTATAGAACTGTAACACCTTTTTCGCGTGATACGAGATGTGGCCTTCTCGAAGGTGGACGAGGACATCGACGACGAGGATCTGCCTATCCTGTGCAAAAGTATCGTACTCGTAGTCGTGCAGCAATCATGCACTACAAATCTTTTTTTGAATGGAAATCAGCATTACAAATTCTATTTCTCATGCTGAGGATGATGCTGAAATTTGCAATGCATTTATGCGAGTACGATAGCGATACTTTTGCAATTCATTCTACCGGTGGAGGACTTATTGGAAGTAGGGCGCCTGCTGTATGCGTTGCAAATTAATATGATGTCATCTGGGTCTGGAATAATGTATAAGCTTGTGATGTTGCTAAGTGAGTGGCGATCATTGAACATCAACATACTCCTGAGTCGTGCAGCCAAGCATGACAGATGTAGTTCCGGGCACGACTTCCTCATGCGTAAATTCGCGTTAAGAACTGCGCATGCGCATGACAATCAAAAAACGGGTCCTTACTTTGTCGCGTTGGTCATGCAATACAGATTGGTCGTAAAGTCAAAGTGGATGATAGTGGAGGTTGAGGGGTAATAGAATAGGTCATGTAATACAGTTACAGATTTTACATTGAATTATTCAAGACAGCACGCATGACGAGTTTTCCACTCTCCCAGTAAACCCATCGATGACATATTTGCATTTGACATGCTGCCGGATGCGGATCCCGATCCGACGGACAAAGGCTACACCATGATGAACACACCAACGACTTTGAACGGTTTGGGTGGCGACACTTTCGCGGACGGCGGGCCGCATGGAGAAAACGACGTGGAAGTTCATCATGACCTTGATGTTGAGACGTCGTCGCGCCTCCACGTGCCCTCGAACATTAAAGGCACGAGCTTTCTGGTGCGAAAAACGGGCATCAAGCGCCGGGTACAACTATTGTCGTCAGCCAGAGGCGGTTTGCTGGGGAAGGTTGCCAACAGCTTCGACCGGGCGCGCAACGCCACCGTGTCCGCGTACCGCAAGTTCAAGGGCGGTGTCGCGAGCATCAAGTCGCGATTTTCCGTATCAAATGTAAAAATGTCTGGGTCTGGAAGAATGCGCGATTTGTCATGCTGCTTTTCCATGACCCATGAGGTCTGGAATGCAGGACCTAGCATGACAGATTCTGCGAGACCTTTCTAATGCCTATCCTTCATGAGAAACTACCTCCAGACTTGGTCAAAACTGGACGACTTTTGGTAATCATGCAACACAGATTTTTGCATGCTGCAGATTTAGCATGACAAGTTGCAATCTTCCAGACCACCCAGACACTTTTACATTTGATATGCCGCGAAGTTCAAGGGAGGTTGTCACCGGTGCCGCCAGGTGTATCCTGAGTAAAAACGTACCCATACCAGAGTCAGGATGGGGATTTTGCAACACAAACCTAGGAGTTTTGTGAGTCACGCATGACAAGTTGCACTCTGCAGTATAGTGCAGGTTAGCAAGTGCAGCCGCGTCACAGATTCATCTGCTCATCCTGTTCACAGCATCAGAAATTCCAAAGCACAATTGGAAATGGCTCTCATGCGGATGCGCATTACAAGTCTTCCTGTCTTTGCAAATCTGCATTACAACTCTGGCGTGGGTACGTTTTTACTCAGGATAAGGTGCGCATGCTGTTCGCTGGCACTGCGTTTGGCCAGCATTTCGGGCGGAAGTACTTGGGCTACCTGATGGCGTACGTCGCCATGGGGGTCGCGTCTTCTTTTGGAAGCGTGTTGATCCTCCGAAACTTGCTGCACCTGCAGGGATTGGTGTTCTCTGCGGCTGCCAAGGGAGGCTTCGCCGTTGCAGGCACAGCAGGCTGGACGGTGCTGACCTGGCCGGTGCTGCAGAGCGTTGCACTGCCACTGTTGGGGGGCGTTTTGCTCTTCATCATTTGCGACCAGGCGCGCCAGACCATGCTAACCTGGGTTCAGACTAATGTGAAACTTCAATTGATTAATTCAAGAAAAAACATTATCACAATTACTTTTGCACATTTCTTGTTGGACTTTGAACACACCTGCCACACTGAGTGACTAAAGCTTCGCCGCGCGGGGTTCTTCTAATCAATTCCAGCGCTTCAATCTCACAGCAGACAGGGCGAAAGCCTCTGGCTGCGTGCGTTGCATCCTGTTCCAATTCATCGCATGGGATGAGCCTGATCCTGGTCAGAGTCAAGGGGCTAAACAGCACGGGACTACCTCCCTCAATGCTGTCGGCTAGGTGCTCGATCCTGGTGGGAGTCACCCCCCTCAGGATGGTCATTCTGAACGTCTAGACCGAGCGGACTCCCTTCATTTCGCTGCGATCGCGATGGCTTTGCCTTCGTAGTAAGTTAGGGGATCCGCGTCAGGGATCTGGCCAGTTCAGGCCATTTAGGTCAGCCATTTCAATAGGAGCAGGCATCTCAGACCATCCCGAGAAGCTTCAGGCATGTCTGTGGGGCGAGGGCTCTGATCACATGGCCAACGTTTTTGCATATACGAAAACTCTTGGCATGCGCAAAAATGCATCTTCACAGCCAAAAGCTATGGGCGATTTATTCCCTTTGTGATAATTTTGCAATGCAATAAAATATCTGTCATGCGAGAGGGCAAGTTTCTGATGCAAGAAAACCGCCTAAATGTGATTCTGGTTGTGTTTTTTTCTTGGATATTGATTGAAAAAGTCTCCAGCCTAGCCACCGGACCCGAGAGCCGGCTTCTCACGGGGGACGCCGCGGTGGCGCTGCAGCAAATTCCCGGGATGGTCTCCATGTTGTTCGACTACATACCTGCGATCGCCACGCACGGTGCCAGCATGCTCTTCGTCTTCGGGGCCACCTGGGCGACGGGCGGCACCGCAGCGGCCATGTTTCCCCTCGTCGTGATGGTCGTGCAGGTGCTGCTGACCGTGCATTGGCCCATCCTGGATGACAAAATTGGGGCAATTCGCGGGGAGCTGGGTCGGGCGCAAGAGATGGCGCAGGAGTATCGTGCGCAGCTTGGAAGCCCGGAAAAGTTGAACGACTATCGCGAGAATGCACAGATCGGAAAGAATCTTGTGGAACTGAACCAGGAAACGGAGCAGCAAGTTCTGCGAATTGAACGCAAACTGCAAAAGTTTCTCTTCGTGAAAAAGACGCTGGGAGCCATCAGTGGGGTGATGGCCATGCCGATGCTCGTGGCTTCCATGATGTACGGCGCTTTGACGGGACAAGACGTGACGGCGGCCTATTCCTATCAAATGTAAAAATGTCTGGGTCTGGAAGATTCCGGGATTTGTGATGCATATTTTGTATGATCCATGACTCATGTAATGCATGATCTAGCATCACAGATTTTTAGATGGCTTCCTGATTCCTATTTCGCATGACAAATGCCCTCTCCGCGTAACACAAACTGGACCCCTGTTGCTGGTCACGCAATACAGATTTTTTTGGGATCCAACGACAGCATGACAAGTTGTAACTTTCCAGACCCAGACATTTTTACAATCCATAATTCCGGGGCGCAAGCGATTCAGGGGATCACCGGGGAGCTGATGGGCGCTACCGGGAATATCCAGGCCGCGACCTACAACCCACTGCTGGCAAAGTTTATGAATTTGATCTCCTTGTTATCCAAGAAAAAAAGTGTGTAAGTGTAATTTTTTTGCAGGGACAGCATCACAGATTTGTTTTGCATGACAGAGAAAACCTGCCATGCGTAAGCTAGTACACGAAAACATGTAGGAAAATAGCCTCTGACGCATATCCAGCAAGACAAGTGTAGCTGTATTGCAACGTCTGCAAGACAAAGTTACACTTACACAGTTTTTTCCTTGCAAACTTGTCCACGCGGGGCGAGAACGCCACGCACCCGCTCTGGATTTCGACGGACCGGTATCAAAGTGAAAAATCCCCCCTCCCCATATCATCAAAATGTTGGGAACTTGTCATGCTGATTTGTGGGCACAAATCGCCTTCGTCTTGCCTATAGGGGAGTGGGACGAGCCTTGTTGTGGCGCATTCTGCAGCCAGTCTGTCGTGCACTTTCGACTACTGCAAACCTGTTTGCAGCCATGCCGAACTGCTAGTAGCCTTATGCATACAACTCGAACAGGCTTGGAAAATACAGCCAGGTACCTTCTGCTTCTGCAAGACCAAGCTGATTTGTGACCACAAAGAATGAGCATCACAGATATGGGGAGCAGGGATTTTTCCTCACAATATCCGGACCCGGGATCGGGTCAGTTTCGAAATGGAGCGGGTGAACCTCATAAGCGGCGTATGAGGGTGCACAACTGCTCCGCCTACCCGTCATTTGTATGTTGGCATGAACAGCAATACAAACACCAGCACGCGTGGAGCCTCCGCATGACAAATTTATGTGCCTGATGTAGTACTACTGTTTGGGCTTCCGGAATCTGTAGTCATGCAAACAGTGCCACAGACAGGGCAGCGACTGGATCATTTGGGGTTTTGCATGACAGATGAGGGGCGACAAGGGAGCAGGTTGCGCACTGTCATACGCGGGCGACATCGGAAAAGGCACACAGCAATATTTGTGGCCGGTGCGATGTGCTGCGAACAACAAGAATTGCACGGGGGGGCAGACCCTGCAGTTCCCTGCCGGGTCGATCACGCACCTCACGGCGCCCTCGGGCCAGGGGAAAAGCGTCCTGATGAAGTTGGTGTCAGCGTTCCCCGAACCGAGTCTGGGGAAGCGCACGATCCGCTGGAATGGCGTCCCCATCGCGGAAAACACGGGCGAGAAAAAGCGCGCAGTGGACCCCGAAAACGACCGGGACATTGCCATGATCCGCCTGCAGCGGCACTACCAGCTGGTGACCTCCAACACGCCATTGCCAGGCCGGAGTATCCGCCAGCAGTTGTTGGGGGGAAACCCAAATAAGTTGACGGACGAGGACCTCAAGCTGGTGGCCAGGGTTACCCTGATGTACGACAAGCTGTTGCAGCACGGGAAGGGCCTGTTTGGGCCCGCCAACCGCAACTACTCAGAGGCTGCCACGTGGGACGAGGGCTTCGAAAAGAACCATGAGTCCTTCTTCAACTTTACCGAAATCCTGGACGCGGTCCCCAAAGAGACCGGGACGACATACCAATCTACAACTTTACCGGTCATCAACCTCTCGGACGGGGAGCGCGTGCGGTACCGCCTCACCTATGCATTGCAAAAGTAGTATCGTACTAGTATAAATTGCATTACAAATTTTCTCAGCATGGCAAATTGAATTTGTCATGCAGTTTTACCTTGGAAAGGAGATCTGTAATGCATGACTGCAATTACTACGACTGCGATATTACTGTTGCACAGGATATCACCTTCGCCCTGGCGATGCGGCCCCGGTTGCTGCTGCTGGACGAGGCCACCAAGGGCCTGGACCCGACAAGTCACCCCCTATGAACTGCAAAAGTATCGTACTCGTATAAATGCATTACAAATTTCCTCAGCATGAGATAATGCGGATTTACCATAATACATAATGCATGACTGCAATACGAGTGCGATACTTTTGCACAGGATACCCCCTTGTGGTTCGCAACGTGATGTGTTTCGCGGCCGTCTACGGTATAACCGTGATCTTCACCACGCACGAGGCGAACGTGTTCGGGGAGTCCCTCTTCGGCGACCCGCAAGCCTTTACAATGCTGAGCGACAACCCCGGGTGCCATATTATGGCGTTCTCGACTGTTCCATTCGCAATTGTTACATGGATTTGTGACGTAAGAATGGGAAAGCAAGTGTGTGAAAGGGGGGAGATTGCGCCTGTAGCATTACAAATTCCGCACAGATTTAGGTGTTGTTTGGCCCTAGGCAAATTTGTCACGCGAAGCAGCTTGATCGCGTGGACGATGAATTCATGTAACAGTTGAGAATGTAGCGCTTGGGAACCTCATACATGTCGACCTGACGGACGGCGGCTGTGCCGTCGACCCAGAAGAAGTGGCAGATGCATATGAAGGCGACCCGTTGCAAGAAAGATGCCCCCCCGGGAAGAAGATTCCTCCGTTCCCGAGAACGATTGGGGAGCTGTGTGCGGGGACCCCCCTGGCGACCCAGGTCGAGGGAGGCCTGTATTGAAAGGAAAAACTCGCCCTCCCCATATTGAAAAGGCATGTGTCCGAAGATTTGCGTTGCTGATTTGATGCGGTCACGAATCACCTTTGTCTTGCAAGAAGACAAGGGCAGACGCAGAAGCTTGCGCCCTTTGAAGCGATTTTCCATGCTATTGGGCCCAAAGAGCAGCCGTTTGCAATGCTGAGCAACTAGACCCAAACGCCCCTACCTAGATTGGGGAGCTGGCCGCAATCGTCCCTTCCTGCAATACAAAGCTGATTTGTGTCCACAGATCCAGCGTCAGAAGTTCCGCCTTGATATGGGGAGGGGGGACGTTTCCCTTCGATAACCCGGACGCGAAGTTTTCCGCCCACGTGGCAACGCTTCGCGAGGAACGTCTTGGCACCGGCGGCCCTGGGAGCTCGGAGAACTCCGGCGCCACCGTATGGAAGCGTCAGGTTTGAAATCGACAAAGTTGAAATGATTTGCCATGCATAAAATGGATACCAGTCGGAAACCCAATTTCCAAGCGGCGCATGACAAATTTAGGTAGAACCTAAATCCAGTTAGTCATGCTGTTTGGTTAAGGGCGACGTCATTTGTCATGCTACTTTAGCAGTTCTATTTCTACCCCTCAACAGGCTTACAATCTGCCTCCCTTGCATCCTCTGCAATAGAGACAATGTCTGCGTTGCATTTTACGCATCACAAACTATTTCAACTTTGACGATTTCAATCCTGACACATCCATACGCCGAGTCGTTGAAGTTGTCCGAGCAGTTCGCGCCGGAAGTCTTCCTATGAAAAAATGCAAATATGTCTGGGTCTGGAACGCGTTGGAACACTTGTCATGCAAGTTTTCCATGAGCACCCATGAGGTCTGGAATGCAAGAAGAGTTAGCATGACAGATTCTACTTTGAGGTCTCTATCATGCCCTTCCTGCATGAAAAACTCCCTCTCAACTTGGTCAAACGCGGACAGCTTTCGGTTGTACTCACGCAAGAACACAGATTTTTGCATCATTCAGATTTAGTGCGACAAGCTTGCTGCAGTGTTCCACACTCAGATCTATATTTGCATTTGATACTTCCAGTACAAACTGGCAACCAAGTAGCCCAGGAAAAAACTGTTTCACTGTGATGACTTTGCACGGTCTGCATCACAAGTTTGCTACACATGACACTGAAAATTTGTCATGCGCTCTTCCCACGGGAAAACTACACGCTTGAAAATCCAATGCCTTGCAGGTGTAGCAAGACAAAGAGTTCTGTGTGCCATTTCCTGCATCACAAGTTCACAGTGAAACAGTTTTTTCTTGCGATACCAAGGGCGATCTGCCCAAGCCCCGACCATGTCCGAACCCATCCCGATTCATGAAGACCGTGACTCTGGACACATATGGCGTTCTCAAATCGGTTACCTTCTCAACTGTTGCATGATTTGTCATGCAAATTTACCATGAGCCGCCAGACGATCAAGCTGATGAAGCTCCGGCGCGTGGCAAAAAATTCCCGAAGGGCTAAACAATTTGCCTAAATTATCAGTGCCAAATTTATTGTGATGCGAGAGTTGCAACAGCTTGTTCCTTTCACTATTGCGGTTCTTGCATCACAAGTCCATGTAGCAGCTGAGAATGTACTAACAGTTGAGAACGCCATAAGACAGGCAAAGTGGTGGCGTACCCGGAGGACGTGTAAAATTTTATTTCAATATCACACTGCAAGTCAAATCACACTGAAACGACTTCACTACATCACATTTTTACACAACTGATCATAATCCCCGCGAAAAATCGTTATCCGCATCTACTTTTGTTCATGTTCCATGAAGAATTGCGTCTCTGTGTCAACAAAAAAAGCAGAGCCAGAGGCTTCGCAGCATATGTATTAGTTTTGCAGTTTTAATCTGCTTGTGTGCTGTGACTTGTAGACGTATAGGCAACTACAAAGTTATTTTGTTTTCTGTCTCCCCGCTGGGTGGGTTCTTAATGCAAAAAAAGTTGGCGGGAGCAGCAGGTCTTTGCATTTTATTGAGAGTAGTCAATGTCAAACTCAAACACGACCGCAGCTGAAATGGTCCATCCGGCATTATATATCAGGTTTTACTCCCTCATCTGAAGTCTAAAAAGAAATCACGCACAGTAAATCTAATCAAGAATTGACGGCTGCATAGGTGCATGTTGCTAGGAGCAACCCACACGCAGCACACCAGATAACCCATAGAGGTCGGTGGCAGATTTGATGTTCGCTATATCTACATCAGGGGGCAGAGCCTTTCTTTTCGTGTAAGTACTTACTTACATCTCGGAGCAGCCCTTTTTCGGTAGTTGTGCCTGTCTCTCATCTGTTGTTGGAACAAGCAGCCAGGCACGAGCGATTTCCTCGCAGATCGGCGTTTTCAAGAATTTCGCATTTCAATAAAAGCGGTGCCTTGGAAGACCACGGCGGAGGCTGAGTTCGTCTCAATGGAAAAGCACGGGGCGGGACCACCACCGCGGCCGCCCTCATGCTGCATACAAATACCATACGAAAAATAAAACTTCGTTGAAATTACATTTAAGCAACGATGCCTCTTGTCCTGATGTCCCGTCTCCGTGCTGTCGTGTGCTCTCCTTAGAAGTGCTTGCTCTTCTCGTAGGACGTCGATTGTCGACGCTTGATCCAACGACAGACTGACGAGGTGGTTTGAGTGAGCGTTCTTTCAACTCATGGCTTCTATTGTTTGATCGACGCAAAAATAACCGCATTCGTACGCACCAACGCCTCCATCGAGTGGTCCACCTACGAACTAGTACCACCCGGGACGACTACGACAATGACCAACATGTCGTTACCAGCATCCTGTTGTGGAGGAGGTCGTGTAGCTGGATTAACGACCTCGACCTCCATTGCTCGTGCTCCCCGCCCAACCCTCGGTCAAGCTGTAAGAACTTCTTCGAATGTTCTTCTTGCAGCCCCACCACGACGTGTTGACCTGTCGCAGCTCCGAGGAACCTCCTCAACAAGCGCGGGGGCCCGGCCCCTTTTAGTCGGGTCAACAAGAGCGGCGTCCTCCTCGACTTCGTATGTGGTCCTCGCACAGGTAGCAGTAGCAGTTCTGACGAGAAGATTCTCGACCGGGGGCCGCTTGGAGGCCTCAAGTACTACAAGGAGATCATCTAGTACTTCGCGGAGTGCTGGTGGACGACCAATTTTTACTTGCACAAGCTCGTCGTTGGGCTCCTCTTCTTCAGTGATCCGCCTGCAAAGCAACAGAAGCGGCCAGCAGGGCAACTACTTCTACTACCAGCAAACTTCTACTAGTCCCGCTCCCGCCCGCTGTTCTTGCGTAGTACTCGTAGACAGAAATGACCAACCAACCTCCATCCAGCCCCACCAGCACCTGCTTTCGCAGACCCGCACGTTCGCGAACTGCTACTCCATTCTGAAGCGTAATCGGATCCCCTTCACCGACTTTGAGACCGGGTACCCGAAGCTCGCCTGCCCGCTGCCCCAGCAGCAAGTCTTCACGCCCTTCACGTTCGCAAAACAGCGTATGCATCGCAAAAGTATCGTACTTGTATAAATCGCATGACAAATTAGTTGAGCATCAGAAACAGAATTTGTCATGCTGATTTGCCTTGGGATGGAAATTTGTAATGCATGAATGCGATTACTATGAATACGATACTTCTGCACAGGATACAGCGCAAGCTCCTGCAACTGCTCGAGGAGTACCCGCAAGACACGTTTCGGTATCCCACAGAAAAAAGCAAGCAGGGCATTTTTGCAATGCAAAAAGAAACACACAGAAAAATCTGTGTTGCGCATCCTAAACAGCATGCTATGGGGCCGCCCATGACAGATTTTTCCGGTATATTTATTTTTGCATTACAAATATGACCTGCCTGCTTTTTTCTGTGGGATATTCGGGGTCGGGTGGTGAAGCAGTTGTCGGTCCCGCACATCAACCACGCGGGCCGGAACGTGACCGGGCAAGTGGTGGTGCGGCACCAGGGCGCGGAGTGTGCGTACCGCCTGCGCATCGTGGACTTCAAACGCGGCCGCAAGGACGTGCCCGCGACCTGTCTCCGCATCGAGTACTGCCCGGGCCGGAGCGCGCACATTGCGCTCATCCAGTACGACGACGGGGTGTTGTCTTACATTTTGGCGCCGCACGCACTGTATGCATTGCAAAAGTATCGCACTCGTATAAATGCATTACAAATTTCCTCAGCATGAGAAATAAAATTTGTACTGCGGATTTGCCTTCACAAAAAGATTTGTAATGCATGACTGCAATACGAGTGCGATACTTTTGCACAGGACACGCTGCGCCCCGGCGACCAGGTGGTGGCCTCCGAAAACGCGAACATTTTGCCCGGTAACGCCTTGCCACTCGGGAAAATACCGGTGTCCTCGATCGTGCACAACGTGGAAATTGAGCCGGGGCGCGGAGTATCAAATGCAAACATGTCTGGGAGGTCTGGAAACTTGTAATGCTGGGTTGTGAATAGTGAATGCTCTGTAATTATGTGCAGCCAAGCATGAGAAATATTTGCGCGGCTTAGTATTGCGCTTAATACCGCGTGACAAGCTCCTGCGTGTTTGCATGACAAGAAAATAAAAAAGGGTCTCTTCTTGGACACGCATCACAAACTCGTCAGTCATGCCACGCAAGCATGACAAACCTTGCATCCTTCCAGACCCAGACATATTTGCATTCCATACGGAGGCCAGGTGGCCCGAGCGGCGGGGGCGTTCGCCATCCTGCTTGACCGTTGCCCCAGATACACGACACTGAAGCTGAACAGCACGGAAATCCGGAAGTTTCACAACGAGTGCTACGCGACCATCGGCCAAGTGTCGAACATCATGCACGATCACAGGTATTTTATCAGTTCTTCTTCAAATTTGTCATGCGCAGACGACAGTCCTAGTGATGAAATAGATAAGAACCTAAATAATAAAGTCTTCATTTGAATGTGCAATTCAAAGAATGAAAGATTATCCACAGCACATGAGTACAACTAAAAAGCCGAGTGCACTGCGTCTTCTATCAGGTTTAAAGGCAAGGCCGGCGTGAACCGGCGGCTGGGTATTCGGCCCAGCGTCCGGGGGAACGCGATGGAGGCCTCGTTCCACCCACACGGGGGCGGGTCGCAGGCGAAATCCGAGAAGAAGGTGCCCTGTACCCGGTGGGGGGTGTACGCGAACGGCCTGAAAACCCGGTCGCCCAAGCAGCCCCTGGGGTTGATCGTGCAGCGGAGGATGTGCAACCGCATGCAGCGACGGTACGGCATGCGCACGCGGACGCGGTACATGCACAAGTTCACCAAGATCAAGATCCGCGCGAACCGGAAACGGCGTACCAGAGTGAATGTGTAGATGTAGAAAGATGACTCGTCCGCAGAGGTGATGTCGCGTTCCCCTTGTTCGCGGCCTTTCTGATAATTTCTCTCACGAACAGAAATATCAAAGCAGTTTGCAATCCTCGGACTTGAGCTTGACGTTGACGCGGCTTCTATTTATTCATTGCGTAAAAAATAAAGATCGCAGTGGCATAATTTGTTCCCTTGAGGATGAGGACACACTCATGGTACAACTTTGATGTTCTTTCGCACTTGGTTTCCGATCAAAAGTTTCTGATCGAATACTTAATAAGGTGATTAGCCACAACTGTGGAAGGAGCGCGGTCACACGATCCTCCTTGCACAAAAGTTTTTGATCGATAATAAGATATAGCCCCGTCCTCCTCCTTCGTGTCTTCTTGTGTCCGTTTGTCCGTCCGTCCTCTTAATCCTTCCGCTCTCGTCATGAGTTATTTGCATTTTACGGTCACAGCAACCGAGTTTATTTCTAATCCTGGTGCGCGATGAAACGGTTTCGAAAGAGAGAGTACGTAGCAGTTGTCTGCAGCACGTAAAAATCATCATCGTCGACCAGCATTTGAGAGCCATTTAGAATCCCATGGCGAGGCTTCGGCCGCCCGTCGCGCCACAAAATTTCTCCATTCGTTTCACTCGGCAGCGCCCGGTAAGATGGACAGAGACGCTCATCCGGCCGGTCAGTCACTGCGAAATCACATTTGGCGACAAAGTTGGTGTAGGCTGTTCCTATTGCGATGCTGGCGAGGCGGAGAGAATTTGGCAAGGAGCTAGTTCATCAGGCGCCGGAGACTTTTTATCCAGGCAAGAAGAGGTAGCCGATTCGTTACAGGAAAGGGTCGCGAAGAGCCTGGAGGCTATTTCTGGCACGGCGGGACCTGCGATCTGGAACAACCCGCTGGCAAACAATGAGCCGGTGGCTAGTGCGAAGGATAATTCATCAACATCAGGAGATGATGCTAGCTTGTTCATTTCCTCTTCGTATAACTGCCGCAACCCGGACGCCGCAGCCGTAATCAGTGGCATTGACACGGCCTTGTGGCAGCTGCAAGCTCAGCTTCAGGGAGTGGAATTGGCGGAGTTGTTGTCTGCAGCATGGTCCTCTGAGAACGGAGCTACACCATTCCGCGGCTTCTCGCGTCAAAATCAAGGACGAGGTGGGCCAGTTGCTTACTGCACCGTGGAAATTCCGTTTTCTTTTGACCCAGAGGAGGCGATAGGGTTGCTGGCTGCAAAATTGGAGCGGTTGATGCGTTATGCATTGCAAAAGTATCGTATTCGTATAAATGCAATACAAATTTCTGCAGCATGAGAAATAAAATTTGTAATGCAGATTTGCCTTGGGGACAAGATTTGTAATGCAAGACTTGCATTTATACGAGTACGATACTTTTGCAATGCATATGCGTTGCTACCACTTGAAAGCGTTCAAACTCTTCGTGGGGCCGCCGTTTGTATCAACTGTAAAAATGTCTGGGTCTGGAAGATTGCAACTTGTCATGCTGTTTTTGGACTCTAAAAAGATTTGTATTGCATGACCAGCAAGAGGGGCACAGTTTGTGCTACACGAACAGGGCACTTCTCATGCGGAAGGTGCATCAGGAAGCCCTCTAAAAGTCTGCGATGCTAGGTCCTGCATTACAGGCATCATGAGTCATGAGAAATATGCATGACAAATCTTGCATTCTTCCAGACCCAGACATTTTTGCAATCCATAGTTTGGTCTATTTGACAACAAGGTAGGCGTAGGAGAAGTGCCAGTAGTACAAGTGGACCACACGGCAAGACAACGACAACGACAACATGAGCCGGCTCCTACTCCGCCCATCAAGATGGGAGGCGCATCTGCAGTTGATGCTCTTTTCCCCCCCGACGTCCAACTCGCCTGGGCAAGGCAAGTGTTCCATGGCGCCCGCCGAATTGTCGGTCCGGATATCCACCTTTTCGTGGATTTGATGGGCTTCCAAGAGGAGTGGCAAACCGGATCAGAGCAAGTTTTCTTCGTGGAAACGTTAATGCGGCAAGTGTTCGAACCTGTGGGCATCGGCTTTTGCGAGGAACCGTTTGCGCCGAATGCGCTCGAGGACTACGTAGCGTTCGGTCTACGTGACGAACAACATCAAAATACAAACAGGCAAAGTTGTGAAAAAATCGCCATCGCGGGCTGCGAATCGCTCATCGGTGTGGAGGCGTTTCGGCCGTGGATGACTGCGCCGGCGCGACGTCATTCCCCTAGTTTTAACTACCCACGACCCCCCGTGCAGCTCTTCCAACCGGATACCTGTGTCGCAGGAGGGGTTTCCGTGGTGCTTCGGCTCGCCAAAATGTGGGAGGAGGAAGAAAGAAAAGCGGCCGAGCGACAAAAACGCCGTGTTGTAGGGTCTCCGGTGAAGCAGAGCCATCAGTCAGGATCTTCGCGCGTGAATCTTCAAGATTATGAACGCAACCAGCCTAAAAACACTTCACCAGCACCGCCCGCGCCTGCTGAGCCTGACTCGCCCTGTAGTTTTTCACCGAGACGAACGAGCGACGGGCAGTTTGCTTTTCCACAGCTCCGCGGAATCCTCCCGCATAGCTTTGCCACCGCGAAAGCGTGGGAGACAGACTTCGAGCTGGTGCAATGGTTGTCGTTGTCCTCCGGAAGTAATATGCCACCGCTCGGCCCGAACCTCATAGAGCTGCCAGAGCACTTACTAGAGGAGTTGCTGGCCGAGGAGAAAGGCGGACGATTTCAGATAGACCCAGGAAGTGGGCGATGCAGTTATTTGGTGAAGTAAGCAGCATTGCAGTTGTTAGATTGAGAAAGGATGCTGGCGCCGTGTCATGTTCGTACGGCTTAGCGCCACTTATTTTCGAAAGGTGTCGCAGCGTCTATTGCATCGAGATCGAGTGAAGACAGGGCCGTGTTTATGTTGCAAGTCTTCCACGTGTTTCGGGTCGTCGTTCTTTCTCTTTGTGTTTCGTATTCGTTTTGTATAGGAATACGAGCACTTTTACTGTCGCGCATCGCATATCCATATGTCATTTTGCCTCTCGGTCTGCGTCCTGAAAGAGTTGCGATCATGCCGTGTCAAAAGAGAAGTGATCGGATAGCCTGTTTTCCTGGACAGGTAAAGTTTCGAGGAGTGAAGAGAGACCACACGGCGTCGTGAACTACAGAGAAGATGCGATGTTGTGTTTCTGCTGAGAGTATTTCGTCCGAAAAATTTTCCGATTTCGCACAGAGTCCGTCTTTCCAGACAGTTGTAGCAAAAAAATGTCTGCCTCCTCCTCCTCGGAGCCGGGAGGCTTAGCCCCCTCCGCAGAGCAAAGCGACTCCTCCATCGCCTCGGAATCGGAGCTCTTCGGCCAGGGCGCGAAATGGCGAGGCTGGCTGCACGGCTACGGCGAGGTCAGTTACGAATTTCTGCTGAACATCCCCTCCATTCCGCCCGGCGTCACGCAAGCGAGAAAGGAACTGGAGCTCGGGGAGGCAACCTGGGCGCGGACCGCACACTGTGTCTGCAAGCCGTTGAATTTGGACGAAAGCGTCGTTGTGTACAAAGGATTCTTTGCCTTGAGTAATGATTTTCGTCACGCATGCAGATAGATGATAGTTGTCACAGTTACGCTTTGTTTTCCTGTATGTGATGCAAAAAATCAAAAACAAAATGGGCATTACATTTCTCGGGCATTTAATTCTCGTTTCGGTTTTGGATTCCAAAATCAAATAACATCTCACCCCAAGGTCCTCCGATTCATCAGCGAGATTACTCCTACAGTCTCTAGTCAAGCCGGATTTAGGCCGCTTGTGCCTTCGGGAGTACCGAAAAGAGAAAGTACTTATTTCTTTACATACACCGTAGCCGCGGCTTGCCGTGCGATTGATGTCATGCAGAAGCAGATGCTATTGTCCCCCGCTAGGTCCATGTGCCTACTGCGTCGACCAAAAGAGACCCCTTGCTTCTTCTTCTAAGCAAAAGCTTAAGCTTCATACATGCCAAGGTGCACTTCCTGGTTGGTGGCGACGAGTCATGGACCCCGGCAGACCCGCCGTCGGTCGAGGTCAGCCTGGTAAAGCGGGGACCGAAAATTAACCGTGGACCTTTAGGTGTCGAGCAGGAGCAGGAATTGGGCGACATGCTGGTCTACGCTGCGCAGGGCGGGCGCCTGGAGGACGTCGACCATCTGTTAGTGCAGCATAAGGTACTTACTACTACTTCAAGGCTGTAGCTATTTTTCATCAAGGACATGCTTCGCCTGCAAAAGCCTTGTAGAAGTTCTTGCGAGAAGATTGCAAACAATTCATGGCGAAGTTTTTTTGTGCACGCATGCAAGTACATGATACAGAATCAATGACTTCCTTCCACGACAGGACCTCACCGTGACCGGCACCGCCACTTTCGGCCCCAGTAAGGGATTGACACCCTTGGCCGCCGCGGCAGAACGGGGGAAACTGGATGTTGTGGAGTATCTACTCGACAAGAAGAAGGCGCCCGTCGGCACCGCATTAGCCTCCGCGTGCCGGAAACACGATAATCACGCCGTGATACGGAAACTCATACAGTGCGGCGCCGCGGCGGAAGAGGGTATGAATAGATCGTAGATACTGTTATTGTAATACTGGAGTTTCTTTCAGCCAACGCTCGCGTACGACAAACTTGAATTTTTGAATCGAATGCTGTACTAAGGTAGTGCGAAACTTATGCTAATATGTCACCAAGCGTTGACACACGACGGCGATGACGATTACGAGCGTCCACTGGCACTGCAAAAGTATACATATTGATTTATTAGGTGTCCAAATTGTCTGCACCCGGGGAGATTCCGCCACCCTGCAATTGCTCCTGGAATTCCAATATCAACTGTAAAAATGTCTGGGTCTGGAAGAGTGTGCGATTTGTCATGCAGCTTTTTCATGACCCATGAGGTCTGGAATGCAGGACCTAGCATGACAGATTCTGTGCGATCTTTCTCATGCCTATCCTGCATGAGAAACTGCGTCCCGACTTGGTCAAAATTGGACGCCATTTGGCAATCATGCAACACAGATTTTTGCATGCTTCAGATTTAGCATGACAAGTTGCATTCTTCCAGACCCAGACATTTTTACACTTGATATCCAAACTTCGCTCCCATCCCTCGAGTCCGGCCTTTTGGTCTCCGCGAAAAACGGGCATGGCAGTTGCCTGGTGAAAATTCTCTCCATTCTCCAGGGGTCCTACCGCCGGGCCGAGACGCTGACCGAAGCGCTGAACGCCGCCTGCCGGGCGGGCCGGACATCCACGATCAAGATACTCCTGAACCACGGCGCGGATCCGTACTTGAAGGCGGAAAGCGACGGAAAAACCGCGTTTGACAGTGCGGAACTGCAGGAAAACCAACACATTGTGGACGAAATCTTGGCGAAGTGGAAGAAGCCGAAGGTGGGGCGAAATGTGTTAGCCGAAATCCAAGCAAAAAACGCGGGAATCAATCCGGAAGTAGTCGTCAACAGTCCGCTGCGGGCAGGCTGAGTTGTAAGCTATGGTGGACTTGATGCACTCGGCTACTTCTTGCAAGTTGTCCTGTTGCGCTGCTCGTGGATTGATTGATGGTTCTTGACCTCATGAAAGGAGGGTTTTTCGACCTCCCATGTTCTGCATCAATGAAAATGAAACACACGACGAATGGCCAACGAATAATGAATGTATCATGCAGAAACTGTGCGCTTGTGTATGGAAAAGAAAATCCAAATCGATGATGGACGAGAACGGTACGTCCACGTAGTCGTCGTGGATATAATTTAATGAGTTTTTATCTTTTTCTGGTGTATACCTGACCATGGCGAGGACGTCGCTGCAAACGCAGAATTTAATCCAAGGCGAAACACATCAACATCATCGTGTTCTTGATCTTCGCATCGATGTTCGTATTGAAGATTCTGATGGCGCTTGATAGTGTCTGGTGCGTCGGATGTTTCGGATTAGGTCTGACTCTGGAGCAGGAGTCAAGAGAGACTTTCAACATACCCAAACGAGGCATCAAATGTCAATGTCAACATTTAATTTTTGTGGTGCACATCATTCTTTCGTTTCACTTGTCGCTTGCACTTAAAGTCTGCTTCGTTCTGCTGGCGCTGGCTCCTTCAGGACCTCATGTAACATTTTCACACTACATGTTGACCCATGCCTTCGTGAATTATGGCACTGCTTCTATTCGTACTTGCCTCACGAGTTCTGATATCGCTGGACCCGGCACCGGCAAACGACCTCGCACAACGTCAGTGGGAGCACAAGGCCGCGTCCTCGTGTTGTTGATTGAGATTGAACCATCGTAAAAATAATGTTCATCTGTATCCCTATCCCTTAGACAATTTAGATGTTACCGGCGATAGCAAGTGCAAGAGCAAGATGGCGCACACGCCCACTTGTAAGGACCACACCTAGCCATTCGCTGAACTGCCTTGGTTGTAGTGGTGCTGCCGTCGAACGCTGCAAATCCAGCTGAAGACCATGCCTCCCTCCACCACACAAGACGAGAGCCCACTGCGGCTGGCCGGAGCACCGCTTGCAGGTGGACTGGTACAACAGGAGAAAAATGCTCTATCCGTCGCACTGCGAGATCCGCACCACGTTGCTCTGCAGGACTCAAACGACCCAACGTGCAATGTCAGCTACCCTGTTCTCGCGGAGTTTCTCCACAGAAACGCTCTCGCCGAAGCAGTTTCTGATGCCTTGCGCGGTCAGACACTACACGAGGACTTCTTGTTCCTCGGAGGAAAAACGGCGTCTCGAGATGCTGGTGCCGAGGCTGCGGAGCAGGTGGGCTTGTCCGGTGCTGAAAGAGATGTCGCGGATAAAGCTCCTGCAAAGTCTCCTTCGCCCAGCGGTCGGAACAAGGATGATATGACAGTGCATAACCCCCCCTCCCCCTCGTTTGTCATGTCAAATACCCAATCCACCCTTTGCCTCTTGGCTCTGTGTGCATGACAAGTTCTGGTAGCCCAAGTAGGACTATACTCCAGTGCAAATCTGTCATGCAAAACCGGCATTCTTGCTGATGCTTGTATTGCCGTTCATGCTATACAGATGAGGGGGAGGGGGAGTAGTTGTGCACTGTCATAGATGATGAAGAAGATGACGATCATCGTGTCCTCGTTATCCGCATCGGCGTCCTGATCGGCGGAGAAGCCAAAGAACCGAATCTTGTTGCGGAGGAAAACGAACATCTGCAAAAAGAAACAAGCTCTTCTCCGCAAAACAGCCTTTCAATTGCGGTCCAGGAGGTACTTTTGCTCCTCTCGTTGTTTTACCAGCCTGCACTATTAAAGACGATAAGCGAAACGGGCACAGCAAAGATGGACGAGGACACCAGCAAGCGTGCTTCGTCGGTTGAGCTGCACGAGGACATGATCACAGAAGGACAAAAATCTACTCCGAAAAGATCCCCAGCAACTACATACAGACGCGTTCATTTCATCGCCTGTCCGATCGACGCCCGTGGCCCCCTGCCGGACGTGATGCACCAAGCCAACAGCGTGTTCCGCTGCCACTGCATAGTGGGAATCCGAGATGTGGTGAAGCAACTCCATTTGGCCTCGACGCAACGAAGCACAACAAGCGAAGATGGTGCGCACATCGATCTACCGATGCTCGCCGCGAATTTCTCCCTCGGACTCCCGCGTGCCTCTACTACGAAGATTGATGCACAGGTAGACGAGAGCGCACGAAGAAGATATGGGGAAGGAGTAGACGGAAGCGGAACAACTGCGGGGAATATTAAAGAAGAAGAGTTTTCTCTTTACGTGGACTGCGTCGTGCAAAACAAAAACTACAAACGAACACGACCGGTGCCGCCATTTCCTACCTGGACATCAAAGACTCTCAGCGCCGACAAGAAAAACGAGCAGACAGACCGTGTTGCAACTAGTACTCAGCCTCCAGTCCTCCTCCTCCCCACATCGGGCACCACCACGGGGGAACCAAAACTGGTCACGTATTCAGCCCCCCAGCTGCGACTGTCGGCAAAAGCGATTGCGGACTCTTTGGACCTGCGCACAAGCGATCGGTGCTTAAACGCGTTGCCCCTGTTCCACATTGGCGGCATTGCCTGCAACCTCCTCGCGGTTTTGGAGTCCGGGGGGCGATATGAAATGCAAATATGTCAGCGTCTGGAAAGGTTGAACTTGTATTGCGTGCCCAGGACTACAAAAAAATCTGTATTGCGTAAAAGCAACAAAAGCGCCACAGTTTCGGTATGAAAAAGCGCAGTTTGTTTGTCGTGCGCACTAAGCACTATGACTATGAGAAAGCGTTTGAAAAATTTGTCATGCAATACTGCACTTAGAGGCGCACTCACTCATGACCATATAAGCATTACAGGTTTCCAGACCCAGAGCCAGACATATTTGCATTTGATAGACGAGTGGGTCTCCTGTCGAAGTTCAACTGTCACGACTTTCTTCACGCTGTCGTGGAACGGGGCATCACCTGGTACTACGCCGTCCCAACCATGCACCGCCAAATCCTCCTGACGCTGGAACAAGAAGAAGTAGCTGGTGCGCAAGCGATAAAGAACGGAGTTTTTAGCATGACAAAAAACCCCTCTGAAGATGTCTCTGTCGTGCAGCAAATTTTGCAAGGCCGTCACAATCTTCGCTTCGTCCGGTCGGCGTCTGCGCGGCTTCACTTCAAGCAGATCCAGGCCCTGCGGAGGTTGCTACGCGTTCCGGTTTTCTCAACCTATGGAATGACGGAGGCCATGCCGATCTGCTCGCCGGCGGTAGGAGAATGGAGAACCATGTTGAAGGCAAGAACATCAATGGAGCCAGAAGGAGGAGATCAACAAGCTGGCCAACATCTTCAACATCAAGTACAAGGCCAAGATGCAATAATCAATGAGGACAAAAATCCCAACCCCGCACAATTGGAATCTGTCGGAAAAGTCCTGCCCGGCATGGAATTGAAAATCATCGCCGCAGTTGATAAAAGCGTCGAATCTACTGCTGGTTCATTCTCTGTGAACAACGAACAGAACGATCCGGAGGAGGAGCCAGTGGTCTTAACGTTGACCGATGCCAGTGTCGTTACTTCCACCCCCTTTCCCCTCGTGGATCTTCCCGTCGGGAAAGTCGGGGAAATTTGCGTCAGGGGGCCCCGGGTGGTTGCTAGTGCAGGCCAGGACGATTGGTTCCGTACCGGCGACCTGGGCAAACTCGATGCGGAAGGAAATTTGCACCTGCGCGGGCGGTATGAATTGCAAAAGCATCGTACTTGTACTAGTATGAATTGCATTACAAATTGACTTAGCATTACAAATCCAATTTGTAAATGCGGATTTGCCTTAGCAAAATAAAGATTTGTAATGCATAAACGCAATTGGTACGAGTGCGTTACTTTGGCATTTGATAGGCGGATCCGAGACGTGCTGAAACGAGGTGGCGAACAGGTGAACTTGTTTGACGCGGAAAAGCGGGCGGACCAAGCGGTGGCTTTAGTCGACCACGAGTTGATGGCACCACTTGACCGCCCAGGAGGAGCCTTACAAAGCGCAGCAGAAGGTCGTGTAACAGCTCCCTTAGACTACTCAAACGTCGTCCTCACTACTGCCAAGCGCTGTCTCGTGAAGTACCGAAAACAGTTTCGCGCTCTGGCCTTTGCGACGCCGAGTGTGGTCTACGGCGAGGAGCTCGGACTGTGCTTCGTTTTGCCTACAGAAGCAATGAGCAGCTTGTTATTGAACGAGTGCAGCGTGGAAAGTATTTCCGCGGGTGGAGCAGGAGGTGACGAAGCTCCTGCAAGAAGTCGTGCAAATGAGTCTTCTTCTGCGAAGACGAAAATCGAGCTCCGTCTCCACGACTTGCTTCTGACACTCGGAAAACTGCTCGCGCAAACCGTGAACCGTGGGGTGGCCGCGCCGCGAAAAGCCGCCGTGATTTTCCTGGCGAACGAAACGGCCCTTTTTCCCGTGATCACGAAGACCGGAAAAATGATTCGTGGCCGCGCGTACGAAAATTTCGTCGAGCGAGCGGCGGTAGGCCTCGGTGCTGCACAGGCATCTGCGTACCCGCGCATGTTCTTCCGGCCTCCCGGACAGAGACTTGCTGAACAGCACCAGCCAAGAACAGGCGAAGGAGATGTTGCAGGGCTGCCCATGAGAACGCCAGCCCCGTTCCGGCCCTCGGTTGGAGCCCCAGTTGTAGGTCGTGCAGTCCCGATTTTGCCGTCAGGTAGTAGGCCGCGCAGTCCAACAAGTGCGGTAGTTGCAGAGGGTAGTAATATTACGACAAGGACCTCCGCAGTAGGTGCATCATCTTCTGCGCCGCCGGGGATGCCGCATAATGCCGAACCCTTCGCCTTTTGCGTCTCCGACGCCAACGGCGCGACGCGAGACCGCATTCTGCATCGGACGCACGGAATCATGGAGGCAGCGAGAGCAGCAATCATGGCTTCTAGTACAACTCGGGACGACTTTGACTTTGTGTACCACTGGAATTCGGTACCGACCGTCCTCGGCCTGCCACCAGAACGGTACCTCGACCGGATGAGGCCGAATCCACTCGTTGATAGGGGCGGAGTTGTTCCACAGCAGCAGCTGGTCGCGCAGCCGCAAATTATGCAGCACGTGGTGCAAGTGCAGCCGTCGAGCGGGAGCGTCTACTACAGCAGTTCTCCGTACCATGTGGCATACAATACGGCGACTCCGGTTGTAGGCGCGCTGTCGTCCCACGCTGTTCTTCATCAGAATGGAGAGAATATGTTGGCACCACGACCAGTTGAGAACTTCTACGCGCCGCCCTATGCTTTGAGCGGCTCGGCTTCTTCTGCAACAACTTTATCATATCCTCTAGCCCCCTATCTCTATCAAGGACCACCGAAACTACAACTTCTCTCCACCGGCGGCTCCTATCCGGCGCTGCGCGCAGTTCGGTTTCTATTCGCGTGCTGGGTGATTCAGCTCCACGTCGGGCGCATGCCAACCGAGTTCACCGCGAAGCTCCAGAGCCTCAGCATGGACATGTCGGCCTTCAGCTTCCTGGCGGCGTTTTTCACCGCCCGCGGGTCCGCACGAAAGCCCATCGAGAAAAGGGAACGGAGAGATTACTACATCAACCGAATTGGCCTGGCGCACAGTCTCTACATCCTCTCGACCATCTTCGCGTTACCGAGCTTCTTCATCCGCTGCCCCCCGGGGGACTGCAAGCAGGCGGAGAATGCGGTTGTGTATTGGATTGCGGTATCAACTGCAAATATGTCTGGGTCTGGAAGAATCCGAGATTTCTCATGCATATTTTGCATGACCCAGGATGTCTGTAATGCTAATGCATGACCTAGCATCACAGATTTATAGAGGCCTTCCTGATGCCTGTTCCGCATGACAAATGACCTCCCCGCGTAGCGCAAACTGGACTCCTCTTGCTGGTCACGCAATACAGATTTTCATTTTTTAGAATCCAAACTTAGCATCACAAGTGCCAACCCACCAGACCCAGACATATTTGCAATGCATATGCGGTGCCGATCCAGTTGTTAATCTTCCTCACCGGGTTTTGGCCCGCCATCTTCGTCGCACCCTTCAATCCCGTGGCCTGGTTATGAGAGTGCACAATCCCCCATGCATGTCCCCCTCGTTTGTATTTTTGCATGAACAGCAGTACAAACACCAGCACACGTGGCGCCTCTGCATGACAAATTTGATGTGTGCCTAGTGTTGTAGTGCTGTTTGGGCTTCCGCCGGAATTTGCCATGCAAACAGTGCCCCAAGGAAGCGAAGCGACTGGATTGTGGACTTTGCATGACAAATGAGAACGAGGGGGACCTGTGCACTGTCATACTGGTTTCAGGCGAACTACTACTGTTTCTTGTGCTGTTTCCCCTGCTTGGACGAAGTGATCTCAAGCGAGTTCCACTACCACCCGGCGTTTTTTTCCATGGGACAAAGTCGTCCTGTTTCGACGACCAGCAGTAGAACGCCGGTCGATAAAGCGAAAACGTTCTACGCCTGCTGTCTCACCGGCGCTGCTTATCAAAGTGAAAAGCGTTAACGTTAACGGAATTTGTGATGCAGTAATGCATCAGAAAACAAGGCACCCAAATTTGTATTGCGTAGCATGCATGTAAGGCAAAATTTGTAATGCATGACTAACATCTGTGAAAACCGTTAACGCTAACACTATTTTGCTTGATACTGCTGCGACGTTTGTCATGGTGCCGTTGATCTTCCGAGGCCTGTTTATCGCGACGTTTCTGATTTTCAGCTGGGGCCCGATGTTCGTCACCGCGGTGTTGATATCCAGGAAAAAACACCCATCCCCATCCAATTTGTCATGCAAAACGTGCCTAAGTTCCACTATTTGTCATGCAAAAAATGGATGGGGATGGGTGTTTTTTCCTGGATAGTTGACTTGGAAACTGCACGAAGCGGTGTTTCTCCCGGCGGTGCAAGCACGGAAGAAAAAGGAAATGCAAATAAATTCTGAGCCTCAGATGAGCAGAAGTGCGACCAGAAGCAGAGTTTTAGACGAGCAACGAATTGCTCTCTCTGCAGATCATGGCTCTATGGACGAGGAGAGAGCAACAAACAATTCAGCAGCAGCCCAAGATCAGCCAGCCGGAACAGGAACGAACGTCGGAGTGATCTCCATGCATGGGCCGCCAATCAGCGGTAGTAGAAGTGGTCAAGATGCAATTCGTCTGTTCCCGTGGTACACGAATTCCGTCCTCTGGGCCTTTCTCACGGACGCAATCTCTTGCTTTTTCCTGTTCCTCGCTTTCTATGTGAACGCCAACGACACGTGTGCCTGGCTGCCGCCAAAACCGGACGCGGAAGACGAAAAGCGACGAGCGGGCGTATTCTGATTAAAAACGTCCCCACACCAGAGTCAAGATGGGAACTCTGCTAGACAAATCAGCCACCTTTGGTTGTTTGGCATGACACGTTTGTCCTCGTAGTGTGATCCTGTTCAGCTAGTTCAGAAGCATCACAGATCTAGCATAGCATGCTGATTCTAGCATCACAAATTCCAAAACACAAAGAGAGAGCGCTTCTCTTTCTCATAGAGCTCCGCATGAGAAGGCTTTTTGGCGTGCAGAACTGCATGACAACTCTGGGGTCGTGGGGACGTTTTTACACGGGATAGGGCGGCAGGATTTGTTATTCCGAAGATGATCGTGACAATGTTTCCTACGAGCAATATCTGATCGACTCGGCGGACCAGAAGCGCCACGACATTGGCCCCTGGATGGACGGGCGCTGGCTCACGGAGACGCAGTTTTGGTTCGGCACGTGTCGGCTGATCACCCCGTTTCTGCTGGTCTGGTTCCTGGGTCTCGCGGGGATCGGGAACCGAAGTCTCACCTATCGAGCGCTGACAACCTGGAACGGCATGGTGATTGCAAAATACTTGGCGCCGCTGGTATTAAGGCGCTTAACTTGTGTAAGTAGAAGTGATCCGCATCTTGTTCATCTGCTTGTCTAGTTGTCTGGTGTCTCTCTTAGTTTTTTCTCGAGCGCCTACGACTTGGAATTCTTCCTGCGGTGGTTCTTTTTTCTTCCACATCGTTATTGAACTTCCTGGGAATAAAATATTTGAGAACATCAAAACACCACCTGAAAAATACTCAGGCCTATCCCATGTACCTGTTGCACTACAACGTCGCTTGGTACTACTGGTTTCTGACCCGCGGCACGACCAACCGCGAATGGTGGTGGCACAACGCCGCCGGCCACCCCTGGCCGGTGGAAGCCTACAGCGAGACCCTGATCGTGATTCTCTTGACCATGCTCGCGGCGTCTTTCCTGAACTTTTTGCTTTCCAACGGCTTCATCGCGAGCATCGGCATCAAGTTCATGAAAGTCCAGTGCAACTGTTGCGGCGACTGCTGGGCGTCTTTGCTCGGGACCGGCGGCGACTGTTGTCCGCGGGCGGGAGGGACTGCGGGAAGCACGTCGCTTTACGCGCCTATGGGAGGAGAACAAGATGGACAAGTAGAACAACTTGGTGTTAGTACGTTCACTACCAATTATCAGTCCGCAGCGATCGGCCTGGGTGGACGCGATAGAATGCAAGTGGAAATGAACAACTACCCTCTGGCGGCAGCCGCAGGAAGTGTATTACCGGGTCCTCCTCGCACAGAAGTTTTTCAGCACTACACCAACTCTACGCACACCCGCCTGGCCGAACTCCTCCGCCAGCTGACCGGTGCGATCGTGGATAGTGCTTCTCGTCTCGACGAGCTATCCTGTGCAAAAGTATCGTACTCGTACTAATTGCAGTTATGCATTACAAATCTAGTTCCTAAGGCAAATCCGCATCACAAATTCAATTTGTAATGCTGAGCCAGTTTGTGTTTGTATTGCAATCACTACTAGAAGTGCTGCGATGCTTTTGCAATTCATACGAGCTGGGGCTCGACAGTTTCGGCACCACCGCGTTCACCGGGGTTCTTCGCTCCCATTTCCCGGATTGTATGGAGTTCTCAAACGTTACATTCTCAATTGTTACATGAATTTGTAATGCAAGAACCATGACGATCGAAGGGGTAAACTTGCTGCTTTCGCATCACAGATTTGGTACAGATTTACATGCTGGCTAGCCCTTCGGAGATTTGTCATGCGAAGCAGCTTGACCATCTGGCGGCTTAAGGTGGTTTTGCATGACAAATCCATGTAACAGTTGAGAATGTAACAGTTGAGAACACCATAGATTGTGATGTGCGATTGGCAAACATCGTTCGGTGCGAGACGGTGGGGGATTTGGTGGCGTACTTGACCGCAGTGAATGGGCGAAGAAGTAGGGCAGTGGCCCAAGAGCACCAAGCAGGGTCCTCGCGAAGTAGTAGAGGAGGTGATGGCGTGGTTGCGATGTCCAGTCGGAACGTTTTGATGGCGAACGGCACCGAGAGAGCGGGTCGGCAGCAGTTATTGGACCATGGCGAAACTGGCGGAGTTGGACCACGACCGCGTCTTGGCTATATAGAATGAATTTGAAGATGGATCATGTACGATAAAACCGAGAATTGTACGCAAATGATGAAATGTACGATGTCATCTTCGCACTCTTGTATGATATTTGAGCCGGTGTCCCTTGTTGACAAACGCAAGACCACAACCCAGCCGTCGGTTGCTGTCAGGAGAAAAACTTCTGAAAACTACTCAACCCATCGGCATCATCAATAGACGACATACGAATGATCAGATTCGCATCTCATGTGTTCTAGGCGTTCAAAGATCACCAGCAATCAAGATGACAACTTGCGCGCACGTTCTGAACTATCCTTGTTCCTGTTGCGTTTTCCAATCATCTTATATGCGATAAAAACGAAAGAAGAAGAACCAAAGAGCAACTGACTCTTCATCGCTGTCTAAGTATGCAGATCAAAGTTCAACAAAAGTAGCTCACTACTGTGCCGTCCGAGCTGGTGCCCCCTGAATTTTGCAAGTTTATCTTTGCGTTAACTAACGTTTTTCACAGACGTACAAAAAAAAAAACACGAGGGCGCCGCGGCCCTAACCTCTACTCTAAGATGGCCGAAGGACATCACCACGAGCTCAACGTGGAGCATGCCTATGGCGTTCTCAAATGTTACATTCTCAACTGTTACATGATTTGTAATGCAAAATCACAATCAGAATCGACACGATCAAGCTGCTTCGCATGACAAATTCGCGAAGAGCCAAACAGGCCGAGAATCTTTGCTAGATCTGTCATGCAAGACGCGCAAGCTGACCCCTTTCACTTTTGCCATTCTTGCATCACAAACCCATGTAACAGTTGAGAATGTAACAGTTGAGAACGCCATAATGCCGTCTCCTCGAGTTGGCGCATGCCGCAGGCGTCGGCCCGCAGCCTCGCGGCCGTCCCGAACACGAACGTCTTTCTATCAAAGTGAAAAAAGCCCCCAGTGCATATCGGAAACGGAAGGTGCGCGAATTTGTGATGCTCTATTTGAGTACACAAATCGACTTGCTAGAAGGCCAAGAGACGAAGCTGCGGCCTAAGTTACAGGTAATCTGTCATGCTGTTTCCCACTTCCAGTTGCCTCCTGTCATCCTGGAGCTGCAAGGCTTCCCCACGCTAGACAGCACTACAGTCCGCATCTTCTGCCTTCTAGCATCACAAAGCTGATTTGTGACCACGAATCTGCATGACAGATTTCCGTTTTGATATGGAGAGGGGGCATTTTTCATTGTAATACTTTCTCGCCGGCAGCTTTCTCCCGGACAGTGCGAAAAACCAAGTCCACGTGCTCCAGTTCGCGGACGAGGAGAACGAGCTTCTGTTGCTCAAAAGCCTTGCCCTCCCACCAGACTCCGGCCCCGTGGCGTCCATCGCGGTGTCGCCGAAACAACCCTACACCACCGCGTTTGTCACGGGGTGGAGACGAGACGACGGCGCCGTGTGGATCTCGAAGAAGCCGGGGAATGAGTTAAAAGACCAGAGCAACTACGAGGAGGACGGGGTGTTTGCGAGGTGTTCGGCCTGTAGTTCTTGCAGAGGTACGAGTGGAGGAACAACTTCAACTGCAAGTTCTGCACCATCTTCGGCATCTAACAGCTCAACAAGTTTCACCAATTTATCCTGGCACCACTGCCAGTGGGACCCTTTCGAGTCCTCGCGACTTCTCGTCGCCAGTCGCGATGGCGCGACGGTTATGAACTGCAAAAGTATCGTATTCGTATAAATGCATTACAAATTTCCTCAGCATGAGAAATAAAATTTGTAATGCGGATGTGAATTAATAAAATGATTTGTAAGGCATGATTGCAATACAAGTACGATACTTTTGCAGAGGATAACGGTCTGCGCCGTGGACACGCAGAGGAACGCGGTGGTGAGAACAATCGGGAAGGAGGCCCTGACGAAAAGCACCGCAAGCGGTTCCACGACCTCAGTGGAATCATCTGCACAGCAGGACCAGCAACGGAGCGTCCTGCACGCGATCGCCTACGATACCCACCACAGTAACGTGTTTGCCGTCGGCCTCAATGCCGATCTGAAGATCTGCGACCTCCGCACTGGCGGGTCTTCCGCAGCGTCTTTTGCCGCGAAGATGGAGTGCCGGGACGCGCACGCGTTCGGCCTGACGGCGGTGCAGTTCAATCCGAATGTGCCAAATCAGCTCTTGACGGGAGGAGAGGACGCGGCGTTCAAGATCTGGGACTTGAGAAACACGCAGACGGCATGTGTACTCATCTAGTAATACGTTTTCTTGTATAGCGCAGCTTGGTAGTTTAAACTTGATGAACATGGTGCGGTAGATTATTTATATTTTCGGGTGCAAGTCCAAGTGTATGCTTCCGCAAAATGAAAAGCGAAGCACAAAATCAGTAATAGTACTAAGTAAAGATCATCGACTTCGACTTGTTTCAACCTGTCAGGTCCACCACACCTCCAGTGCGCATTCCCATTGGATAACCGCTGTGGCGCACAATCCCTTTCACGACCAGCTGGTTCTCACTGCGGGCAGCGACTGCCAGGTGAATCTGTGGCGCACGAAGAAGGAGCAAAACCAGAATTTCAGCCTTTCGAAAAACCTGAAGCAGGTCTCGCAGGAGGACGCGGTGTATTCGGTGGCGTGGTCAGGGAACGACGCCTGGGTCTACTGCAGTTTGTCCTACGACGGCGTTGTGACAGCGTGTCGGGTGCCGATGGAAGAGAAATACAGGATTCTGTTGTAACTCATTGTCATCTAGTCGCAGGGAAACTGAGATTTGTCTGGAACAAGAATACCTCTACAAGACGCGGCGCATTGTGTGCTTGACCGTAAAGGACAAAGGCAGAGGCAGCAAGGCATGCGTTCACTCTACTGCCCCGCCCGCATGTTTTGGACCTCGTGGGCGGAGGCAGAGCGAGGCAGACGCCCGAGGGGCACGCCTCACAGGGATGTTTTCAATCATCACGTTGCGTTCTTTGTTTCTTTTCGTTTAATCTACGAATGAGGGTCGGAGAGTCTTTTTTTCCGGGTTTTCCGCTACTTATTTCGATTGTTTTTTCATATCGTAGCTACCACCTTGGTTTAGGGAACGATAAGAGTGAAATAGTTGAAATAAAAAACAAATGTAGGAAGATGGCAGAAGGCGGAGGAGCCCGTTCTTCTTGTTGTTTTTTCTTGGGCGTTCCGTTCCATTTGATATTTCAAGCAGAGCATGAGCTTCCTTGCTTGCGATTCGTTGATCCCGTCGGTTCCGGCGGAGACGATGAAGGAGAACGAGGACGGTAAAACAGCATATGTTGTTTGAAACTGGAGGTTGTAAAAATGAATAAGAAAGAACAGTCTCATGATTCAATGAGACTGTCATTTTTGTACATCATGCTGACGCTGAGAAAGATTTCCATTTCTCTATTTTTTCAACCTACACCGCACAACAGTTGTTGGAGTTGCCTTCTCCGCTATGAGCATGTCTTCCAGAGCGAGCAATGAAGAAAGCGGTGTGGGTTGGTAAAACCGGTGCCAGTGGAGAGCAAATCGGTTCGGGACCATGCTAATCGATCCTGATCGTACTTGAGAAATAGCTTCAGCTTTTTCATCTTGAGCATGAATTTGTATATCGGATTTAGACAACATGACAGCCTTCTAATGAGTGTTAATGTCAGATGCAGATGGACAGCTTCTGGAGCCTAGTCACAAACTGGAAAATGATGAATGAAGTCAGGTTCAGTACTTTGTCCCGCAGCTCTATAATTTCGAATGTAATTATGATTATCAGGCGACCGTGCGTCATTGGATTTGGGTTTGGCAATGAACACGGAGATGCTGGATTTCAGTATCGAAGGGAGTGTGGTCGGAGGTATAATAGTGTCTTTATTGCGGCCACATTGGCCCGACGAAGAGTTTGTCATGCGATTTTCGCTTTATTTACATTTTTTAGTGTCTGAGTCTGTATTGGTTTTCACACAGAAAATGTACTAGCTGACTCACCATCTACTTGAACTTCTCTCGACAGGCGGTTCCGTCGCTCGCAATCTTTCCGGCACGAGAAGTTCTCATGTTGCAGCCGAAAATGAACGCGTGCTCTCGGTTGTTACCACCATTTCAGCCGTCTCAGCATCTGCCGAGGAAGCGGAAAAGGGTGCTGGAGGTACTTATGTAGATCGAAGTGTAGAAGTATTAGTTGAAGATAAAAATATTAAAGAAGTTGAGTATAGAATTTTCATGCAACCCTTCGGCAACTTCGCATGCTAAAATGGGTGGTTCACAATAAGGATCTCGATCTATATCTCATTTCGCATGACAATGAACCGCGCATCAACTTCAATCGCAGATGACTCCCCCGTTGTGCGGAAAGCTTCCAGCACGAGAAAGCCAACCAGGAAGGATGAAAACCGCATTCGGGAATTGAAAAGGAAGTTTTTCACCATCACCGTGCGTACGGTGCTGATTCCGGTCCTGTTTATTGTGCTCCTCACCATTTTGCGCGGCGTCGGTCCGGTTTGCGAGTTTAGCGATTTTCAGCGGCTAGCATCTGTGATGGGCACAGGTGTGTTTGATCCAGCGAAAGTTAGCTCCGACGGAAAAGCTACAGCGGCTGGCAATACAATTGCTATCCCGACAAATTTCGCTTATGCCGCGTTTCACGAGTTGGTGGTCGGCGCGGTTTTCCTTGAAACAGCCTTGGCCTTGGCGTATGTCGTGCTGCAGATTCCGTCGCCGCTTAGCTTGCTACTGTTGAAGACGTCGTTGCGAAAGAACCGGCCAGCACTAGCGTTTGCGACCATTTACACCGTTTTGTTTGTTGTAGGTTGGTATGGCGGCGTCTTCGCGTGCCTGACCGAGGAAGGCCGCGTACAAAGTCTTGCCCTGTTCCGATTGGTCTACATCCCCATCAAGGCGCTTCTAGCTGTTTTTTTGCTGGTCTTCTTCCGGTATGCAGTGGCGCGATCGTGGAGTGCGGGATGCTATAGCGCAGTCTACCGCTCCCTTGCATTTCAATTTTGGGGACTGCTCTACCTCGGTCTTTCTCTCTTTGCGGCGACGCGCATCATTCCGGCCCTACTAGCAACTGCGCAAGAGTTACCGGGGTACCAGCGCATTATCGCAGAGACGCTGGTGTGTGGTTTCTTCTTCAGCATTGTGCTGCCTCTTCTGGAAAAAATTGGGGGGCAGGTGCTTGTACCGCGGCTGCTTCCTACTGACAACGATTGGAAGTTGTGCGACCTCTTCCCCGACGCACGAACGCAGAAAGCGGCCCAGGAAAAAACCCGGGAAGTTATGGTTTGCAGCGCCCAGTACATGTTCGACGCCACTCGGTTCGGAATGGGGCGCGGCGTTTTCCTGGTTTTATCTCCTGCAGCCATCGCTTTTGTACTCTTTCGTGACCTGACCTACCACATCTGGCACTTCGCTTTGAGGCAAAAAGAAGCGTTGTTGGTGTTTGCGCTGAAAGTTTGCGACTTTGACGATCTGGAGCATGTTCCGGAGAGATGGCGATGGGCCACCAAAATTTGTTACCATCTGCAACGAATCAGTTCTATCAATCGACGTTTTTCCATCGCGTTTGACGAGGAGATTGACTTTGAGCAGATACTACTCGCAGAGGAAACTACTGGCGCCTTCGATGCAGGAGCTGGATGCGGGCATCAGCTGACGGATTACAACTCGGGCACAACTAGTGGCATTGCAACGGAGTACAGGGAAGTTCTACATCGGAGTACTACAACTCGCACCCAACTCGGGAAGAAAACATTGGCTCTGCACTTTTCTAACATCCGGGTTAAAATCAGAAACGTACCAGTACACCTCTTCCGGGATTTGTTCAACCGAGATGTCGCGAATCTTTCGCACGGTGCAGTGAGAGTTGAAATGGAACCGGAAGACCATGTGAGCACGACAGAATCCGAAACCAGCGACAGAGACGCAACATTGCCCAACCTGCTCGAAATTAGCACGGGGAGGGGGAGGCTGACTGCGAATCAAGTTGCTGCAGGGGTACAAGTCGGCACGCAAAGGAGCGGAACCAGAACCGGAACAGGCCGCAGCATCGGAAATAACAGAGATGTAGAAGCCGGTGGAAGGTCTGTGGGTGTTCTGGCGGCAAGAGTAGAAACTGCGTTGCCAGTGAAGAAGGCCGCGAGCATGCCGGCCAAGCCGGAAAACGCGATCCTGCACCAGACCAGCAGTGTCCATAAGACCCTTTCTGTTGACGCTCCCCCGCCTGTGGCGACCACCCGGACGTTTCTGAAGTTTTTACTTGGCCGAGAAGATAAAGGAAAAACGAAAACAGCAAAGAGCCCGGTTTCCGCAGCAGAGCTGAACGCCTTCAGGCACTGCACTGATTTTTACCGCCAAGAAAATTTTAAACGGTACCAGATTCGTGCGCACTGCCGCCTAATGACGTCGCTAGCGATGATTTTTGTCCCCCTCGTTGCGCTGGCGAATAACGTGTCGCTGTTCCCCGGGTTTCCGCAGACCAGCGAGGAGATTATTTTCGGTCTGGTTGTGTCAATTATTTTCTTCGTGAACGACGTCGTCGAGTGGTATGTTATTACGTGGAAGTTTGCAGCATTTGATGACGAGCAGGCGAAAGTCTTGCTGCCGAGATTTGTAGGACTATTTTTTGTGGATTCTGGGACGGAGCAAGCAGGGTCTTCTTTCCAATTATTTCCGCAAATAAATACGATTGCGGTTCCTGTTTTTAGCTGTTACCTTCTGTCGACTATTACCACAGTAAGGTATCAGCCTTACTCGCTTTCAATGCTACGGGAAGTGACTGAACAAGCAGAATTGACTTGGAGTCACGTGTACGACTACTGTGGTATTTAAAGAGATAGAGAAGGATCAATATGTCAGTGAAAATCATAACTAGAGGATTGTCGCTCTTAGCTTTAAATACTTACTTATTTACCGCTGATTTTTATCCCAATATAAAAACAAATAAACCATGCGTAGCTCGTTGGTGTGACCAAATTTAGCCAGTAATAGAAGCTGAGTGCATATTTGTATCTTCCGTTTTGATGGACAAGCTCAAGCATTTTGACTCAAGTACAAACTCGATCTTCTCATCACAGCTGGCACAAGAGACCCCTGGTGCACGTGAGCTGCTGTTCGGCCATCTACTTATGCTCGACTTTGCTGCGGGGAAACTTCGCCGAATCGCATGCGAAAGTGCGTAAACAAGTACAGTAATCAGTTTTCAGTATACACAAGTGAAGCCCGTAGAATAGATGAAGTACAAGTATATTAATTCTAATTGTTTCATCAATTTACCAAAAAAAATACGTGGCGTAAACTAAACCTAAACTCCAACTCAAGCGAAAACGAATAGTCACTGTGAACAAAAAACAACAAAAAGGGTAGTCCGAGTATCAACTTCAGTTTCAAAATTGTGAATCGAAAGAAAGCGAAAAGCTCGAGTGTGCTATTAAATTAAACACACGTAAATGCAACACAAGCAATGAAACACACGAAGATTACATACGTGAGGGCCTTTTCTTTCGGGATCGGGGAAGTTATTGCTAGAGAATATTTTACTGTGTTCATCTTCATGCAAGAAAGCTGGCGCCAGTTTCTGCCGTCTCTATTTCAGCCTCATTGATCTTGATCAAAGCGCGAAGTTCGTCCTCCAGAGGCCGAACACTGGGAAGCTCGGACCAAAGTAAGTTGTTGAAGAAAACACGTGAAGATCCAGCGTAGTTCACGGACAACTTCAGTCATTGATCCGTGTGGTCCGTTTCTGTTTCCCTTTCCAGCGCGATGGTTCTCTGCTTCTGCAGTGCAGTCTGAGTCACTTACTGTCTGAACGAGATCTCTTTCGTGTCGAGGAAGATGATGGTTAACATCATGCGACACGCGATTTTTTTGTGAAGGGAAGAAAATAAAGACGATTCTTGTATAAACGAGTTACAGTTGATGCACAAGTTTCGTTGCGATGCAAAAAAAAAATCGGATATATTGGCTTGGCCCCTCCACTCCGAGCACCAACATTTACATGGGACGGACCGCATAAACAGTAGTGCAAATAAAACCAACAGCACGGAGAAACAACAATCAAAGTATTGAACGAGCGATCCAATTTGTACTTGAAAGCTACAACTCCATCCAGATCGATCTTCGTCCAAAAACGAAAATGGGCGGTGGTCCTTCCCACTTCCGCGCTTATACTACCGCAGTTTGTCCTACGACGGCGTTGTGACCGCGTGTCGGGTGCCGATGGAGGAGAAATACAGGATTTTGTTGTAGCTCATCCAGTCGCGCCAGGGATACTCAGACTCGACTGGAACAAAAAGAACACTTCTGCAAGACGCAGCGCATTGATGTGTGCTTGACTGTAAAGGACAGAGAAAGAGTCAGCAAGGCATGCATTTTTTTTCTCTAGTACTGCCCCGCCCGCAGGTTCTGGTCCTCGCGGCCGGAGGCAGAGAGAGGCAGCCGCCCGAGGGGCAGGCCTCACGGATGTTTTTAGACATCACGTTGCGTTCTTTCTATCTTTTCGTTTTGTCTACGAATGAGGGTCGGAGAGACTTTTTTTTTCGGATTTTCCGCTACTTTCCATTGTTTTTTCATATCCTTCTAGCTACCAGCTTGGAGGTTTATCTTCGGGAACGATAAGAGTGAAATAGTTGAAAAGAAAACAAACGTATCGAAGACGGCAGAAGGCCGAGGAGTGTTGTTTTTTCGTGGTCGTTCTGTAGTTTCCTCTGCTATTTCAAGCAGAACATCATGACTTTCCTTGGTGGCAGAACATCATGAGTTTCCTTGGTGGCGATTCATTGACTCCGTCGGTTCCGGGGAAGACGATGGACGAGAACGACGGTAAAACAGCATATTTTCATCTTTTTTGAACTTGGGGGTTGTAGAAATGAATAATAAAGATGAGATATCTAATAATTGTCATTTTTGCACGTCATGCTGACGCTGACAAACATTTATTCCATTTCTCTATTTCAAACCGCACAACAGTTGCCACCTTCTCCGTTGTGCGCATGTCTTCCAGAGCGAGCAATGAAGAAAGCGGTGTGGCTTTGGTAGAACCAGTGCCAGTGGAGAGCAAGTCTGTGCGGGATCCTGCTACTGATCGTACTTACTTCTAATGTTAATGTCAGACACAGATGGACAGCTTCTGGAGCCTAGTCACAAACGGGAAAATGTTGAATGAAGTCAGTAGTTTGTCCCGCAGCCCTATAATTTTGGATTTATTTATTATCAGGCGACCGCGCGTCATTGGATTTGGCGAACCCGGAGATGTTGGGTTTCAGTACCGAAAAGAATGTTGTCGGAGGTATAGTGTGTTTATTGCGGCCGCATTAGCCCGACGAAGAGGGAGAGTCAGTGTGTCATGCGATTTTCGCTTTATTTCGCGTGGTCTGTAAAAAAAGGGTTTTCACACGGAGGATGTACAACTAGCTGACTCACCAACTACTCCAACTTCTCTCGACAGGCGGTTCCGTCGCTCGCAATCTTTCCAGCACGAGAAGTTCTCATGTTGCAGCCGAAAATGAACGCGTGCTCTCGGTTGTCACCACCATTTCAACCGTCTCAGCATCTGCCGAGGAAGCGGAAAAGGGTGCTGGAGGTACTTATGTAGATCAAAATGTAGAAGTATTGATATATTCTTGAAGATAAAAATATTACAGAAGATGAGTATACAATTTTCATCATGCAATCCTTCAACAACTTCGCATCCTAAAATGGGTGGTCCACGATGAAGATCTCGATCTATATATCTCATTTCGCACCACAATGAACCGCGCATCAACTTCAATCGCAGCTGACTTCCCCGTTGTGCGGAAAGTTTCCAGCACGAGAAAACCAACTAGGAAGGATGAAAACCGCATTCGGGAATTGAAAAGGAAGTTTTCCACCGTCCCCGTGCGCGCGGTGCTGATTCCGGTGCTGTTTGTTGTGCTCCTCACCATATTGCGCGGTGTTGGTCCGGTTTGCGAGTTTAGCGATTTTCAGCGGCTAGCATCGGTGATGGGCACAGGTGTGTTTGATCCAGCGAAAGTTGCGCCTGGAAGTACAATTGCTATCCCGACGAATTTCGCCTACGCCGCGTTTCACGAGGCGGGGCTCGGTTTGGTTCTCTCTGAAATAGCTCTGGGTGCGACGTTGATCTTGCTGCAGTGTCCGTCCCCGCATAGTTTGCTACTGTTGAAGACGTCACTGGTGCGAAAGCGAAACCGCCGGGCAGCGCTAGCGTTTGCAACGATTTACGCCGTTTTGTTAGGAGTAACTATGTACGGTGGCGTCTTCGCGTGTCTGACCGATAAGAGCCGTGTGCAAAGTCTTGCCCTGTTCCGATTGCTCTACACCCCCATCAAGGCGTTTCTGGGTGCTTTTTTGCTAGTCTTTTTCCGGTATACAGTGGCGCGATCGAGGAGTGCGGGATGCTCGAGCGCAGTCTACCGATTCCTTGTTTTTCAATTCGCCGTACTGCTCTACATCGGCCTTGCTCTCTTTGCGGTGACGCGCATCGTTCCGGGCCTACTCGCCGCCGCAAGGGAGTTACCGGGGTACCAGCGCATTGTCGCAGAGGCGCTTGTGTGCGGTTTCTTCTTCAGTATTCTGCTGCCTCTTCTGGAAAAGATCTGGGGGCAGGTGTTTCTACCGCGAACGCTTCCTACTGATAGTGATTGGAGTTTGTGTGGCTTCCCCGACTCCCGAGTGCAGAAAGCGGCGCAGGACCGGACTCGGGACTACGTTGTTTGGTGCTGTCAGTTCATTTTCGATACCATGCGGTTCGGAATGGGCCGGGGCGTGTTCCTGGTTTTATCACCTGCAACCATCGCTTTTGTACTCTTTCGCGACCTGACCTACCACGTTTGGCACTTCGCTTTGCGGCAAACAGAAGCATTGCTGGTGTTTGCCCTGAAAGTTTGCGACTTTGACGATCTAGAGCATGTTCCGGAGAGTTGGCGATGGATTACCAAAATTTGTTACAATTTGCAGCGAATCAGCTCTATCAATCGACGTTTTTCCATCGCATTTGACGAGGAGATTGACTTTGAGCAGAAACTGCAACTACCAGAGGAAACAACTGGCGCCTTGTTCGATGCAGGAGCTCGAGGTGGGCATCAGCAGACGGACGAGTACAACTCGGGCACAGCTAGCGGCATGACAACTACAACGAAGTACTACAACGAGGCACAACGAAGTACAGTGCGGGAGGTACAACAAGTACAACTCGAGAAGAAGTCATTAGCTCTGCACTTTTCCAACATGCGGGTGAGAATCAGAAACGTGCCGCAACATGTTTTTCGGGATTTGTGCAATCGAGACGCCGCGAATCTTTCGCACGGTGCAGTGGAAGTTGAAATGGATCCGGAAGAGCCTGTGGGCACGACAGGACCCGAAAGCCACGACGGAGACGCAACACTACCCAACCTGCTCGCAATTGAAACGGACGGGGAGAAGTTGGCCACGAGTGGAGTTGCTGCAGGGATAGAAGTTGGCACGCAACAAGTGAACGGAAGCAACAGCAGAATAGGCTGCAGCATCGGAAACAAAGCAAACGGGGGGAAGTCTGTGGGTGTTCTGCCGGCAGGAGAAACGGCGTTGCCAGTGAAAAAGACCGCGACCATGCCGGCAAAGCCGCAAAGCCCGGCCCTGCACCATTCCGATAGTGTTCGTAAGACCCGTTCTGTTGGCGCTGGCCTGGCTGCAGCGACGGCGACGGCCCGGACGGCTGTGAAGTTTTTACTTGGCCGGGAAGATAGAGGAAAAACAGAAACAGTGAAGACACCGGTGTCGGAAGCAGAGCTGAAAGCTTTCAAGCACTGCGTTGATTTCTACCGCCAAGAAAATTTTAAACGCTACCAACTTCGTGCGCACTGCCGCATAATGACGTCGCTGACGCTGATGCTAGTTCCCCTCATTGCGCTGGTGAATAACGTGTCGCTGTTCCCCGGGTTTCCGCAGAAGAGCGAGAAGATCATTTTCGGTCTGGTGGTGTCAACTATTTTCTTCGTGAGCGACGTCGTCGAGTGGTATGTCATTACCTGGAAGTTTGCGGCATTTGACGACGAGCAGGTGAAAGTCTTGCTGCCGAAATTTGTAGGACTGTTTTATCCGGATGCCGGAACAACGGAGGAGGCAGGCTTTTCTTTGCAATTATTTCCGCAGATTTTCACGATTACGCAAATTACTTATTGTTGTTACTTTCTGTCCATGTTGACCACTGTGATGTACCAGCCTTACTCGCTTTCAATGCTGCGGGAAGCGACTGAACAATCAGAATTGACTTGGAATCATGTGTACGAGTACTGTGGGATTTAAATAAAACGTAAACGATCAGTGCTGTAAAAGTCAAAATGATAAGTACGCGCGATGTCTTTTGGTTGTAGGTTTTAGCATCACTGATTCTTGTCTTCCGAAGTAGAAAGCGAAACGATGCGTAGCTCAGTCGACCAATTTAGCTAATATCCGGCTGCATATTTCCGTTTTGGCAGATAAGCTCCTTTTAGTAGTCTTAGTTTAGGTAGTTATAGTTTACTTCAAAATTTCGATGAGGAAAATAAATTCGATCTTCTCACAGCTGGCACACCAGGAGAGCCGGACCTCGCAATAAACAATTACAGTATCTATCAGTTTTCAGTATACACAAGTGAAACCCATAGCATAGATGAAGTATAAACTATTTACCAAAACAAATAGCCCAAAACTCCAACTCAAACCGATATTCACTGTTAACAAGAAACAACAAAAAGGAGTGTAGTCTCTACGAGTATCAACATAAGTTTCAAAATTGTGAATTAAGAGAAAAGCTCGAATGTATGGAGTTTGTTAAACACACGAAAATGGCAAGCATAATAAACACGCGAAGATGGCATACACGAGGACCTTTTTCATCCTAGAGGGAAGTTATTGCTACAACATATTTTTTTACTGTGTTCATGCAAACAGTCTGGTGCCAGTTTCTCCGGTCGTTATTTCAATAACCTCATTGATCAAAGCGCGAAGGTCGTCCTCCAGGGGCCGAACACTGGGAAGCTCGGACCAAAGTTGTTGAAGAAAGCACGTGAAGATCCACCAGCGCCGTTCACGGACAACTCCAGTCATTGATCCGTGTGGTCCGTTTCTGTTTCACTTTCCAGCGCGATGGTTCTCTGCTTCTGCAGTCTGAGTCACTTACTGTCTGAACAAGATCTCTGTCGTGTCAACGAAGGGGAAGGTGGTTAACGTCACAAGGCACGCGATTTTTTACTGAAGGAAAGAAGATAAAGACGATTCTTGTGAAACGAGTTAGTGTTGTTAACGCACAAGTTTCGTTACGATGCAAAAAGAAAATCGGATATGTCCACGCCGAGCACCAACATTTACAACATGGGACAGACCGCATAAACAGTAGTGCAAATAAGACCAACACGGAGAAACGACAATTCAAGTATTGAACGAACGATCCAATTTGTACTTGAACGCTACTCCATCCAAATCTATATTCGTCCAGAAACGCAAATGGGCGGTGGTCCTTCTCACGAGGCGCTCGACGCTGCGAAGCAGCAATGCAGAGCTCTCCATGAGCGATTGGCGGAGTTTGAGAAGCGGCACCAGGAGGAAACAAATAGAGCAGAGGCAGCGCGAAGCGGAGCGCCGGGAGCAGGAAACCAGGCGATTAAGGAAACTGATGGCGAAAAAAGAGGAGGAGGAGCGGAAGAAGCAGGAATACTTGCGGATGCTGCAGGAATACCCCATTCCCGAGTGGTTGACGCCGTATTCGCAAAAGTTGAACATCGCTATTGTCGGGCCCTCTGGTGCGGGAAAATCCAGTCTAAACAATCGCTTCCGGGGCCTGCGGAAGCGAAAGTTGGCCGAGGAGCGTGGACTGCCTTGGTGCGCTACTGGGAGTACGGAAACTACGATGTTCGCGACTCCGTACCCGGTTTTGGCGCCGGGGGGGTCGGAAGGTGGTATAATTTTTTGGTTGTGAGAACCATCGTTGCATGTTCGGTTCTAGCGAGCATTCAGAGTCGTTGTATACTGCAACGCAGCCCATCATACCAAAAGATCAAGATGTGAGACTCCAAACCTTTCTTCTAGCTGCTGTAGAGCACCAGTAGAGGTCGTTGAAAGACCAGGTATAATTACCCACTACATCACCTCGTCAGCCTACGAGTCCGGCATCCTTCTGTGGGATCTTCCGGGGGTCGGGATATGACAGTGCACAACTCCCCCTCCACCTCATTTGTATAGCATAAACGGCAATACAAGCATCAGCAAGAGTGCTGGTTTTCCATGACAAATTTGCACTGGATTGTAGTGCTATTTGGGCTGCAAGAACTTCAACTTGTCATGCAAACAATACCAAGAGGCGAAGGATGGATTGGGTATTTTGCATGACAAATGAGGGGGAGTGGGAGTTGTGCACTGTTATATGGGACGCCTCGGTTCCCGAAAGAAACCTACTTTCGCGACGTTGGTTTGCGGCACTTTCAGTGCGTACTGCTGGTGTCGTCTCAGCGGTTCACGGAGAATGATAAGGCGATCTCGGACGAATGCAAACGGGTCGGCCGGGAGTGCATTTTCGTGCGAACGAAAGTTGACGTCGACATTGAGCGGGAGGAGGAGGACAACGACATGGGTGAGAAGCAAGTGTTGGACAAAATCCGAGGGGATTTGCAGCGCCATGGAGTACTTAAACTTTTATTTTTTTGGACTCACCTCATTCTCATGCTTGATAGCTTGAGTAGATTATGAATGCTTAGAAAAATGATTCTATAGCTGTAGTAATTCCTCTTCTTTTTATTTTTTCGTTATCAAACAAGAAACGCATACAGAAATTCATTTCGTACTAGAGCTGCTTTTGCACAACACGTACGCACGTGACCGTAACAGGTCAGCCATCCCTACCTCGTCTCCGCGAAGGAACCCGACTTCGACATGGATTTGTTGCGCAAAAAAATCTTGGGCTCCCTCGATTCTGTCGTCGCAATATCAACTGTAAAAATGTCTGGGTCTGGAAGAATTCATGTTTGTCATGCTTGTCTGGCATGGCTCTTAAATCTGTCATGCACGTTACCCAAGGGCTCCGCTTTTCTGTGATGCAGAAGCGCAGTTTGTCATGCAGAATAGGCAACACCGAAGAGCTGAGAAACTTGTCATGCTGAGCCAGCATTTGTAGCCTCATCATGAGACGCCATCCAGCATCACAAGTTTCCAGACCCAGACACTTTTACATTTGATACGCAAGCGGAGCGAACGAAATGGCTTTGCAGATGAGCGGTTTAACCTTGGATACCGGCGGGAGCAACAACAGCTCTACTCAAAAAACAAGAAGTGTGATCGAAAACGAAAATAACCGAGCCATTTTTAACACTTCTTCCTCTTCTTCACTGAACCTCCAACCAGAGCAAGTAGCAGCGCGACCGAGCCAAACTCAAGTCTTTTATCCCCCGGACTGGGCCGATCGCCTCTGCAACGACGCCGCGGTGTTTCGGGAGGAGCAGGAATCTGCCCCGAGTATCGCAAGTCACTAGCAATATTTATATGAAATTGAAAAGGAAAAGCAATGAAGAATGTCTTTTTTTCTGAAATCGTCGCTATGGTTAATATAGCGCAATCACAGACGAGGACGACGCATTCGCTTCTGTCAATAATGTAAGTTGATGTATCGAGATTTTTCCTAGTGGGGCTTCAGCTTCTTGCTCTCGCAGGAACACGTGTAAAGAAAAAGGTTTTACGAAGAACTCACGAAAAAAGTCTTCATGATCAGATCATAGCAAGTAAAAGCAACACGCATCAGCATGACAGTAGCACGGCATTCCATTTCCACCTTCTATGTGTCCACTAAAGAACATACACCCGCCATCCAGTTCAACTGCGTCTCATTCTGATTTTCTCTTTGAAAATAGCGCTGAGATACTTGCTTTCATTTATATCTCCGGGCAGGATCATTTACAACGTGAACGTGAATGGAAATACAAATAACGGCCGTTCTCTATGACTTCCCAGTGTCAGCGGCATCAACGCTGAAGATTGTGTTCCCCAAGAAAAATGGCCTTCTTCCTGCCAGTTGCGTCTCCTCTATTGTCGTCATTTCAACATCATTGATATGATCAAAACGCGAGCGTCAGGAGAGGGCAGCACACAACATGATGGCTTTTTCATTTTCTGCTCCATAGGACCACAAGTAACTCATGGGCGGTCCTTGCTTTTTGGTCGAGAAGAGGCCGGACACCGGGAAGCCCGGGCCGAAGTTGAAGAAGACACCCTGTCCAGCGTGCACGGACAACTTCCAGATTGCGAAATTCGAGTTTGAAAGCAAGGAGTGGCACAGCGTGGAGCAAGCCTACCAGGGCTACAAGTTCCACGAGGAAACCGACCGGGAGAAGATGCGGCTAGATCTCCCGACCCCGGGCGAGTCGAGCCACGATTACGGCCAGCGGATGTGGCGGCTGGGGCAACAGGGCACCCCACACAAAACGGAAGCGGACGGCGTGCGGCTCATGTACCGGCTATGTGCGGCCAAGCTGCGGCAACACCCAGAGATGCAGCAAGACCTCTTGGCGACCGGGGAAACTGCGATTTTTGGTGGCCCCAGCACCGCGCAATGGAGCAAGTGGAACGGGTTGATTCAAACTAGGCTACGAGAGGAGTTGCGCACTGGCGAAACGAACGCGCTCGGCGGCTTGGCGGGGGATGATGTTTTCAAATTCTCAACCCCCGCCCGACCAACAGACGTGGCCGCAGCACAACGGAACGCGGAAACTTTGCTTGCTGCGTTGCGCGAGGCTGAGCCGAAGCTGATAGAATTGGGCGTGATCAGTGCTGAAGAGTGACGCGCAAATCTCAGCGAGGATTATGCAACAAAAATAGATAAAATCAAAGTGATCTTTTCAATCCTTACAAGAACTGATTCCTATTGAAACTTGGTGTGTTTCAAGACCAAGCTGTTTCTGGATACACCTACAACAGCGATGCGCAAATGGTCCTTTCTCTTGTTAATCGTGAGCCCGTGCGTGATTGAAAAAACTGTAAAAAAAAAGAAAAGGCCGGCTACGTGAATACTTTCTTACATTCATTGGAGGTCAAAAGACCTCCAAATCAAATCATGCACCCCGCCCGTTTAACTTCTGTGCGCGACGTGACACGAACAGTACGGCGACTTACTCTGTATCAACTGCAAATCTGTCTGGGTCTGGAAGATTGGAAGGCTTGTCATGCAGGTTGTCCATGACGCGAGCGTGAGGTCTGTCATACATGACCCAGCATGACAGATTCTGTCCGATCTCTATCATGCCTCGTCTGCATGAGAGACTCCCTCTTAGCTTGGTCAAAAGTGGACAGCTTTTGGCAATCACGCAACACACATTTTTGCACTATCCAGAATTAACATGACAAGTTGCATTCTTCCAGACCCAGACATATTTGCAATGCATACTCTGCAGCTGGAACCAACTCCGCCGACCTTTCCGCCGTTCGCTTTCCGTCCCGGGCAGTGGGCGGATTTCGCGCTGCCGGACCCGAAGAGCCTATCAAATGTAAAAATGTCTGGGTCTGGAAGAGTGTATGTTTGTCATGCTTGTCTGGCATGACTCTCAAAGCTGTCATGCACGTTACCCAAGAGCGCCACTTTTCTGTCATGCAGAAACGCAGTTTGTCATGCAGAATACAATAGGCAACACCTAGAAGCTCAGAAACTTGTCATGCTGAGACAGCACTTGTGGCCTCCTCATGATACGCCACCCAGCATCACAAGTTTCCAGACGCAGACCCAGACACTTTTACATTTGATAGCGCCCGATCGGAGGCTATTCGTTCGTTTCTGCACCACGGGAGCTGCCAAAAATAGAATTTCTCGTGCAGAGGGAGCGACTGGATGAAAGCAAGAAAACAACGATGACCTCCTGGATTCACTCGGAGCAGTGTAAGCCGGGCGTTGTCGTTGGGCTGCGGGCCGGGGGGTCGTGGATTCTTCCATGTGGTGGACCAGCTGCAGATGAAGATGCAACAAGAAAAACGTCGGTCCGGAATAAAACGACTACAGCAACAGCTAGTGGGGATCAACTACCGGAGGTAGATCCTCAAACAACAGTATGAATTGCGAAAGTATCGTATTCGTATAAATGCATTATACAAATTTCCGCAGCATGAGAAATAAAATTTGTAAATGCGAATTGACCTCAAGAAAAAGATTTGTAATGCATGATTGCAATACGAGTTCGATACTTTTGCACAGGATACACAGACAGTGTCAGCGACGTTTTGTTCGTAGCTGCTGGAATTGGCGTAACGCCGTTCTTGTCCTGTTTTCGGGAACTCGAGGAACTGCCCCACACTCGTATGGATATGGAACGAGAAAAGGCATCAACAAAGGCCACCATACGCTACCACTTTTTCTTCGTGGTGCGTGACGATGACGACGCAAAAATCTTCGGCCCCGAAGATACTTCCGCCCTTCAAGCGTTAAAACGCACCGGAACCCTTGCGAGCTACGAGCTGTTTCAAACCGGGACGGAAAAGCGGAGACCCACGGCTGCGGACATTTATTTGGGAACAAGTAGAAAGAGGTTCTTTCAAGATAAAGCAGAGCAGCGCTCATCTTGTTCATCTTCTCTGCGAGTGTTTCTCTGTGGGCCACCGGAATTCAGCTTGAGCATAGCAAACCAATTGAAAAATGAATTTGGTGTAACTGATGTGTTTTATGAGAATTGGTGGAATCCGAATCATATGGTGCACTAGGACGAGAGCAGCTGGATAATTCAGCTTTGGCCTCACGCTTGCCTGGTTTTCTCTGCAGCGGAGAAGGTGCTCCTTGGCTTCTACCAGCATGGTTTACAGACCGTTGTGTTCCAGTTCCTTTTCCAGAACTTTTTGTAGTCCGTCGACTCCTTGCTAGTAGTCATATGTTATGTAGTAGAGAATGTACATCAGTAAAATCATTTCACTTTGTTGCACCATGCTGAGAGGGAACAACAATGAAGATCTCGTCCTCTTTGGCTCATTTGTAACCAGCTACACGAGCAGTTGCACCTTTGAATAGTTTCATGGTTAAATACAGGAAACATACCGTATCGCGAAAGGTAAAAGAAAGTATGGTCACGACTTGAGCGGTTTTTGTTTGCCCTCCCCGCGGGCCGCCCGACCTCCGGCCAACGCTGGGGACGGACCCCGCCGCACTCCCGCTTGGTCCGACGTGCTCAGTCTGCTACTGCCGGTTCTTGCGAGAAAAGGCACTTACAAGTCGGGATATAACTGCAAGTGGTAGTTACCAAGCAAGGTAAAGATGCCGATTTCCGCTTCAACGTCCTTCGCCGGCTTGCTGGCGGCCTACCTCACGACTTCCTATTCCCCACGATGTTGCCTGGAGGTTGCCGCTTTGCCCGCCCGGGACATTGCGTCGAAAATGGTCGACGCAACGAGCGTGCTGACCAGCATGTCCAAGGACTTCAACCACATCGTTCTCGGCGACAACCTGGTGCATTTTGTAACCGACGCGAAGCAGTTACTGGAACAGTACCTTGCTGAGGCGAAGATCAAGCGCCAACGGACCAACGCCCAGCGAAACCACGCAGATGTGACCAGGAAAACGAGTGAGAAGGAACTGGAAATCCAAGTGGACGACTTGGATGACGTAAAAAACTTTCTACTTCTTGTTCATGATACTAACGAAAAACTTTACAATGTTAATGTAGCCTCGCATAGAAAAACAAAAATCTGTGAACTTGTAATGCAGAGAATGCCACACACACATGGGTTTGTCTCGCTAAATCAGTGCGAAGACATGAAACTGTAAAACCAAACCTCCTTATTTCTTAGGCGAAAGAAAAGTTCGTCGAGTTCATGCAAGGGGTCAAAAACGGCGCGCTCTCCGGGGACGACGCCAAAAACGCCGCGGCGGCGCAGGCTATGCATTGCAAATATGTCTGGGTCTGGAAACTTGTGATGCTGGGTGCCGTATCATGAGGAGAGGAGGCCACATGTGCTGGCTCAGCATGGCAAGTTTCTGAGCTCTTCTAGGTGTTGCCTATTCTGCATGACAAACTGCGTTTCTGCACGCCAGGAAAGTAGGGCTTCGGCTTTTGGGTAGTGCGCATGACAGATTTAAGAGTCATGCCAAACAAGCATGACAAACATGCATTCTTCCAGAGCCAGACATAATATTTGCAGTTGATACAGGCGGCGGCCTTGCAAAACGTTCTGAACGTGATTTCCAGCGAGCCCGGCTATCCTGTGCAAAAGTATCGCACTCGTAGTAATTACCAATTGCAAATATGCATGACAAATCTTCTTCCTGCGGTAAAACAGCATTACAAATTCCATTTCTAATGCTGAGGCAATTTGTATTGCGATTTATACTAGTACGATACTTTTACTTTTGCAATGCATACCGGCGCCGGGGTGTTAAAAGGCGCCTTGGAGCAGATGATCCAAGATACCAACGAAGACGGGTCCCAGGCCGAGCAGAAGGCCGCAGAACTCGCGGCTCTCACGCAGGACGCAGTGAAGAAGCTGCAGGGGTCGCTCGACTTGACCACGGAACAAATCGACTTGTTGCTCGTATCAAATGCCAATATACCTGGGTCTGGAAGGATGCAAGGTTTGTCATGCACATTTCGCATGACTCCTGATGTCTGCGATGCATGCCCTAGCATCACAGATTTTGTGATGGTCTCCTGATGCCTAAACCGCATGAGCAATGCCCACTCGCCGTCGTAAAAGCTGGGCCTCTTTTGCTGTTCATGCAATACAGATTTTTGTAGAATCCAGATTCAGCATCACAAGTTACATCCTTCCAGACCCAGACATATTTGCAATGCATAGCCCGAGCGCCAGACCAACTCGACCGCGGACTTATCAAATGCAAAAATGTCTGGGTCTCGTCTGGAAAGTTGTGATGCAAGGAAGGGAATAGTGAGCACACTGTAGTGCGCAGCCCAGCATGACAAGTTTTTCCGCGGCTCAGAGTTGCGTACTGCGCATGAGAAACTGCGTTTTTGCATGACAGAGAAGAGGAGCTCTTTGTGGCCGCGCAATACAGAGTTGAGACTCATGCCAGACTAGCATGACAAAAGTCGCAATTTCCCAGACCCAGACATATTTGCAATGCATAGGACTACTTTAAAAACAAGTACGTGTCCGACGCGATCGACAAGGTTTTGGCCTTGTCGCGGGAAATATGACAGTGCACAACTTCTCCTCCCCCTCATTTGTCATGCAAACCCCCAAACCCAAATGCTTCCCTGTGGCACTGTTCGCATGACAGGTTCCGGAAGCCCAAACAGTACTACACTAGAACTGCATGAATTTGTCATGCACAGGCTCCAAGTGTGCTGGTGTTTGGATTGCTGTTCACGCAATAGTACAAATGAGAGGGAGGGGGAGTTGTGCACTCTCATAGGAGGACCTCGTGCTGTTTGAGGATCTCGATGCTAAAGTAAAACCGATGGAGCGGACGAACGTGGAAAAATTGCAGCTGATCTCGCAGTATGCATTGCAAGAGTATCGTACTAGAGGTAATGTCGCATCAGCATGACAAATGGAATTTGTAGTTATGCGGAAGGAAATAAACAAGATTCGCTATGCATAAACTGCAATTATTACGAGTGCGATACGTTTGCAATGCATGCGTAGCAGAGTCTGGAGATGTTCAAACTCGCTAAAGACGTGGAGACCTACGAGCAGTGCGTCAGTGCCGGCGGAAACTCGCCCGACCATATCCTGTGCAAAAGTATCGTACTCGTAGTAATCGCAGTCATGCATTATAATTTTTTTTACCAAGGTAAATCCGCATGGCAAATTTTATTTCTCATGCTGAGGGAATTTGTAATGCATTTATACTACTACGATATTTAGGAACAAATCGGCCTAGCAAAGAAAAAGGCTCCTAAACGCCGACCAAATGAAAACAAAACGGCAACTAACGGGGCAGAAAAGCACGAAAGGGCGGCCCAAGAGCGCCCCGGCCTTTTCAGGTTGTGCCCCTTCTACCCTGACGCGCGCGCCCTCGTTCCGTGTGCCAATTGGCGGCCTTCGGTGGCACCAGCGGGAGCAGCGCGAATTCCTATGCGCGGCTGTGCGCGCATGCCTTCTGGGCTGTCCGGCCACCGGCGTGCTGCTTAGCGACTATCGCGAGGACTATTTTGCGACAAGCACCCTCAAAGCAGACGCGCCGCTTTTTGACAGACGCGCAGGCTCCGTAGCGGTGCCGAGGGGAAGTCGTGCGAATGTCGGACCAAGCATTGCGGCCCTCTGTGTGGGGTAAAGCTAGTAGAGGGCCAAACGAGGACTCCTCCGCCCTTGTCTGCCCCAAGGTCGCGAGATGTTGAGTCAGGTCGGAAGAGGGGCGGGGGAATGAACCGACCTGAAGGCCACAGAAAATGCGAAGGGAAGGGCGAAAAAAGAACAGCAACAGGCGCCACGGGAAGGCCTCGACGGCCCGTCGGGAAGCCGCCGGCCCGTCCTCAGACACGGTGGGATTCTCGATTTTTTCCGGTTGGGAGGGGCCCCCAACCGGAGAAAATGGAGCGCCCCACCGTGTCTGAGGACAAACCGGCGGCTTCCTGGCGGGCCGCGAGGCCTTCCCGGCCGGTGCGCCTGCACGTAGCTGTATGGCCTGCCACATAGCGGCCCCTTCCCCTTGTCCCTTTCCTTGAGCCTTTCCTTCGGATTTTGGTAGATTTTCGGCAAATTTTTGGGAGCTTTCAAAAACGCAGAGTGATACGCACTCCGCCTTTTTTTTGACACGCAAAGTGACACGCAGAGTGACACGCACACTGATACGCACTCGTCAAACACGACCTGTTTCTCGTTTTTGACGAGTGTGTACTGTCAAACCGCTCTGTAAATTGACACGCAGTGAGTGCGTGTCAGTGCGTGTCACTTTTACAGACCGGAGAGAGGTTTTGGAAAGTTTTGGAAATATCCTTCACCGACGGTATTGTGTGACACGCACTCACTGCGTGTCAAGTGCGTGTCACTCTTCACGCCTGTATTCTCGCCACCAGCGATTCGGTCGTGCGTGTCACTGCGTGTCACCAGAATATAGGTGCAAAAAGTGACACGCACTGACACGCACTAGATGCGTGTCACTACCATACCGTGCAGGAGAGAGACAACGCCTGTCGTCTTTTGGTCTTCCCCGATGGTATACGGTGACACGCACTGAGTGCGTGTCACTTTTTGCACCTATATTCTGGTGACACGCAGTGACACGCATTGCGGTACGCAAGTGACACGCAGTGTGACACGCACTGCGTGTCACTTGCGTATCACTTTGCGTGTCAACTGCGTGTCACTTTTTGGACTCAACTGCGTGTCAACTGCGTGTCACTTTTTGGACGTTTTGCTTGTCTGAGCGTGTTCATTTTTTTGCGCCTTTTCTTCCCGAATTCGACTGCCTTTTTTTGCGCCACATTCTGCTTTTTTGAACAACAGAAAATACGGCTTTTTTCTGTACTTTGGCAGCTCCAAGTTGAAGAAAAAGGCCGCGCTGTATGTTTTGCTGCAGAAAGTACTCAAGACCGGCGCCCCCGCCCTGCTGGCGGGGGTCGGTTGGCCGGCATGGGAGAGAGCACGAAGCGCCCGGAAAAGGGAAAAGAGGCCTTTTCCTGAAACTTGGCGGCCCGAAGTTGCAGAAAAAGGCCTCCAAATGATTGCCGCGAGCAAGTGCGCGCGCTTGGTCTGGCTTGGCTTCTTTGGCTCGGGCGATGCTTCCTCGCTATTGTTGGGCGCGCAGCTGGGCGCGCGGTTGGGTGCAAGCCGGCTTCTTGGCTGCGATAGCTGCGAAGAAACGAAAAGACGAGCTTTTTCTGCAACTTGGCGGCCCCAACTTGTCGAAAAAGCCTGTCAGCCGAGACCTGTTGAACAAGACCGCTGCGCCTTTTGCTGCTGCCTGGCCGGAGGGGCCCGGTGACCTTCCGCCCTAGGCCCTCCCTCGCATTTGTGCCTGGCCGCTAACTGAGGCCTTTTCTGGAAACTTGCAGCTGGGAACTTGTCCAATTTGCGCGTCTTCTTTTTGTGTTTCTTGTTGTGGGCTCTGGGGCCAAAGGAAACACTTCGACAGCGCCACTCCCTATCGCCGCCTGGCGTCCCATGGCCATGGTAGTGGACATTTTGAGCGCGTTTCAGAAGCCACCCAGTTGCTAGGCCGATTTCACTCCGACGATATGTTTGCAATGCATAGACCACTGTCTCGGGCAAATCGGCCGCACCTACGCGTCTGGTATGGCGCCCAAGGAGGATCCGAACATATATGAGACTCTCAAATGTCACATTCTCAATTGTTACATGAATTTGTCATGCAAAAGTACCTTAAGCGTGCAGATCAGCAAGCTGCTTCGCATGACAAATTTCCGAAGGGCTAGACAGTATCTAAATCTGTGCCAAATCTGTATTGCAAGAGGCGCAATGTTCCCCCTTTCGCTTTTGCTATTTTTGCATCACAAATTCATGTAACAGTTGTTGAGAATGTAACATTTGAGAACTCCATAACATCATCTCCTACATTGGTTGCTTCCGCGACAAGGGCCGGCGCGCCATGCCCGTGAAGCGGTCCGGCTCGTTCACGGTGAAGAGGTGCTCCGAGGCGTGCGGTGCAGACTTCCAGTTTTTATGGGAGTGTCAGGATCGACGAAATCGACAAAATTGAAATGATTTTTGTCATGCATAAAACCGATTCCAGTTGGGCCCCAATTAATAAGTGGCGCATTACAAATTCTGTCTGCATTGAAATCCAATCTGTCATGCTGTTTCGGTCAAGGAAGGCTGCTTTTGTCATTCTCCGTCGTAGCGCCGCCGTCTCTACCCCTAAGGAGAGTTACAATTAGCCTCATTTGTCATCGTCGCAAGACAGGCTCTTTGTGCCTCGCACTTTATGCATCGCAAATTATTTATTCAACATTGTTGCTTTCGGTCTTGACGCTTCCATAAATTTTCGGCGTGCAGTACGGGTCGGAGTGCTTTTGCGCCAGATCCGCCTCTATCAAATGCAAAAATGTCTGGGTCTGGAAGATTGCAAGATTTGTCATGCCTGTCTGACATGACCAAAAAGTTTGTGATGCGTGTCCAAGAAGAGACACGCTTTCCTGTCATGCAAAAACGCAGTTTGTCATGCGAAAAACGCAACACAAAGAAGCGCAGATGTTTCTGCTCATGCTTGCCTGTGCAACATTACAGAGCATCCACTATCTTTCCCAACGCAGCATTACAACTGTTTCCAGACCCAGACATATTTGCAATCCATAGCCTCCGAATACGCCAAGTACGGGGAAAAACCGGAAAAGGACTGCCAGGGCCCGGGCCGGTCCCCGAAGTGCGTGGACGGTAGCGACACGCACTGCGGCGGCCCGTGGAGAAATGCGGTTTACAAGCAACCGAAATCGATGGTGGGCCTGTTCTTCTTGCAGGGGAAGCAAAGTAGAGTAGGCGGGGGACAACTACAACTAGTGGCATCGGCGAACAACCGTCAACAGAAGCCGAAGAGCTACTCGTTTCTGCAAACGGACGCGCGAAACAAGAACCAGCAGAATTACAGAACCTCCTCATCAACATTTTTCTCGGCTGGTACAGGGAACAAAAACAGCAAGCCAATCATCGCCAAGATATCTTCTACGATATGAATTGCAAAAGTAACGTACTAGTATAAATTGCAATACAAATTGGCTCAGCATTACAAATCAAATTTGTAATGCGGATTTGCCTTAGGAACGATATTTGTAATGCATAAATGCAATTAGTACGAGTACGATACTTTTGCACAGGATATACGAAGAAGAAACTTGCACTGGCGCGGAACCGGCTGCGAAACGCGGTCACAAACTTCTCAAAGATGAACAAAGCGGAAATCATCGAGAGCTCCGCCCCAAGTCCGATTTTCCGAGCGGTAGAAGAGGAGGCGCCGGCAGGAGCTGGTGCAACAAGTTCTTCTACGTCGATCATGGGGGCTGATTCGAATTCCGACGAAGACGGAGCCGCGGGAAGTACCACTGGAACAACAGCTGGAACAGGTGCAGTCGCAGCTAAACAGGAGACTCTGGCGCAGCAGAAAAAGATTCAACTGGCGTCCGATTTGCTGCGGAACGTGGGGCTGGCGCTCCGGGACCCGGCGATGCAGGAATTTGGGAAGCGGATGAACAAAAACGACTTGCAGACGAATCTGAACGCCCTGAATTTGTTCGCGCAACAGAAAGTCGACAGCACGGGTGGAGCGGTACTAGCGACGACTTCTACTTTTTCAATGTTTTCCTCTGGAGCTGCGGCTTCAACATCTACCACGACCAGCAGCCGCCAGACCCCGTGCACGACCGCGGCACTAGACGCCGCGAGGGAGAAGGTTTCTACTGCTTTGGACATGAAACTGAAAGAGGAGAAAAAGCTCGTGGACGCGAAGGGCAAGCTCGCGGTGCAGGAGGCGATATGGGGCTCTCAAACGTTACACTCTCAACTGTTACAACATGACTTGTCATGCAAAACTACCATCATCATCCACACGATCAAGCTGCTTTGCGTGACAAATCTGCGAAGGGCTAAACAGCGCCTGAATCTGTGGGGAATTTGTAATGCTACAGGTGAAACCTCCCCCCTTTGACTTTTGCCATTCTTTCATTACAAATTCATGCAGCAGTTGAGAATTTAACGCTTGAGAACTCCATAGGCGATTGGCTCCGTTTCGGAAACTTCGAAGAAGCTCGAGAACCACCTGCTGGAGCTCGGTGGGGAGACGTGGCAGATATGCAGTGCAAAAGCATCGCACTAGTAGTAAAAGTAATCGTAGTACAGCATGACAAACACAAATGTGGTTTCTTCGGTAAATCTTCAGCATTACAGTTTATTTTCTGGAAAGATTTGTAATGGTATTTGTATTTCTATTAGTACGATGCTTTTGCATTGCATAGCACAAGGTGGACAGCAAGTGTCAGGAGATTCTGACGAAGCTCGACGAGGAGAAGAAGGTCGTCTTCGAGGAGTTAACCACCCTCGCCAGCCAGAACGCCACTGCAGCGTCGGACGAAAGTAATGCCGCTGCAGGGGTCATTCTTCCGAAGCTCCTTGCAGAGGAGGTGACGCACAAGGTGGCCCGGTTCGAAGAGGAGGTGACGGACTTCCGGGACCACTTGGGAGAGCAGTGCCTAAATCACGCGATCGAGATTATGACGACCATCGAGAACCATATGGGCTCGGAACTGTACGAGAGCACCACCGGTGCGAGTGCGGAAGAGTTTGCGACGGTTAAGCAAGACGTCGTGGACCAAGAAAGCGAGGTGGAGAAGGCAAAAACGGCGCTAAGCGCCGCCCGGAAGGAGTTCGACGACCTGGCGAGCAGCTGCCCCGGCAGCCCCGCGGAGTCCTCCGGGGCGGTGTCGCTGGCTGCCATCCGCTTCGCGGAGAAGGTTTTGGAGTCGGGAGCGGAGCTGAAGCCGGAGGTTGGGGCGATGACAGTGTAAAAGTTCTTTAGTAGATGGGGACCACCGCGGGCCGCTCGACAAGAAAGCGAGCAAGAAAGTCCTCTACGGTTGTTCTTCTTTTCCAGACAATAAACAAATCTGTATAGTTTTTTCCTGTCAAGATTTTTGTCAAGTCATCACCCACTTCCCGCTCGGTGCTGGTTGTATTGCGAAAGAAAGTGTTGATCTATGAAATGAGTACAACTACGACCAAATATGAATATCTGTTCACGCCCCGACGTAAGAACTATGTCACTCTCACTTCTGAAGATGTCGCCCATGAGATAAAAGCCAAATTTCAGGCGATGTCATAGACACGCCGGGGCCGGTGAGAGCTGTAGTGGTCGTGGGGAAATAAACACGAAGATGAAGCACTACTAGAACTAGTACCCAGACTCAGAAGGAACATGATGAACAACGAAGAAGTATTTAGCTACGTATACATAGCTGTTTTTAAACGAAAACTCACTTAATTCGGTGTAGTGAACGGGAATAGATCTGTATCGGTACTTTACCACGTCGGTGCTAACCACGACCTGGTGCATAGTGATACTTGTGACTTGTATCAGGAAGACTCAGGTCTGTGGTGCGGTATGGAGTACTTACTAGATTTGAGAGTTTCACATCACTACCGATTGGATTTTGACTTCGTATGTTATTGTGTCTGATTACTCATCTCTCAGGTGCGCTCCAAAATTTTAATTTCTCTACGGAAGTTATCGCTAGCTGTGGAGGAGAATGACTCAACTATGACCATGATTATTTTCAGAAAGTAAAACAAGACCACCTTCGCCGGTCCATAGCTGCTATAATGAGGCTAAGTACGCTTAAGATGACCGCTTCCGTCCTGCTGCAGATTCATTTCTAGAAATTCAGCGCACCTTCGCGTCTGAAAATGGCATCGTCAACATCCTCTTCCGGCTTGCGAAAGCGCGGAAACAACGCGGGAGGAATTACGTCCAACACAACCTCGAGCCGGAGCGCCTCGCCGAATGATCGTACAGTAGATCTTCCTCGGAGTTCCGCGCCCCTCGCTCAGTCCTCCTCCCCGAACGAGCCACACGCAACTACGAGCCGCACGCGAGGAAGCGCCTTATCATTAGGCTCACCGACGAGAAATCCGCTGGTGCAGCGGTCGCCGCAAAGCCAAACTTTGCCTGATTTGCATCCTGATGTGGACGACGAGTCGTCTTCCGCGTCGGCCGGTGAATCTTCCTCAGGGACGGCGAGCGCACCCAGCGGAGCCGGATTTTTCCGTATCTGAATCTGCTTGTTTTTCGTTTTTTTGCAATTTTATTTTCGTCGTGTGGACAAGTTCTAGGTCGTGACAGGATCTTTTCAAGAATGATGTCTATCAGGAAGTCAGATATACTTACAACAATGAACTCGTCACCGTGTTGAAGACAATAACTTTTTGCACTGTCACACTAGGCAACCTCCGTCGAAAACGCACGGAGCTGCAGCTGCCCAGCATGCCGCAGCTACCGCAGGGTAGTTGGGAGGCCTTGGCGATTCCGAATTTGCGGAAATACCTGGAAAAGCCAAAGTCCATGCAGAACCTTTTTACACACAGTCCATACAGCTGGATGGGTGGAACGTCATCAAGTACTTCATCATCTAGAAACTCCGCCCCTCCCGGCTCGCCGTTATTACCAGGCGCGGCTGCGGCCGCGAGTTCCGCTTCCGTTAAAAATCTTGGGGTAATATCATCATCTTCTTCGCCACCGGGAGCAGTAGACCACATGATGGGTGGAGCAGCTCCCTCCCGTGGGTCGGTTGGAGCTGCACATGGTCCACACCAGATGTTGAACAAACCCGCACCGCTGAATTTGCTCGGTGCCGCAGGAAATGCCGCGACGGCCTCCGCGAGTCCAAAATCCGCCAGCAACCCTTCCTCCGCGCGTTATGAATTGCAAAAGTATCGTACTCGTATAAATGCATTACAAATTTTCTCAGCATGAGAAATGAAATTTGTAAATGCCATGCGGACTTCGCTTGAGAAAAAAAATTGTAAATTATGCATGATTGCAAAAATACGACTGCGATTCTTTTGCACAGGATACGCGACCGTCGCCGCTGAAAAAGGCACAGGCGATCGCGCACCAGAACATGCACACGGAAATTGTGTCCATCATCAACGACGAATTCAGCGACGAGGGGAAACACACATGGAAACTGGTTTTGAAGCAGAAATGGCTGCGGGGCCGGCTCCTGCTCCGGTACTACGTGCCGGTATCATTTATCCGCAGGACGCTGTACACATTCACATTTCTCTTCCCGGCGCTGTTTTGGATTGTCCTCTTTTACCTGCACTTCCTGGCCGGTTACGAGGATGGAATTTTCGGCTTTGTCCGGCCGTATTGGGTGCTGGTCAGGGAAAGCGAACTGGCGAGGAACTACCCGATCATCGGGAATGTATTGACGACAATTGTCGATTTTCTCCGGTACGCGGTGGTCGTGACCGGTACGCAACTGCTTCTACCCGTCGGGATACTCGAAGGGGAGGGAAGTGGTGGAACTCCCGCACAAGAATCATCGCAACAAGGATCTGGTGTAGTTCCTTCCGATGTTCTTAACGCAGGAGAAACGGCATCGAGTTCCTACTCTAGCTCCTACACGGTTCGCCTGACGATTGTGATTTTGACGCTCACCTCCGTCGGCCTGTTTCTTTCCAGAAACAAGGAAAGGATCTTCAAGAAGCTCGGAATAATAGCAGGTGCTGCGCCACGACGAGATAATGAACAAGAGGGTCAACATGGTTATGGTTTTTCATCATCGCAAAACAATTCCGATCACCAGTCGGTAACCGACCAGTTGGATCGGCGGTTTCAGTTCCTGAGTTCCGTCCTACTGTACTGGATCGAATCCAGCGAGTACGTGTACAGCAAGGGCGGGAGGTGCAGACGCCGGGTCGGCCGGAAACTCTGTTGGTGCCAGTGCTGCCGGCGGTCGAAGGTTCTGCAGCCGGACCCCTACCACATTTCCCCCCAGGAGAATTTGACGTTGTTGACCATCCTGCACGACAAACTCCTAAAGATCGTGGAGGTCTTCATCTTCGATTTGCTCTGCGCGAGTAGCTTTGCGCAGAAGAACCTCGAGGGGATGCGGCAGGCGCTGGAGGGGGCGAAGCAGGCGCTGTACAACTCGTCCGTGCAGATACACAGCATGGACCGGGACCCGCCGTCGGTGCGGCAGTTTTTGGAGACTGTGTACACGTTTCTGGATATCAGAATGAAAAATGCCCCCACCCCCGAACTTGAAAGCATTTGTATTGCAAACCTTTCCAAATGAAACACTCGCCCTCTTGCACCTATCAGCATCACAGGTTTCCAATCGTGAATAGCGAAAATTTGTATTGCAAAAGACCCCAGCAAGAGCGGCGCTTGTCATGCAAGCGATGCGATACACGCCTAGACTCTGCATCAGAAAGATTCATACTCGTTTCATGCATGACAAAAAGTTTTCATTTGGACACTTCGCATCACAATTTTTTGCAATTTGAGGGGTGGGGGGCACTTTTCACTGTAATACTGGAGTCCGTGCGGGTGGTCTTTCTCGGAAACGAAGATGAGGACATATCAGCTGCAAAACAAGTATCGTAGTCGTACATGTAGTAATCGCTGTTATGCATGACAGATTTCTTTTCTAAGCTCACTCGTTACAGGCAGAAGTGTTGTCCCCCCTCCCTCTCTCCGTTGCGTTGTTACTTCATGTTCTTCCGTCTCTGCATCTAAGATCTAGAACCAACCAAATTCTAAGCTCACTAGAGCATGACAAATTTAAATTTTACTTTCCTTCCTATACGAAATAATTTGTGATGCGAGTACCACTTAGTACGATGCTTTTGCAATGCATGAGACAGCACAGACGACGAGGTAGACTTTTTCTACGAGGCGAGCTCGGATGAGCACGAGGAAAATGGGGATAGTGGTGCAATTGGCACAACACAAAGTACTAGCAAGGTTTGCTCGTCAAAGACCACGAACGACACCACGGAAAACGAGGAACACATGGACAACTTGGAGGGGATAACATATCCGCTGCAAAAGTACTATCGTATCGTACTCGTACCTGTAAAATCGCAATCATGCAAGACCAATGTCGTCCTTCCGCTTCCCAAGCTAAATATCCACATGACAAGCCTCATTTTTCATGTTACTGAGCTTCTAAATTGCATTGTTACTAGAGCTGTCGTACGTGATGTGCGAAAATACTTTTGCAATGCATATCACAGACGGAACATCTTCAGCAACCGGCATAATTCGTAAGCGGCGTCGCAGCAGCACACACACGGTTGTGGACCCAGATTCCGTGCACCGGCAGGTACCGACCACCCGGCCGCGGCTAACAGACGACTTTTACCTCGAGGATAAAATGAAGACTGTAGCGGTACAGCAGACGCTTTTGAACGACCGGGAACTCAACAACGAAAGCGAAAGGAACAATGTAGCAGAAAAGAACAAGAAGCCGGACGACGTGGTCCATGGCACTACAACCGCAGGGAAGATGAGACTAAAATCAATAGAGAAGAAGAAAACATCAAAAGCGGCCTTCTTGAACAAGGCCAAATCCGCAGCGGTTGGTGGGATTTCCTCATCAGAGCCAAAAACCGCGGAGCACCAGTCGCGCAAGCACCTGCACCCGATCCTTTTCGTGGGTCCCTGCCTCGGCGCCAGGATCGTGAAGGACGCCAGACCCGGGAAAACTAGTAACTCCTCAGAGACGAGCGCGGGTGGAGCGGGCCGAGCGAAAAATCCATCTCCGAACAACGAAGACCCTGTGGTCAACAGCGAACCTGAAGCGGAAGCGACACCGACGGCCGTGAAGGGGAAAAATGAAAGGAAAATTCATCCGACGGCAGACGATATAGTTGAAAAAGAAAATCAGCTCGATCGCGGGTCTTTCTGGTGGGAGAAGCTTCCGGACCATCCCACAGAAAATCGAAAACTCACAGCGAAGGAGTGGCTGAACAGCTACCAAAACAACACGGACCGCTGGCTCGCCTCCCTCCATCCCTCCCCCGAAGAGATAGAAGCGATCAAAAACGAGGAACTGCTCTGGAACCGGGGCAACTTCGTGTTGGACCCGCGCACCTACCGGATGGTGATGGGCAGCTTTGCGTTCCAATGGGAGACCACGGCGAAAAACCGAGTTTTGGTGGAGGAAAGGAACGACTTGGAAGATTTAGAGGCCGCCCGACGGGACCATCACGGACAATTGTACGGTGACGGTGGCCACCACCATTATGACCAGCACAACTCTGGTCGTGCTCATAACCACTTCTACGCAGAGCAGCAATACAACCCCCAGAGGAGCCCTTTTGGGGTCACCTCAGCTGACCTCTTGGGTACAGGTGGAGGTGCCGGTGGACCGCTTCAGTCGGCGAAATTTGAAAGTTTCATGTCCCGGGACAGCAGCCGGAGAATGTTAGACGCGTCAGTAGCCACCTCGGCGCACCACAACTCGCTCTACTGGAAAGCAACCAGCAACCCAGCTGCGAGTGCGCAGGTTGCGCTGGCGCAGCAGAAGCAGCTCACCGGCAGTGGTCCTGTAGTTAGTACGAAAATGGCTTTAAAAAGTCAGGGAGGTGGGTCTAATGGATCTCTTGAAGGAGCGCCTCCAGAGCATCCATCTACTGTGTCAGAAGATCTGTACTCCCGCATGACACACAACGAGAAGGACAGAAGCAAGGACCCTATCCCTAACATCAGCCTCTCAACAGCAGCAGTGAGAAACAAGCCTCTGGGAGCTGCAGGAGGAGGATTTCCACCTGGCGCTGGCACAGCAACACCATCCTCTTACGACCAGAAGTTCTCCCAACACGACCCCAACGCGGGCCCACTAGCACCCCCACCCCCTCTTCCGAACCGGTACGAGGAATCCTTTTCCCGGCAAACCTCCAACACGAATACCAGTGTCGAGCCGCTACCGCACGATGCTTTTCAACAACATATTACCGACGAAACTTACGAGAACTACCTCCCGACATCCTACAAGCTTCACCAAAGGGAGTTCAAATTGCACAGCTCCAACCACTCCGGCTGTTCTGCGTTGCGCAACATCCTGCCGTTCCGCGAAGTCTCTCCCGCGGAGGGCTACGCGGTACCGTGGAACGTTTTGATGTTCGCCCACTTGATGCGCCAAGGGTACACGCGCCGGCGCGTTGGGAACCTCTTCTACGACTGGCGCAAATCGGCTCTCGAGTGGGAGCAGGACGGCACTTTTGCGCAGGCGAAGTTGACTTTGGAACTGTACCGTGCTCGCTACAACAAGCCCGCGGTGCTGATTTCCTGGAGCCAGGGCGGCAGGTTTGTGCACAGCTTTCTTGACTGGCTGGAACGAACGTGCGACAGAGAAGAGTTGGCGAAAATTTGCGCGCAGTATAGAAGTCCGACACCATCTACAACTCCACCGGTTACGAGCATTACAAATTCAAATCATGTTCCGCAACTGTACAAGACGTTACACGTAAAACACTGGATCTCCATCGCCGCCCCGTTCGGCGGCGCACCAAACGCGTTGCTTGGCAGTCTGATGCCGCACTCCGGCGCGAACTACCACCTCGGGCAGGTGATCCCCTGGGTGCGGGACATTGACTTGCGAAACCTCACATGCACCTGGCCAGGTGTCGCGTACTTGCTCCCGCAACCCGGGGCACTACCCGCGAAATCCGACTGTCTGATCCGCGACGCGCGCGGCCGGGTGCACGCCCGGTTCGAGAGCATCATCGTGGCGTGTCGCAGAAACCTGGTTGAATTCCAGCCGGTCGACGACTATGTTTCAACATCATCTTCCGAGGCGGGGTCCGGGTCCTCGTTGGACAGCGAGGACGAACTTCGGGCAGATCAGGTTAATATGAAGAAACGACGTTCATCAAGCGGTGCCGGTGGTATCGAAAACCTCCAAAAAAATAACACCAGGACCATCACGGGCACAGCTACGGCCGAAGAAACAAGCCAAAGCGACGAGCAGACAGACCGAAACGCAACGGGGGTCGTCGACGTGGAAAGGCTCGAGATCAAAGGGGCCAGCGACGATGCCGCAACCGCAAAACAACCCAGCATGCGCATGACGAAAGTTTCCGCGGCGACCGCCGTACAAGTGACAGGAGGACCGGCGCGGGAGAAGTTTTCATCCGCTTCCACGAAAAGCGGCAATAGAACCCGAACGCGTTCCGGCTTCAGAACAAGTTCTTCTCCACCGGGTGAGGAAGCCGACAACTCGGAGGAGGAGATCGACGAGCTAGTACGTCGGCCGCTCAGCATATGACATTTCACAACTCCCCCTCCCCCTCATTTGTCATGCAAAATACCCAATCCACCGTTTGCCTCTTGGCACTGTTTGCATGATAAGTTCTGGTAGCCCAAGTAGCACTACAATCCAGTGCAAATTTGTCATGCAAAACCGGCACTCTTGCTGATGCTTGTCGTGTTGCCGTAGTTCATGCTATACCTATACAAATGAGGGGGAGGGGGAGTTGTGCACTGCCATACAGCAGCACGCAACGACGCCCGGACTCCTCGCGTGTTGGTGGTCCCGGGTCGTCTACTAGGCTGTCTCTGTCCGCAGAGAGCTCCTCGTCCGGAGCCACAGTGGTGGCTGCAGGAGCTGTTGACGGCAGAAGTAACAATAAAGCAGGTCATCTTGCGCGAGAAAGTGCGGCGGAAGCGGTGCCGGAGGCTGAGGAAAACGAAAACATGAAGTCAGCATCTGCAGCCCGAGCCCTCGGTGGTGGAGCAGAATCTACACAGCGAACGAAGAAGAGCAATAAACACAAGAATAGACTGATAAAAACCGAGGGAGACGAGCAGCAGTCTGCAACGAGCCAGCTTTTCGGGTCCGCCACGGAAGGGGAGGAAGTCCGGGAATTATGAACTGCAAAAGTATCGCACTCGTATAAATGCATTACAAATTTCCTCAGCGTGAAAAATAAAATTTGTAATGCTGATTTTCCGCCAAAAAAAAAAAAATGTAATGCGTGATAGCAATTACTACGATACTTTTGCACAGGATAGGAGTTGTTCGAGTGCAACGACGTCCCTGCGATCTTTCTCCACTCGGCCCACCACTGGCGGAATCTGATGCACGCCGCGGCGAGGAGATGGCGCTTGGCTAGAGCAGGCGCTAGTACTGCAGCAGCGGGGGTGGACAACTTTTTGAATAATGCTGATATTGAACAAAGCCAAAACGGTACTGTCAAAACGACTACAACGACACCCGGAGCTGGAACGTCTCCAAATCTCCAGCCACTGGACATTGAAGCCGTCTTGGCGCAATCCAACATCGCGTCCAACGTTGTCATTATACCAGATAAGGAGGAAGCGGAAGATGATGTCGATGGTGCAGATGAATTAAAGAACCGGTCAACGATGGCGGAAGCGATGAATCTAGTCCGGAACAGTGCTGCGGAAGCGGGCGGAAAATGGTCAGGAATTTCCGATGTGGACCGTCTGAGCGGGGGCTTTGCTGAGGATAATTTCACCGAAAATGTCGCGAAGCAGATGCACCAGCCGCAGAATCATCAAAATCTAAATCGCAAGCGCAAGCCACGACCGACAAGTCTATTCGGTATGCTGTTCCTGCACTGCAAATCCCGAAAGAAAGAAGTCCAGAAACTTTTTTGTCGAAGGAGAAAAAAACAAGACATAAAGTTGTCAAAAACTACCGAATCCAGTACTTCGGAGGTCGCCAGCAATGATGACCACGAACATCAGGAAGGAGAAACTGATGCAACGAGGAAAAAGTCCAGCACAGATGCCACGACCGATGAAACGATAAAGAACAAAGAGCAACTAGCAGCATCCAAGGACGAACAGGACGACCTCTCCGATGCGTCGACCGAGTATTTTGACGAGGAAGAGAATTCGGGCCAATCGCCGTTCGACGACGAAAACAGTCAGCCAGACAATGCCAAAGTCGACCCGCTGGTCGCGGAATACGCGCGGTGTAAGGAATCCATGCTAATGTCGGAAATCATGGCCTGCATGTCCAGCAAAATGGAGAAGAGACACGGCTTCCGCAACCTCCTTCCGCCAAAGGTTCCCGTAACCGCCCTAGTGGGAACGAAGATCCAAACCGGGTACCAGTACCGGTACGACGACGGTATCGAGAATTTCCCGACGAAAATTTTCTACACGCACGGGGATGGGACCGTTCCCTGGGAGAGCTTGGTCATGTGTAAGTTCTGGGCCGGGAAATATTACCGGGAGAAGTACCTGTTTAAGTACGAACACGGGACGACGATGAACTCCACAGCAACGGAACAAAATCTAAATCACCCAGATCATAATTTTCACGAACTACATCAAGGCGAACTACAAGCCGCTTGTTCTTCATCCTCCTCTTCCCGCTCTAGCAGTCACAGCAAGCCCAGACTGCCGATGGCCACTGCAGCGGCCCAGGCCGCGTCTTCCGCCCTGCGGAAAACGATCGGCGGGAAAAATACCACTTCGACTGGAAGTCAACAGGGAAAAAATCCGGCGCTACTGTGGCGGAAGCGGAAGAGCCCGTCGGTCGAGGAGTACCGGAAAGTGCTGAACAAAGCGACGGTTTACGAGGTGGAAGAAGAAGACATCACTAGGTTGCAACAGGACGAGCCGGTGGATATTTTGATTATGGAGGGTGTGGGGCATTTGGACACGCTGTATTCGAAAATGACCGCGGAAGCGATCTCCGATTTGCTGCTCGGGATCAACAGGACGAATGTGGACTCTCAGGGCGTGGGGGGTGGGACAACTGGGGGGATTTAAGAGGAGGCAGAGTTGTAGACTCACGACCGCCCGTCGTGCACGTGCAGCTTCTGGTTCTGTCTACATAATCGCATAGATTGATACATCAGGAATGTCAGAATCTCTGAAATTTTAAGAAGAGAATTACCCAGAGAATTGAAAGTACGCATAATGTTGCTGTTTAGGTTTATGAAAATCTGCCGCGCATAGATGACTCCACAACATTTCCTTATTTTCCGAGAAAGCAATTTTTTGGCACGTCAACACATGCAGTTGCAATACGGTCTGCGACATAGTACTACATCTTCACATGTTTATCGACAATGATACGATCACCCTCACCACCCTCACGTTATATAACATTCACCGCGCATTAATCATTTTGGAACCTCCGTGAAAGACAAAGACGAAGACAATTAACGAAGTTGCGCGCTAGCGATATGTAACCACTGCCACGACTGAAGGTGGCTGGAGGCGTTTTCGTACCTGTTGGAAGATCTCCATTTGGACGGGTGTTCGCTTGCAGCGCAGTCATCGACTCGTCCTCACTGTAGTGCCATCATCTTTCGATCTTGGTGATCGCCCCGGCCCCGGTGCATTGTCGTGATACTTAGTCGGCTCGGGCGCTTTGCTGTTGTCGCAGGGATAAGCCCGGCCCCTGGGTCGTGGCCACCACGCCGCGCCCGCGGGCCAGCGGGCAGGCCGAAACGGGAGGGACTCACCACGACGCAGCTGGCTGCTTTGGCCAAAAAACCCGCAGGCGCGGCCCGGGACCTCGAGAAGCTGCGCGGTTGGTTCCGCGCGGCTGCCTGTGGCCCGTTGGAATATGTTGGGCAGGCCCGGGGGGTGGAAATGAGGCCCCGCGGAGCATTTCCGCGAGTCCGTTCGGCCCGCCGTCCCGACACAGGGCGAGCGTCGATCCTGGAGGGAGTCTGCAAAGCCGTCGCCCGGAATGCCGGCCGGGGCCTTTGATAGTGTGTGGCGTTGCTGGCAGCCTGCCCGCGCGCGGCAGGCGCCGCGGGTAGGCTTTGCGGCTGCCCCCTTTAGAATGTATGTGGTCGGCCGGCAGGGGGCTGCTTTGCTTGGTTGTGGGGCGGGGGGGGGGCCGTTGCGCGCCCTCCGGGCGGGCCGGGGCGCCTCTTAAATAGGCGCGCCGGATGGGGGTAGCGGGGGGGAAGGGGCCCGCAAATGGTCAAGGACCCGGAGCGGGCGGCGCCCCGCTGAATGACCTCGGGGGACAGAGTTCGAGAAGAGGGAGAAAGAAGCCCTCTCCGCGCGCGTGCCCCCTTGGCCCTTTTGCATGCATCGCCAGGGCGCCTCTCGCGCACTCTCCCCGCCTGCCACCCGCCTGCCTCTCGGGCACTCTCGCGCCCGGCCGGGCGGCGGGCGCGCGCCCTTTTGCGCCTTTCTTGGCTTGTTGGGCGGCCCCCGGCCTGCTCCTGGCTTCATTTGATTGGGGGCGAGGCAATGCGCTTGTCGACCGGACCGGCCCGGCCGCCCCCGCCCCCCCCCCGCCATCTTTTCTTGTTTGGCTTGGCAGTCTCCCCGCTGCCCGTCGGGAGGCCTGCCCGCTTGGCGTCGGTGGATCCGTAGCGCCCGCCGGCCGGCCCCAGGCGCCCGACGCAGCCCTTGGCGCGCAGCCCCTGAAGTCTGGTGGGCCCGTCGGTGCCCGTTCGTTGTTTTAGGTGGTTGCCTGGTAGGGTGGGTGGCCCGCCGGCGCCGCCAGGCGTCTGTTCCATCCTTCCTTCAGGGCGAGCAACGATCATTGTGGTGGCCGCCTCGGCGTCACCCGTATACATTGGTGCCTAGGGAAAATCAAACTGCGACCCCATGTGGCCACCAGAAAGATGGCGCGCCGCCCGTTGGATCCGTGGGTGTGTATGTTTGTTGTATCATTGTCATGAAGATCCGCGAGTCCCTTTGCAGGTTGCCGCTGGCGGGTACTGGAGTTGGTGTTCCCGTTTGTTTCCCCGGTAAATGGTAGCTTTGGCTTCTGGCGGCGTACGAATGGATGCGCCCCATGTTTTCTTGTTTCACTAGAGGATGCTTGCCCGAATTATCCTTTGGTCGTGGATAGTGAACCACAGTCGATCAAGGTTGTAGTTGTGTGAGTTGGACTTTCAACAGGGGACTAGATCTGCGGTTCCAGGTACGCCCGTGTGATTCCTTCGGTCGGAACTTTGTCCATGTCCTTCTCCTAGACGGAAAGCAGAAAGCTTGCGACATATGCACACATCTTGATGCACACATCTTGAGAAGGACCAGGAGTGCGCGATCTAAAACCTCCATATAAAAAAAATGGCAATTCGTGCTTTATCCTCTCTGCGGCACGCCGCACGTGTCGTGCCTGCAGCTTCTGAGAGCAGTGTCGATGCTCTGACGCGCTCCATTCTTGGCGCCGAAGCAGCCACTGCAGCTAAAGTTTCGTCTGTCACGACCGGAAGCAGTACCGACACAAGCTTAGCAGCTGCAAGACTGGCTGAGCAGTCTATGGGTGATGTTCTAGAACAAAGAAGCCGGGGGCGCATCCTGCAAAGCGTGAAAGGACGTGTCTCAGTCGAGCACAGCGGGCCAGTCCGCATTGGAGAGTGTGTGCGATTTGTTCCTTCGGCGGAATCCTCCTGTGCAGCTGCGTCTACTGAAAGAACCTCACGCGAAACAACAAGAGTATCCGCTGCTGCAGTCGGCGTTGTCACTGGATTTTCGCGGGGTTCGGAGGTGTCTGTTGCGCTGCTCAGTAGTTCGCCAACCCGAATGAATGAAGTAGAGGTAAAGAATGCAAAAGGAGATCATGAAATAAGAGCACCTGCCACGGCTTTTCTCTCCTCTGCTTGTGAGTTCACGGGGAAGCTTTTCCCGATTCCTGAAATTTTCGCGGCTGCTGCGCAGTGTCGGAGCTCCGTGTCTGCGAGCGTGAAGCTCGCGACCTGGTGTACTAGGGGGAGCCACGACCATGGTGAAACTGCAACTGCTGCTGTTATCACGGGGGAACATGTTGCAAGTGGAATCGAAGCGGAAAGTGGCGCACAGGAACGCGACCTACAACATTTGCTGCTAGAGCCCTCCTCGACGGGGTCTTTTGCGCTTGCTCGTGCCAACGTTTTCACGGTGCCGCGACTCTTTGGCAATCCTAATCGTTGCAACCCAACGTCGTCAGCTGAACAAATACAAAGCGGTGTTGCAGGAGAGGCAGACATCATCGGTGCGCGACCGTCGTCGTCCTTCCTGGATGTTGCCATCTCTCACGACCAGAAGGCTGCGCTAAACCCGCAAAGCATCTTTGCCTCCTGCAAGAAAACGACCACGACGAGCAGACAAAAATCCAGGATGAAGCAGGGTCAGCACCAGCAGCTCCTCACCGGCAATTACCTATTAGACCTGTGCCACACCATCCGGCCGGGCCAACGGGTGATCCTGAAAGGCCCGCAGAACGCGGGGAAAACGACCTTTCTCTCCCAGCTAACCAAATCCCACCGCGAGGGCCAGAGCGTCGTGGTCTGCAGTGTCGAAAACGCCCACAAATTTCCCAACAGCGTCGTCTTCGCGCAGGACTTCGCGCACAAAGACGCCGGGGAGCACGCGTGGATCTCTGTTTTGATGGCGATTCAATATGCAAAGTTACTGGTGGCATCTTCATCTTCTACGCGAGGACCCACTATCAGTGGGAATAAAATCCAGAACGGCACGAATTCGGGACGAGGGGGGCAACCGCAAGCCGCTTGCTCGAGTCAGAATCTGAATCCAGCATCAGAATCTGAATCAGATGTTGAAACGAGAATGAAAATAAGCAAAAACCTCCAACCACCGAAACCTCTTCTGATCATCGATGACGTGCTTCGATTTCAAGAAGCGGTGAACGCGAAAAGCTTCTTCACGGTCCAGCAACTTATCCGTACGGCGCTAAACTTGGACGGTGGTGGTGGTGGTGGTATTGATTCTGCTTCCTCCCCGCTGACGGTTTTTCTCTCTGTCGACGCGGAGTACTACCCTTTCGCTGAGGATGTCAGCGACGTAATTCTGCGTTTTGCGGACCACAGAGTGGAGTTTGAAGACGTGCGCCGGTACGCAAGGCCGTTATTGGCGGTGAGTGGAGGGAAGCCAGCATTTCTGGAAGGGTTGTGGCCTGCTGGCGAAGGCGTCTTCGACCAAGAAAATGGGAGTGCTGAAGCCCAGTCCATCTTTGGCGGGCAGAGTGCAGCAGGAGATCACCAAGACATGGAAAAGCAACAGAACTCATCTTCATCTATGGCATCTGCTTTCATCCTGCGCGAATTACTCCACCGGGTGGAGAAGGGCGCTGCTTGGAAGCGCGAAATTCAGAACCACCGGGACCTCTCCATCCACGTGGACGAATGGGATAAGGAGGACGCGTATTCCCTGGCAGCGGCCGAACGGATCCTGAACTGCTTTCACGGGCAGCATCTGGGGATGAACCTTGCGAGTTTTCGAAGAGGTTGGGATAAAGCATCAAATCGGGGTGAATCATCTTCGGCCAAGCAGCTGCAGTTAGAGGGAACAACAAATAGTTCGCCCCCCGCTCGAACTACCTTAACCGATGTTGTGGACAAATATCGCAACAAGCTCGGCGCCCGCTGCGCCGGTCTGGGTCGGTTGTTGCTGACCCGGGGAAACGCGAAGGAGAAAAAGTCGGTATCGAAGCATTTGAACTTCGAAAGTGGTGCGACGACCGGTGGAGGTTCTTTCCAGCACGACAGTGACGGCTACATGGCAGAGGAGAGACAAGGACAAGAATGGAACAACAGCGAAGATGAAAGCGATTCATCTCACCCACACGACAAGAATACCGCACTTGGAAGCCCGGCTTTCCAGGTCAACTGCCCGCCTATTGAAAAAGCGGACTTGATAGCCCTCGCTCGCGCCTGTACCATTTACCACTTCAGCAAGTGTCCGAACGAATTCGAGGCGGCGGCGTTTCGGCGAGATTTCTGGCGGCAGTTAAAGGGGAGGTTCTCTCCGATGTACAAGGAATGGCTCGGAGGGGACGGTATTAAAAACGGTTCTTTAGATGGCGTTGCCGCCTTGGACCAGGCTCTGTTGGAAATGCGGCACGAGTTCGAACTTGTCAGGCCGCAGTTCTGAAAAAGAACAAAAACTAGAACAGCAGCCTTGAGTGCTATTTTTGCATCGTGTGAACGTGAAGGTCTTGACGAGAAAAAACGATGACGATGCTATCCTCTTTCTCACCGTCCTCGTCCGCAAGAAAATAAACGATGTAAATGAAGAAGCGAGCACGAGCTTCTCATTCTCTACAAAGATTTGAGAATAAAGTAGTGGAGGCGCATGCAAAATTACAGATGATTTATAGACCCACCTTGTTCTAGATCTAGTGCGGTAGTATCGCAAGAACAGAAAAGGAAGTCGAAGTGTTCGTGCTCTAAGTTGAGTTGAACTCTCCATCTCCTCGGTATTCTTCTTCAAAGGATGTAGCGACATAGTTGTCTTCGATGTTGGCGTGGAAGCGTCGAAACACTCAACGCAAACTTGCGCCTTGCTTTTCTCTCTCGGAACTCAGAAACATGGGAAACAGTTAGTCGGTCGCCACAAGAGGCGAGCACGCAAGTGATTTTCTTTTTCGTTGCTGATGCGAAATATAAATATTCATCCAGGCCAGACACCCATTTCACGACCGGCCCCCCATACTTAGTGCAATTAGATGATGGATGCACCGACGAACACCGCACAAGAACCACCAGAGGTATTAATGTCAACAAGTGACCCAGTCCCAGCGGAGGAGCAGTGGCGCCTCTACTTCGCGGCCGAGCAGCGTCAGGGCGACCTCGAGGCGCTCAAAGCCGCGGCGCGTCTGCACCGATGGAGGTCGAAACGGAACTATGGAAAGAAAACTACTCTTCCAGCAGATTTTCATGTTGAGCCCGTTTTTCTCGATCTCGGCCCACTCCCAAAGTATCCTTTTCCCGTTAAAACTGTTGGACCAGAACCACGAAACTTGCTGAATCTGACCGAACGCGAGCCACTAAAAGAAGGTTCTTCGGCTGGTGACGAGCGGCAGCGGGAGATGACCAATTCTCCTTTTCATTTGACCACGAACGTTGACGTACAGGCGGCTCCTGTTTCGGTGCACTTTCAACAGGCGTCGGCCTCCAGCGCCGCCGACTCCAACCCGCCGCAGCACCACCTCCAATACCAGCAGACCGGCGCTGTTATAGTGTCAGCGCAGGTGCCGGGTCATGCCGTCCCGCTGTCCCGCCCGTCTCCGCTTTTGCCGCAAAGCGAAAGCAGTGCCACCGAAAATAGTACAGCCAGCATGAAGATCAGCAGCGCTGCAATACCACTCCCAGCACATGCTGGAGCTGATGCCAAAGGCAAAGAGGAAGATCCGGGAACTACTAACAACATCTCGCACGAGGCGCACGAACGACAGGTATCAATCTCAAAAAGTGATCCAGCGGAGGAGCAACAGCGCTTCTTCGCGAACGCGAAGCGTCGCATGGACGAGGCGCTGCAACTAACAGGGATCGTGTACGGGTCCGCAAAAACGGGTTTATTTGCTGGAGAGGCATCCGACCTAGATCTGACCTACTTTATCGCTATTCGTGACCAAAGCGACACAAGAACCTTCCAGTTGCGTAACTTGGAGGCGTTTGCGCAGCGGCTCAACAAAGCAGCCAAACGTCGTAAGGCGCCCAGGTACAGCTACAGAAATATCGAAGTGGTCCGTGGTGCCCGCGTGCCGCTGGTGCGTTGCGTATACAGGTCGAAAAATAAGGATCTTGCGATCGAAATCACTGTCAACAACTCCAACGGCGTGATGAATTCCAACCTTCTCGCACAGTATATGACCTGCCCCGTGGCAAAGGCTCTCGCTTTGCGAGTGAAATCCTGGGCGCGGGAAAAGAAGCTGATCAGAAACGTCACGAACGGGCTGCTGAGCAGCTACACGTATACGCTGCTTGCCGTGGCCTTTCTCCAGTGGAGGGAGATCCTGCCCAATTTGCAAGATAACACCACGCAGGAGGGCTGGCTGCGTAGCCAGTATGGTGAGCGGTGGGATTGGGCGCAGTTGTCGGGCGCAAGCCCGTATTGTCGTAAATTGGAGTGGTATGTTCGAAAACTCAGCTCCCGCGAAATCGGAGCTTCGCCGCCCGAAAGTGCTTCGCTGGACACCGTCGTCGACGTGTTGGAGAGCCAGTTTTTCAACCTGCTTGACGGGCGGATCGATAAAACGTGGAGGCGGCCAGAGCGATATGTTTTGAGCATCAAAAGTGGCGGATTTTGCAGACACGAGACAGAAAACGTCACATGGTCTGCGGTCGCCGCAGAGGATCCGTTCGAGCTCGGGCCCAATGGGAGGCCAAGAATTCTCAGCTGTACAACGACGGAAGGCTTTGATGAGTTATCCCAAGCGATCTCGAGCAAGGTGTCTGAGTTGATCCCCGTATCAGTCGACGCTGAGCATGCACTGCAGCGAGACAAATGCGGGCGACCTCTTCCTAATCCTCCTGCTCTTCCTCTTCCTAATCCTCCAAGAAATACCTACGCACCGACTTTCCAATGACAGCTCTGGGTTGGGTTTAGGGTTTAGGGTTTAGAGTACGAAGCTACAACGTCAGCGCCGTGGTTGTGATACTAAATTAAAGTGATCTAGCCTTTCCACCTACAACACAGTGATCTCTTATTCCGCTTCTGCACTGCAGCCAGAGGCACGCCTGTGAAATGATAGTGCTGGTCATTAGTAACATCTTCAGTTTCAGAAAAACAAGGAGTTCCTTGATTTCCCGCTGATCTGCTGCTGCGTCCGCAGATCCGGATCCTCAGTTTCATCAACAAATACCTACAAACGTACGAGGCCGCGGCGGAAGCTGAAAACAAAAATCTCTGTGTCTCAGTGATGTAGTCAACTGAAACAGATGGTGATGCATCGATTGGTGCCGTTGTTCTGTGCGATTTTTCTATGGTATGTTCCTTTGTGCGTTGAGTCGCTTTAGATAGTTCTTCTACAGATATATCTGAATCTTTTTACCGCATCTAAAGATTTCCAACAACATGGAAGACGATGGAGGATCGACGATGGGAAAACCTAAATGAAACATCCACAAGCATTTTTTTCGTTCGCTATCGTGACTTTTTGTGTTGTAGCACGAGCGGCACTACTGGAAGAGATAATGCGGAGAGCTGGCGTCGTCATTCCTTTTTTGTTTTCTTTGTGCGCATGCAGGTTTAGTCGGTCGTAAGATTTGCTGTCGTTGCCTTTTTTTTTTTTCGGGAAGTCGTGCAGCGCGACTCCTTGCTATGGATGCTGATGCTCGGCAATCGCCGCTATAAGTAATCAAATGAAAAAAATTTATGTCGGTAAGTTTTCATACGCGTCGTGCTGGTCATGGTCTGGTGTTTGGGTAAATCAATAAGTCGATGAAACTGAATAATCGTCCTGCACCTACGTACCTGACTTTCCTGTTTTGGTTGCCAAGAAGGCGATTTCGATTTGTCTTTCAAATTCAAATTTTGACTTGCAACGATTTTACGTTTACCATCATTATCATATGAAAGTTAGTATTACATTAGCGCGGAGGCGGCACTAGTAACTTCTACACACATCAAGTGCCAGGTCGTTTCTCCTCAGCCCGCCACCGCACCATGTCGAGCAAACCCGATCGCAAGCGGGACCGGCGCGCCGAGCGCCGGGCCGCGAAGAAGCGGCAACAGGAGGCAAACGAATCAGAATCGGTTTTCTTAGAGCTATGCATTGCAAAAGTATCGGACTTGTATAAATGCATTACAAATTTCCTCAGCACGAGAAATAAAATTTGTCATGCTGATTTACCTTAAGAAAAATATTACTATTGAAACTGCAGCAACTAGCCAAAATTGGCATTCCTACCCTGGTTCCAGGGTAGGTTCCAGGGTAGGTTCCGGGGTAGGTAACACGAGGGGACAGTGGATTTAAGAGGGGGGGGGGTACAGCCTACCCAGGAACCGACCCAGGAACCGACTCAACCCGACTCCTCAGCCGACCGATACAGCTCGGGGAAAAAAACAAACACGAGCTGTGGAGTCGGGTGAGGAGTCGGGTAAAAGTCGGGTCCAGGGTAGGTTTTGAGTCGGGTAAAGTCGGGTAAATAGCTCGGGAAAGGCAAAGCGACCTTTCCCGACTCTACCCGACTCCAGCCGATGCGATATCATTTGCGAATCTGTCTGGGTCTGGAAGCGCCCAACTTTGTCATGCATATTTTGCATGATCCACTATGATGCGCACTACTTTGCCGCCCATGTCTTGCATGATCCACTTTGTCGCGCGTGTTTTGTATAAGCCCACTTTTGTCATGCATATTTTGCATGATCCATCTTTTGCATGATCCATCACAAGTTGGATGCTTCCAGTCCCCTTCCAGCTCGCGCAGCTCTTGATCATCAAACACAAAGAACCACGACGACCATAAAACGCAAAGCACGGCGGCCTCTACTTCCCAAGGGCCTGGCCTGCGCAGCTGGGCCGGGCGGCTTCTCGTGGTAAAAAAGTGCCGAAAAAACTGCGCCGGGCGGACGCAGTTCGCAAACCAGAGAAGGGCACTGGAGAGAACCAGTCTTGCCGGGCTGTTTCTCGCGGAAGGAAATTCGTGAGAAAGCCGCGGCGCGCGGGCACTTTTCGCAAACCAGACACATGCAAAAAGGCCCGGCCTGGCCGGGTTGTTTCTCGTGGTAGAATGAAAAGTGCCGAGAAGGTTGCGCCGCGCGGACACTTTTCTCACACCGGAAACACGCAAGAAGGCCCAGCCTGGCCGGGTTGTTTCTCGTGGTGAAAAAGTGCCGGAAAAGGTGCGCCGCGCGGACATTTTTCGCAAACCAGAAACACGCAATGGGGCCCAGTCCGGCCGGATTGTTTCTCGTGGTAGAAAAATGCCGAGGAAGCTGCTTCGCGCGACCACCTTCGCAAAGAAAACAGAAACGCGCAAAGGGGCCCAGTCTGGTGAGGCTGTTTCCCGTGGTAAAAAAGTGCCGGAAAAACTGCGCCGCGCGGGCACTTTTCGCAAACCGGTAACACGCAAAAAGGCCCAGGCTGGCCGGGCTGCTTCTCGTTGTAGAAAAATGCCGAGCAAGCTGCGTCGCGCGACCACTTTCGCAAAACAGAAACACGCAAACAAAGCGGCCCAATCTGGCGAGGCTGTCTCTCGTGGTAAAACAGTGCCGGGCAAACTGCGCCGCGCGGGCATTTTTCGCAAACCGACAACAAACAAAGAGGCCCAGTCTGGCGAGGCTGTTTCCCGTGGTAAAAAAGTGCCGGGCAAACTGCGTCGCGCGGGCACTTTTCGCAGACCGACAACACGCAGAAAGGCCCAGTCTGGCGAGGCTGTTGCTCGTGGTAAAAAAGTGCCGGGCAAACTGCGGCGCGCGGGCATTTTTCGCAAACCGACAATACGCAGGCAAAAAGGCCCAGTCTGGCGAGACTGTTTCCCGTGGATGGTAAAAAAGTGCCGGGCGAACTGCGTCGCGCGGGCACTTTTCGTAAACCGACACCACGCAAGAAGGCCCAGTCTGGCGGGGCTGTTTCCCGTGGTTGGTAACAAAGTGCCGGGCAAACTGCGTCGCGCGGGCACTTTTCGCAAACCGACACCACGCAAAAAGGCCCAGTCTGGCGAGGCTGTTTCCTGTGGTAAAAAAGCGCCGGGCAAACTGCGTTGCGCGGGCACTTTTCGCAAACCGACAACACGCAAAAAGTCCCCGCCTGGCGGGCTGTTTCTCGTGGTAAAAAAGTACCGGGCAAACTGCGTCGCGCGGGCACTTTTCGCAAACCGACAACACGCAAAGAGGTCCAGGCTGGCGAAGCTGTTTCGGGTGGTAAAAAAGTGCCGGGGCAACTGCGTCGCGCGGGCACTTTTCGCAAACCGGCAACACGCAAAGAGGTCCGGTCTGGCGGGTTGTTTCTCGTGGTAAAAAAGTGCCGGGCAAACTGCGCCGCGCGGGTACTTTTCGCAAACCGACAACACGCAAAGAGGCCCAGGCTGGCGCGGCTGTTTCTCGTGGTAAAAAAGTGCCGGACGAACTGCGTCGCGCGGGCACTTTTCGCAAACCGACAACACGCAAAAAGGCCCAGTCTGGCGAGGCTGTTTCCCGTGGTAAAAAAGTGCCGGGCAAACTGCGTCGCGCGGGCACTTTTCGCAAACCGACAACACGCAAAAAGGCCCAGTCTGGCGAGGCTGTTTCCCGTGGTAAAAAAGTGCCGGGCAAACTGCGTCGCGCGGGCACTTTTCGCAAACCGACAACACGCAAAAAGGCCCAGTCTGGCGAGGCTGTTTCCCGTGGTAAAAAAGTGCCGGGCAAACTGCGTCGCGCGGGCACTTTTCGCAAACCGACAACACGCAAAAAGGCCCAGTCTGGCGAGGCTGTTTCCCGTGGTAAAAAAGTGCCGGGCAAACTGCGTCGCGCGGGCACTTTTCGCAAACCGACAACACGCAAAAAGGCCCAGTCTGGCGAGGCTGTTTCCCGTGGTAAAAAAGTGCCGGGCAAACTGCGTCGCGCGGGCACTTTTCGCAAACCGACAACACGCAAAAAGGCCCAGTCTGGCGAGGCTGTTTCCCGTGGTAAAAAAGTGCCGGGCAAACTGCGTCGCGCGGGCACTTTTCGCAAACCGACAACACGCAAAAAGGCCCAGTCTGGCGAGGCTGTTTCCCGTGGTAAAAAAGTGCCGGGCAAACTGCGTCGCGCGGGCACTTTTCGCAGACCGACACCACGCAAAAAGGCCCAGCCTGGCGGGGCTGTCTCCCGTGGTAAAAAAGTGCCGGGCAAACTGCGTCGCGCGGGCATTTTTCGCAAACCGACAACACGCAAAGAGGCCCACTCTGGCGAGGCTGTTTCCCGTGGTAAAAAAGTGCCGGGCAAACTGCGTCGCGCGGGCACTTTTCGCAAACCGACACCACGCAAAAAGGCCCAGTCTGGCGCGGCTGTTTCCCGTGGTAAAAAAGTGCCGGGCGAACTGCGTCGCGCGGGCGCTTTTCGCAAACCGGCAACACGCAAAAAGGTCCCGCCTGGCTGGCTGTTTCTCGTGGTAAAAAAGTACCGGGCAAACTGCGCCGCGCGGGCACTTTTCGCAAACCGACAACACACAAAGAAGTCCAGTCTGGCGAAGCTGTTTCTCGTGGTAAAAAAGTGCCGGGGCAACTGCGTCGCGCGGGCACTTTTCGCAAACCGGCAACACGCAAAGAGGTCCAGGCTGGCGGGCTGTTTCTCGTGGTAAAAAAGTGCCGGGCAAACTGCGTCGCGCGGGCACTTTTCGCAAGCCGACAATCAACACGCAAAGAGGCCCAGGCTGGCGCGGCTGTTTCTCGTGGTAAAAGAGTGCCGGACGAACTGCGTCGCGCGGGCACTTTTCGCAAACCGACAACACGCAAAGAGGTCCAGGTTGGTGAGGCTGTTTCCCGTGGTAAAAAAGTGCCGGACAAACTGCGCCGCGCGGGCACTTTTCGCAAACCGACAACACGCAAAGAGGCCCAGTCTGGCGAGGCTGTTTCCCGTGGTAAAAAAGTGCCGGACAAACTGCGTCGCGCGGGAACTTTTCGCAAACCGACAACGCGCAAAGCGTTCCAGTCCGGCGCGGCTGTTTCTCGTGGTAAAAAAGTGGCGGGCAAACTGCGTCGCGCGGGCATTTTTCGCAAGCCGACAACGCGCAAAGAGGCCCAGTCTGGCGCGGCTGTTTCTCGTGGTAAAAAAGTGGCGGGCAAACTGCGTCGCGCGGGCACTTTTCGCAAACCGACACCACGAAAACAAAGAGGCCCAGTCTGGCGAGGCAGTTTCCCGCGGTAAAAAAATTCCGGACAAACTGTGTCGCGCGGGCATTTTTCGCAAACCGACAACACGCAAAGAGGCCCAG